CGCCAGTGCAACATCCCGAAATTATCAAACTTTTTAGTTCACAATTGACGATGTTTCTGGTCTGTCCGTGCGGTAATCTTTGGTTCCTTAAAACTTTAAAAAGTACTGCTCGGACGAATGGAATTTTGAAACCATGTTTCGTAGTCAAAGAATTCAACAACATTTTAGAGGAGTCTAAATCTCGTATTTCGAACTTCTAGGGTCTGTAATATGTCTGTCTGTTCAGTAATACTACCGACACTTCAAATCTAGGAATAAATCACTCAAATCTTTCAAAAATTACTACAATTTAACGTTCAAACTCTCAAAAAGCTTTGCACGTGCTAAAAATCGTTCCAGTCGTGGCAAATTCATAAATATAATATATATAAACTTATATATATATAGAGATATAACTTGAGAGGTGGTCATTGTAATTGCAGCTCCTGATGATGATGGCAAAGTCCATTGAAAGCTAGAGAGAATTAAAAAAAGTATAAGTCCTCTTTGCTTAAATTTTGTCGAAGTACCCAACAAAAGGCGGAAGCTTTAATTTTTCACCTATATAGATATATATAACGTATATATATATATATATATAAACTTATATATATATATAAACTTATATATATATAAACTTATATGTATGTAGCACATACTCTGTTATCAAAAAGGGGGGCAGTAACATAATGCATCGTACGCCACTGCTGACGCGACGGTCCTTTGTATGTATATGTACAATTTCTAGCTTCCAAAAACAACCATTCCCTGAAGGCCTGTGAGCCCTCAATCCATACGATTCTTTTGTTTCAAGATCGCGGAAACTGAAGACTTGATATTTATAATAAAAATCTATTGAACTTATTTGGCTAGTAGTATTTGATATCACGTTTAAAGTATCGTTTTCATTGTTTGAATGTCACTCCCCCTGGCCACGCGTTTTCCCTCGTTACCTATAAAAGCTGTCAAAATCAAAATATTGTCCTCGTCGTGTGACAACGAACATGAAACCAAAATAAGCATTTTTCTTAGTTGACACTGAAAATCCGTCATTTAAAACAGAATTCGTGGTATTTGTGGACGCGGGCACGACTGTACCCAAATCCGAAACGCTTGCATCTTCGCAGTACCAGAACCAGTACCATCTCTCAAACAACGCTAAATGCCATGAGCCATGCACAAATACACACCTGTTGTACTATACACAATACCGTCGAAACGTCTCCAAGAGACTACGAGTAACAATACAAAACATGACACAGCAAAGCTTACCTCAGGTAGATTTATCCCCAGGTTATTCGTAAAATTATCCATTGCGATGAGGCAGTACGGTCACTAGCACATTTTCTTGTCGAATCCGAACAGGTAGACGGGAATGTCACCGGGATAGTACGAAATATCCTTCGACGCGATTGTTACGTACCCGAAAGCATGGTCACAAACCGGGAAATGTTGAATAAAAGCACGTTTTTCTCATAACTAGGGTGGTTTCGTTGGTATATCGTTGGTAAAGTACGAGTTAAAGCATGGCATATAAACAAACACGCGCAGCGTCCACCAACTGTGCCAGCAAAGTTCTTTTCAAAGCTTTGACTGCCGCTTGCCGCTGTTCAAGAAAGTCTCGCGTTCGGCGTCCTCGTTGGTTCGGATCGGCCGTTGTCGGTGAATATATGAATGGGGGTCAATAAGACCGACTTTCGTATTTCAGGTCGTGAGGTGGATGAGGATAAAACCTTTTCCGAAATGATTATAGTAATGAAGTGTAAAGGTCTTTTCACGGTTTTGGGCGGGTCACAGGTATTAGTTCCATACATCAATATCTCCCTCTCAAACACGCTCCATTGACGAACGTTTATTTGTGTAAAAGTCATAGACATACGTTTTTTAGTATTGTCTGACCGCTATGAAAATTTTCTCGTAAGCATATGCGTCTTCCACATTTATGCTTGTCATAGTGAATATGAAAACTTCCTTGTCATGGGCGTTGAATTTACCTTTTGTTGATCTACGAGCCCCTTCCCAGTTCAGTTGGCCCGACTAGTGAAATCTTAGTTTCTTCTTATCAAACACAAATAATAAAAATGTAGCAGGGTGTTAGGTTTAAAATATTAACAATGAATATTTTGATAATATATGGTAGAAAACACCAACTTTATCACTCCCTGATCAAATTTGCAGCATAAAAATAACACATGTTGCAATTACAGCATATCAACCTATTTTCATTTAAATGCAAAATAAGTATATAACGCATAGGTGGCTGTGAAAAATTAAAGCCATGACAATTGTTTTTATTAATCACAACTATCAGAATACGTTTAAAATAGTTTTGGGTAGTTAAGGTTTTCAAAATGGGTAGAGGAAAGGTTATTAGTGAGAAAATTCGGTTACTGATAATTAAATTTTTTAATTCTGGGAAATCAAACTCAGAAATTGCAACTTTGTTAGACTTATCGCGGTACAGTGTGAGAAATATTGTTAGAAGATATAACGTAACTGGTTCAGTTAATATTAAGCCACGATATGTGGAAAAAGTAATATCACAAATGCCGACCGAAGAGCATTAAGAAGAATAATCGTGAAAAACAGGCATGCCAATTATTTACAATGAAGTGCTCTGTGGAGTGACGCTGTTGGAAGGAGAATTTCGAGGTCCATAACTCATACAGAGGCCCACAAACTGAGGTTTAGCACTTGCAAGGTAAGTTTTCTTATAAAAAAAAGTGAAGTAAAAACCCTAAAGTTGCACAACTTGTTTATCGGCCAAAGAAAAGCCACTATTAACTCCACTGCAAGTGCCTGCAAAGTTACGACGGTCATTTTGTAATGACAGAGAAGCTTTATTTGCGTAAATTGTATCACAAAGTAAAATATGTACCTACATTTTTTCACTTTTCAACATCACCAGCTTTGGTTCACGTCGTCAAAGAATGCTGCCGCCTGACTGTTAAACCAATTATTAACTGTTCCTTTTAACATGTCACCATTTTCCCAGCGCTTTCCACCAAGAAATTCCTTAAGTTTTGGAAACATATGAAAGTCTATGTTTACTAAGTCACGACTGTTTGGTAGATGATTCCCAACGAAACTTATTAATTGCGTCTATGTTCTTGCCGCAACGTGAGGCCGAGCGTTGTCGTGAAGCAGAACGACGCCGCTAGAGCTCAAGCCCCGCCGGAGGTTATGAGTAGCGCGCCTAAACTTCAACAAGCTGCTGGTGAATTTCAGCAGTGCGAACTTTTTTGCGTTTTAAAATCAAATTACTGAGCGCATAATCACAAAATTAAAATCAACGAGGCGTGAAACGTAATGGCGGCGTAGTGAGAGACTGGCCAAGAGTGTCCGAGGTTAAACGGACATCACGTGACAAGTTGGAATTTAAAAATTGCCCTATTGCTTCGAGTTTTGTGTTATAGTGTAGAGAGGTTCTGGATAGTTCAGCAGCGAGGCATCGAACGTGAAAATAATACGGCCGACACACTTGCCGCAGGGCAGGTTTGTTGATCCTGAGCCAACTCTAGCCGTGCTAACTGCCGTGCCCGCCCAAATATTTAGGAGGGTAACGGAGGTATGGATATCAACAAAACACTCTCTGAGGTAGAACAGACATCTCTGTCAGGCACGTGAGCTCATTTTAGGGCGTAGTGCAAAGGATGGACGTTTATTCATATCTCTCGACGGAAACAACCCGAGGTTGCTGGTGGGACACTGTTGCCTGGCCCTAGTGATGTGTAGTTCGCGAACGAACTAGTTCAAACGAAAGATTCTTCTGACTGAACTAAATGAACTAGTTCCTCATTCCCCGAGAAACTCTTTCACTCGTTCACCACGAACTAACAGAACCGCCGCCGTTGCGAATCAACGAACGAAAGAGATAAAGAGAACGAAACAGGTTCAAGAGAAGAGAGGCGCTCTTGTGAACGAACGAAAGACCGAGAGTGGGATAGGAAAATGTTGCCAAGCTTAAAGAACTTTCGTGAGATCTAAGAATGTTCCATCTGCGGAGCAGAATTCGGAACTTTTCAGATGCAAAAGAATGTTGTTGATATTATATTATGGTGAATTTGAGCAGAAGATATTTTTACGTTTTTGATAAAAAGATGAAAAGTTAACTACACGTGGTGTTTCCTAGCGGTCACCAATCCAAGTATTAACGGCACATTATTATACAAACTGAATCATACGTATTACGTATATACTTTTTGATAGCTACTTAGCTACTGCGGATTAATATTAAGCATATATTTATTGTCGTGGACTTTGATCTTATATGGTTAGAACTATTACTTCAGCAAATCAGCAGTGATCGAAACGTCGAGTAAAACACAGACAATAGAATATTTATTTGAAAATAAATAATAAAGAATCAACATAAAATTGTACAAAAACATAAAGTTATAAAAACATAACAAATGCTGCTGACTGCAGGTTACAAAGGCCAGAAGAAATAAAAATTAGCTCCTATCAAGGATAATTAGGAAAAAACAAAACTAAAACGAAAATGTGATAAATCAACATAACTATAAATTTCCATTCAAAAACATTATTTTTTGAACTTTGTCAGCTCCTAACCTACTTCTTCTTTCCGTCAGGACTTGCCCAGCCTTCGAAAAAAGCCGCTCACATGGCACAGATGTTGCTATCAGACATAAACGTTTTTTCACCATTTCGAACAGTCTAGGATATACTCGTACCTTCGCTCTTTCCTGCCACCATTTTAGAGGATCTTCTGTTCTTGGTAAAAGCGGTTCTGCCAAATATTTATCGAGCTCTATAATCCCTCCTGCCAACGAACTTTGTGCACCAGAAAGACTTTTTACTTCTTGGTCAAAATCGTCCCAAAGGTCTGAGTCTGTTTTCACCCTTTTGGATTCATTTTCCTCCTGGTTTGAGTCTAAAATACTCTGATTGGGTGGATTCATTGCTGAAAGTTTTGTTTTCAACTGTTCAATTGAAGCTTTGAATTTTTGTTCATCTGTGAATCCAAGCTTTTTATATCGTGGATCCAGAATTGTTGCTTGTCAAGCAAGCTCGTTGTCTTCATAGCTCCTAGATCTTTTTAGTATTTGTTCACTTAATTTCTCCATCATACGCATGATTTCAATTGGAGCTGATTCTCCGCGTAAGAAAATGTAGAGGCTGTGCAGCTTTCTCCGCATTATTTTTAATATTGGAAGCGTTTTGGACAGTGTGACTGTCTTCTCTGCGGAGATTTCGTTAGTCACATCCTGGAACAATTTTAGAATTTGCGTGCCATATTGGATGATCTTCCAGTCATGGCTACTTAACGAGGAACTTAAGTCATTTTCTAGAATGGCTAACGTACTAATAACCGCCTCTTTGACTTCCATTATCCTCGAGAGCATATATGTGGAGTTCCAGCGAGTCTCCACATCTTGTTTCAATTTACGAGGTGGTAAACTCATCTGCTCTTGTATATGAGTCAGTCTCGATTGAGCCTGTAAGCTACGTTTGAAAAACTCAACAATAGATTTTACTTTTTTTATAGTTTGGCCAATCTCTTTAATTGCCTCCTGTACAACTAAATTCAATGTGTGCGCGAAGCACGGCAAATGACGCCATTGGCAACGTCGCACTGCTGCAATCATGTTTGGGGCGTTATCCGTTGTACAGGCGGCAATTTTATTTTCCATGTTAAATTCTTTTACTGTGTCCAATAAAAACTTACTCAAATTTTCCGCAGTGTGACGTTCCCCGTAACATTCGCAGTTCAATAACGCTGAAGATAGATTCAAATCGTCACTAAAAAAATGAACTGTTACACCAATAAAATTTTCATTGTTTATAGATGTCCATGAATCTACGGTTAAATTTGCTGCACTTACATACTGCATCCGGTTCTTTAATTTTTCAAGTTCGGAAAGATAAAGATTCGGTATGAGAGTCTGAGAAATTGTTTTTCTCGTGGGCAGAGAATATCCTGGGTTCAACATGTTGACGAACTTTTTGAATTCCTTATCTTCCACAATTGAAATGGGTTGGTACTCTTTGACAATCATCCGCACTAACTGCAAATCTAAGTTTTTTGCTTTTGACGAGGGGACAGGCCGAACAAAATATTCTCGCAGTGTACTCGACGACACAGGATATTTCAAATGTACTGCAGTATTTACCCGCTCATCTTGCATGTTTGATGTTGCCGGTTGTGGTTCAAGAAGGTGAGGCACATTATCCAGATTTTGTCCGTCAGCAAGTGGTCCTTGTATCTCTCGTTCAGCAACAGTTTTAAGAGTAGGGTGCTTAGCTTTCATATGTCTTGACAAATTTCCTAACGAACCATTTGCAATGCTGATGTTTTGGCTACAATATTTGCACTTTGCTTTTAGGTTTTCAGATTTATCGAAATGGTTCCAAATTGCACTTCTATTTCTCCTCACCATTTTCAAACAAATTTTCGGTCGTCAGGTAAAATGAAAAGTTCAAAATTTTCACGCTCGGTCTTCGATCCTACCAGCTTCCCACGTCCTTATCAACACGCTACAGCCTACGGTGCCGGCATGGTATCGGCGCACGCGTGAGCGATCGTGAACGAGAAAGAGTATTGCCAAGTGTACAGAACTTTAGCCATATCTAAGGATTTGTCAACTACGGAACAGAATTAAGGACGCTTCAGATGTAAAATAAAGTTGTCATTTTATTTAGATGCGTATTATTGAGCAGCAGATACTATAATTTTTCACATTTCAGATGTAACTAAAAAAAAAAGAAAGCAAACTAAATATGGTATTCCTAGCGATCATTCATCCAAATATCAACCGTGCCGGATGCTGCTTAGCCCCTATAATAATAATAATGATAATAATAATAATAATAATAATAATAATAATAATAGTAATAATTTTTTTAACAAAGCTGAAATGTAGACAACAAATGCTATCTACTGCTCGAAATTGAATAAAGCATCTAGTAAAGCTGTTGAAATTTATCATATTATAAACGGGATCGGCAACCATGTCTACTGTCTACTATAGGCTGTATATGCGTTGCGTAATATATTTCGTTCGCGAACTAGATGACAACGTGGTCACCTTTAACCGTTAATGTATGGTGTACTATGTGTTGCATAAATCTAGTTCGTTCGTGAACTAGTTCCTAGAACTAGTTCGTTTCGGTGAATGAGATCTATTGAACTAGTTCACCGAAATCCTGGCCCCTTTGATGTGAGTGGCTCGCATGCTCCGAGTTGCTGCGACGCTGCGAGGCTCTGGAGTACTACAGGCAGACTATACGTCTAGTATTTTGGATCCTTAGAATGTCAAGTAGTTGGTGTTCAGGGTAGGAGGGCGAGACTTGAAGCACCGAGAAGATAACAGGTAGAAAAGAGCCCCCCGGCTATGTGCTGTTTTTTCTTGGTTGCCTTAATGCATCTAATTTACATTTAATTGATCTATTGAAGTTTCAACCGCTTGCAACAACGAAAGATGATGTCCTCTGAAGGCATATATATTATTTTTAGGCATCCTATGGCTCTTTTTCTGCCTCAAGGCTTCCTGCGATGTAACATTCAAACAGTGTTACCAGGTCTTCCGATTTTTCCCTAGATCTATAGATTTTAGTCCTTTCTGCTAAAGTACCGATTTTAATTCGAAATCTTCCGAAAATTTCAGAAATGTTTCAGATATACCTAATCCAAAGAAAAACAAGAACACAAGAATAGAGCACTTTACTCCTGGCGCGCGCTCTTCTTCAAGTATCAGCATTTCAACATTTTATGCTACCCCCCCCCCCCCACCCTTCTACTCTTCAAGTTTCAAAATGGAATGGAGCTGAAGCAAGGTGCATCACTCTTCAATCACCGGCAAGTTTTTGGTTTAATGGCTCCTTAAAACCATCAAAAATTCCGCACAAATATACCCAAGACAGATCTACTACATAGTCATGCCATAAGTTCTGTCCCTCGTTTTCAAACAAGTGTAGACCTGTTAATACTTGTCCGATTGTTTACATTGTGGTGTCAGTTGATTAAGCGCTTTTCGGGTAATTACATATACCTCAGTTTGTATTGATCTCTCGAAGCATAACGATGGAGTGGGGCAAGGCAGAGAACCGTATTGCAGTGATAGCTTTACATAAGTGTAATCACAGTGCTAGTCAGATTTTTGAACTCTTACGCGGCCTTCAAATATCGCGTAAATTTGTGTCTAGGACCATTCAGCGGTACAATGAGACGTCCTCTGTTGATGACAGGCCAAGAAGCGGAAGACCTCGTCAAGTAAGGACTCCAGCAGCCATCAAAGCCCTAAAAGCCAGGATTCAAAGGAATCCACTCCGGAAGCAGAAGATCCTATCCAGGGAAATGAAGATTCCTGTCCGGACGATGTCGCGCATCATTAAACAAGACCTAGGGCTAGGGGCTTACCGGAGACGTACGGGCCAGCGACTTACGGCCACCTTGCGACACATCAGGGCGACAAAATCCAAGAAGCTCTTGGAGAGGTACGCAGCTGGGGGATTCCGAAAGATTTTGTTCACGGATGAGAAAATCTTCACCATAGAAGAAAAATTCAACCGACAAAATGACAAAGTGTATGCAAGGAGTTCACAGGAAGCTTCGGAGATCATTCCGAGAGTTGAGAGAGGCCACCACCCTGCGTCAGTCATGGTTTGGTGGGGGGTATCCTACGAAGGGGTCACTCAGCTCCATTTCTGTAAACAGGGCGTGAAAACAAAAGCGGCAAACTATCAGAGCGACATACTGGATCCTATCGTCAAGCCTTTAAGTGGTACATTGTTTGCCAACCAACACTGGGTCTACCAGCAGGATTCCGCCCCCGCTCACAAGGCTAAGAGTACGCAGCGCTGGCTGGAAAGCAATGTGCCAGAGTTCATTGCTGCGGAAGATTGGCCCTCAGGGAGTCCGGACCTCAATCCTTTAGACTACAAGTTGTGGGACCTGCTAGAGCAGTTGGCCTGCTCCAAAGCCCACCGTAATATCGAGTCCCTGAAAGCGGATTTGATCCGATCAGCGGCAGCTATTCCTTTGGAAGCTGTGCGTGCAGTGATAGTTGAGTGGCCCGCGAGATTGAAGCAGTGTGTGAAGGCCAAGGGGGGACATTTTGAATAAAACTGTAATGATTATGAATTCTAAAAATGTTGTCGAATAAATAATATCTTTCATATAAATATATCTTATCTTGTTTCATTTTTATCATGAGATTATCATGGGACAGAACTTATGGCACGACTACGTATACCTAATAGTATACATAAGCATAAGAGGTAGAAATGGCTCATGGCCTTAGCGCTGGCTTGTCTCGGTGGTCTGAATAACCTCTAATTTTCATTTAACTGATTCATTGAAGTTTCAATCCCTTGTAACAACGGGAGATGACGATGGATTTTTTCTCTGTGAAGTCATATATTATTATTAGGTGTCATATGGCCCATTTTCTACCTTAGGGCTTCCTGTGATGTATTTTCAAATGTCAGGTAAATTGTAAAATCATTATATATGCACAGACAATCCTCGAAATCAACAAGTGGTTCGAAACCGGAGCTTATTGACGCCCATCCTTGAACCCCATTGTCCACGGCTAACCGCGATTGTGGTAGGGATATGTCCAAAGCAGCAAGGCAAGAGCGGATCGCTCAAGAAAGCACAGCACGGCGGCAAAACAAGTGAACAGTCGAACTTGGTCGAACCAATCGGCTATCAAATCGACTGAACGAACGGTTACGGTGACTCACGAATATGTTATGAGCAACATTGCCAGATTGTAGACAAAATACAAATCCTGGGCCTTGAATTTTTGCCTTTTTAACGATTAACGCATTTTGGATTTTTGATAAAGACGAAAAAGATTGATAGGCTTTTAAAACGCGATGCATTGGCGATGGCGTTATCAGCTAAAAAAATACAGATCGTCTCTAAACGTCGCTTTGGTATCTTTTAAGACGTCCTATAATGGTTTTTGGGAATAGTAAAAAAACTTTTCAGTCGATTAATGTGATTAATGTAGCACGAGTGCAGAGCTCAGGAGGGCAGTGTGAAAAAAATATACAGCTCGTTTATTTCTTTTGTCGACAAAAATCATTTTTCATGGAACCCAAAAATCGTAGATCCGCCACTGGTCACATCTCATTCCAAAATATAAAATGACGTCAAGTAGGTTGACTCCGCACTTCCCACGCAACGCCATTATGGACTTATAAAGGGTTACGTTCAGTCAGACCAGTGCCTGCCAGACAGACCCACCTGACTTTGGCGTCCCATCCTAACCGTGTCGAACTTCGTACATCCAGAACTGGCCGATACCTTTGTCCCGAGGGTGTCGAGATTGTGGAACAATCTACAAGAGGAAGCGTTCTGCGAACCTTAGGCAGTTCGAAAATCGTATTAACAAAATTTCTTTGGGATGATCATAGCAGCAGCGGTGTTCCTGCTTTTAGGCTTCTGCCTGCGCAGCTGCTTCGATATAAAAAAACAGGCCCATATACAATTAATCCATAGACATTCTTTCCCTTATCGTACCGGTAGTGCATCTGAAAACGTCGATTTCTTTTTCCAAAACTGATCAGGATCCTCTGGAACGATTTTCAGAAACTACAAAGCTTTCATCGAAATCCGAACGGTACATCTAAACTTATACGCGCTTATAGGACTAGCGGGCAAACCGACAGGCAGACCGACGGAAACGAGTGACATGGTTCTTCGTGATGTACATGTCATATATAGGTAGCATCCAAAATACCTAATATCGCATTTTCGAAAAGTTTTGGGATTACATTGCTTCCGTGCTATTAAGCATGCAAAATCATCATTTGCTCCTTTTGTTGAAAAAAACGAAAAAGTTTTTTCTGGATACCACCACCGAAACATGTTCCTTTTGGGTATATCGGGTGCGGCGATCACGAATCAGATGCTACGAAAGTCCCATCTCTCCACTCTAAACAGGACTTCACGACACTTGAAAGTTTTACTTCCCACGCTTACTGACGAGGACGTATTGTAATAACGAAAAACATGTGTTTTTTGTGTTATATGACGAAATTAAATTGTATGCGCCTGTTTGGCTCACTTGGTCCATTTGATTTTCTTGTTATACATGTTTGTAGCTAGACGGACTAACTTGTGTCGAATATAACCCTTTGTGAACTGATGACAATATTGCGTAGGAAGTGCAGAGTCAACCTACTTGATGTCTTTTTTCATAGCCAGACTGAAATTACCACTCCTCCTCCTTAGTGTAGAGATTATTCCATTCGCTTGTAGCTACACGTTACGGGGGAAAGGGTATTATTTGATTGCCTTGTTGGAAATCAAATATCCACAGCGTATTCGCTTGTAGTCTCGGTAGACGAAAATGGTTTTCGTTGAGAAACTGGAAGTTAATGAAAATTATCAAAAATGTATATCTACAAAAAAGTCCCGATTGCTGGGTAAATGGGCCGTCATTTGATTATGTGCGTGTACCTGTATATGCATTAAAGTTGTAATATAATACATATGACCAAACTTCGCCATTTTCTGACTCTTTTCCCACAAATAAAGGCCTGTTATTATTATTATTACTACTATTATTATTATTTCAAGGCCTCAAGCGTATTTTGGCGTTCTGTCTGTGTCCCCATGTGGTTGGACTTTTCCAGAAGATATATTGAAGTTTAATGAGTTTTAAACGAGAAATGAGATAATCTTTCTAACATATTCCATTTCTGCCCCGCCTCAAAAAGTGCAAGATTTATTATTATTGTCTCATGGCAACGATGCAATAAGCCTAATGTAGCTTTGCGTCCATTTGTCCACAGTTCCAGACACGCTAATGAAAGTCCCCTGAGTTTAGGTAACACGCAATACGATTTAACTAAACTCGTTGAAAAATTAACAATGGAGACTAGTTGACAGACAATTTGATCTCTCGTCCTACCCTCATTTAAATAATGAAAATGGAATACGGGAAGTGGAAACATGGAAATTTCATCCTCACCACATATTGCAAGTACGAAGTTTAATCCAGAGGCGGCTTCTGACCTTTGGGCTTTCATCTATTTTTACTTCCCACACCAATGGAGGGAAGTATCATACCGTAATTTTTGAACCGTAGGGTTATTACGTAAAAAACCTATAAAACGTCCAAAAACCCGACAAAATGTCAACTTGCTGCCTAGATAGCTCCTAGTATGTAAATAGTACGTTCCGCGTTTGCTCGCTACGAGCGCTGTGAGCGTCATCAAAAGCGTCCATCTATGAAGGAATGACTCAACGACACGACACGCTCAATGACCATAATGCAAGCTGCAAGTCAGTTCTTCCTCATGGTTTGTTGGTTGCAGAATGCCGAGATAGTCTTAAGAGTATACTCTGAGATGTGTGGTTGAGTAGCAGAGTAGCAATATCACATCTGGATGATTGTGTGTATTGGTCTGCATGCGTATAACATCAGTATTATTTGCTATGTGAGATAATTATTACTGAACATTCTGCCCATGAAATCTATCTTTTAGCTGAGCCAGACGGGTTATTTGTGTCTTATCTGTTATGTTCAAAGTTACGATTTTCCCCGTTTTTTTCGTTTTCAAAAACGTTGAGAAGCATTACGGGAAACCACCACCGCTTACGCGTTGTGCCACACTACAGAAAAATTAGGACTGCCTCACATCTAGGCGCTAATTCGTATTCTCTACTTGACATCGAAAAAAAAACTGTAAAATTTAAATGACAAATATTCCTGTATGTACCTACCATACTTTCTCACCTGGTAGTTTTAATATACGCCACGAACCAGAAATTTTTTTTCTTATTGCCCTAATTTTTTTTTCAATTCAGCAAATTTGCAAATATAATTTCCAAGTTGAATAAAAAAAGCGGATGCGCAAATAATTTTTAGCTTTGCATACATCTCAAGTAAGTGTATTTGAAATAAGAAACCAATGGAATTATCATCAACACAAATTATTAGCACACAAATCCTCACTATGCACCTAGCACTGCCGTTTGATACTAGATATAGTATACAACTTTCAGCTTAGATATCGAATAATGCCATCTCTGAAACAGATGTTACATCACATCAGAGCCAAACATTGATGGCTGAAGCGACATGGTGTTTAGGCAACACGTACAGCTATGGAACGAGTACGCAACAAGTGTACAACAGCTAGTTGCTAAATTGACATCTTGCAGAAAACCTACATAATATCAAAAAAACGAAAGAATGTCACTGTTCAAGATACTTAATACCCTTGCGGGAACGAAAGAACAGTCAGTCCGTCCAATACTGCTCGCGTCCTTGCATTATAACTATTTCTTTTTATGAAAATCATTAGCATAATCATCATGCTACACAAAACAACAGTTTCCTTGCTTTTTGAGGACCGTGAAGTCCTATTTTCTGAAAGTTGAATATAAACTGGTCTAAAGAGCGCCATCTCTTGTCGAATTCATCATTCCAGTAAAATCACGTAAGAAGGGACGTTACTGGTAAAAACCACGCCTCAATTTCCATTGGACATGTGGTTGGTCACGTGTTGCTTTGTTGCTCATTTTGAAATTGACAATCAGCTGTTTCGCAAGCAGGCCCACGTGAAATTTCGAAATCGAACGCCGGCTTCGAAACCTTCAGTAAAATTCCATTTTTGTTTCACTGTTATGTAGTTCCAATACGTGGGAACATTTTATTTAAATATTTGAATTAAGTTTAATAAACCATAATCAAATGCACACCATATCAAGAAGGTTAATGGAATAAAAGTCAGGTGTTTTGATGTTCCTACTTTTATATTTTTTCCAGACTGGTTCAGAAAATATCTGTTCCAATTTTCCGTACGAGTACTCACGCCACGAAACTGATAAGTACTCAAAATCAGCATAGATATGAAGACAAAGACCCAGAGACAAAGTTATTTGGAAAGTTGCTTATTGGGGCAGCATCTGCAGGGTTATTGGCAACATATTTCGATGGTAAGTAATTAATGAAGTTAATTTTACACATATTCAGATTATTTCTGAAAGTCAGCCCAATATACAGACGTCTGAGCTATAAACCAATCAAAGGTTATGTAAATATTACTCAATATCTACAAAACGCGTTATATCCAATAGTATTTTTGTTATACATAAGCATTTGTTGTCAAACATACCCTGTTTTTCAAGGTTTTACCTGTAGGGCATGTATCTTAAATCTAAATTATTCAAGTACCTATAATCTTCATACCTAATTAAGAATTTTGTTTCTAGCAGATAACTCATATTACTTTTACAATCATTCTAATTGTTGGAGACTTCAAGTGTTCATTATTCCATTCCATATCTATGACTCTTTTTCAAAATGGTTTCGTTAGATATAGATTTTAATAAATACCTGATCGAAAAAACTCTCTTAATACATTGTCTATACTGTAGAAAAGAAGAAGGTTGACTGTAAAGTAGCACAAACATCTGGTACATTCAAAGATGGCTTACCAGAGTACACAATTGAAGAAGTTAGTAAACACAATACTCAGTAAGTACCACTATATTTGAAATTGACTGTTGTTTATACTATGAATATGGGATTTTTCAGGGAATCAAGGATTTGGGTGACATACAAGGAAGGTGTCTATGACATAACAGATTTTGTACCAGGACATCCTGGAGGTGATCAGATCCTTATGGCAGCTGGCAGCTCTGTAGAGCCCTTTTGGGTTCTTTATGGCATACATGAGAATCAGCATGTATATGATATATTGGAAAAATATAGAATAGGTTTGCTATATCTCCATTCTATTCCATTCAACAAGCGTTATTAGCATATGAGCAAGACAAAACATGTTTTGCATCTTCAATAAGAGGAAAAGTACAGTCCATCATGATTATGGCATATTTTGAACAGGCATCTTCTTCCTGGTATTTTCAAGCCAGCATTTAATTTGACACACATAGCATTTGGTCACACGTTTGTTTGATGCTTGTATACACGGAACACGAACATGTCCATTTTTCGCGACAGACATACAGTTAGTATGAAGATTTTCAAAAATCTTTAGATATATGTGATCTGGATGAAAACTCGATTCCAGGGTGAATTGTATGCGTAGATTCCAAATTCGAACTCAATTTCACTGTAGGTCACAAGCTATTCGTTATTTACCTCAACTTTGGCCTCGCGATACTTCACGATTTCTTCTCTGGTTATATTCATATCCACCGCCCTCGCGGAGGTACCATGCAACCCATTATTTACCTTAAGCTCTGCTTTACGACACTCCATTCTACTTTGATGGCCATACTTGAATTCAGCTGCCCAAATTATCTAGTGTACAAAGTTTCATTCGTTTGTAACAAAAGTAGACCGAAGTGGAAATACTATAATTTGAGATTTTCCAAAGGATCTATGCTCTCTTGTTAGATTTGACCCTGACAGGGACTATAACCTATAAGAACTGAATGATTCAAAAAATGCCTTTCATTTCTAGGTAACTTGGATAAACATGATGCTCAGACTTTCACACAAAACATGGAAGACCCTTATAGTAGCGATCCAAAAAGACATCCTGTATTGAAACCTGCCAGTGTGAAGCCATTCAATGCTGAGCCTCCTCCCTCCTTGCTGGTGGAGAACTTTATAACACCTAAGTATGTTTTTTGAACGCATATTGGACTCAGTTTGTGTGCCGTATCGTCAGTCGGTCCTACAATTGTAGGACGCCTTTATGGCCTCCTTGATTTTCATAGTGTTTCCTGTGCTTTAGCAAGGCAGGGGTATTTCTTCATTTCTAGATTTCTGTTTCGTGTCAACACCCTATTTTTGAATTCTAAGAAATTTCAGGCTGATAAAACGTGATATTTATCATCTGTTTTATCAGCCTGAAATTTCTTAAGATTCAAAAAGAACACATAACCTCACAATAGTAGAACGCTGACACAGAACAGTAGAGACATCTAGAAATAGCCCAGCCTTTCTGAAGGAGAGAAAAGACTATGACGATCAAGGAGGTCATAACGGCATCCTACAATTATTGTAGGAACGACTGACGATACGGCCCTTAGTTGAAATATTCCTGGTAATAACTAAATGCCGCCATCCAGATTGACGCAATAAACTCAATTCAACACAAATTAAGCCCACTACCCTAACTGCCAAATAGTGTTCTTCCTTTTTTCCTCGCCGATTTACAAGTATTTAATAAGAACAGAACGTTTCCAGGCTCTTCATGTCATTAAATATGTCATCATAAAGTTGATTTTGTCTTCAGAAATGAGACTGATGACCCAGGCGGGACTCACGCACTTTTCTTCTAAGAATGGCCCGAGGAACGAGCCTTAGTGTTCCAAAAATTAACAGAATCAGGCCTACTCCTATCTATTAATTTATTAATTCAGTGTTTAAAGAATTAACGCCCATGATATTATTTTAACAAATGAGCAATATCATGCAAAAAATCAAGAATTCAAGTTATAATAATAGAAGTCTACGTCTACGCCAATAGAAGGTCCGCCATTTTTTTATTTTTACTCAGATCGAGAGATTTTGTTATTCAAAAATGATAAAACAATTGAGCAAAAAATATTGATATTTACGTCGACTAAAAGCATTTCAAAGTCAAGGATCGGCGCGAGGCTGGAAAACGTACATGTGCGCGAGACTAGACCGCGTGACGTCAGTAGCCAGACACACCTCGCTAGCTGGCCCGCTGCATTCACCATTCTCACAACAACGCCCCAGTAATCGGTTTGGAGTACATAGAACTGGTACGATAGATTATTGTTAAATTCTGTTAACTTTGACCGTTTTTAATAACAAAATCCCTCGATTTTAATTAAAATAAGAGAAATACGAAAAATGTCGAACCTTCCTATTCAGTATGTATCTATACTAAGTGACATATAAATCCGAACACCCAGTTTAAATGGTTTTATTTTAATAAAATTTTGTATAAGTACTTAATGAAGCATAATAAGTAAATGATAAAAATTTCAAAATGATTGCACTGCTTTAAAGCCCTTTGACCTTTAATAATGTGTGGATGCACCCTGATGTGCTACGCATTCTCCAACGCGCCTAGGCATGCTTCTGATCAGGTGGTCAATGTCCTCCTGTGGTATCTCATTCCAGGCAACCACCAACTCATCTCGAAGTGCTTCTAGAGTCTGAGGAGGACGTTGCAAATTGAGCAATCTCCTACCCATCATATCCCACACGTGCTCAATTGAGGATAAGTCGGGAGATCTTGGTGGCCATGGTAACAATGTGACATCATTATGTTGAAAGAAGTCTATTGTGACTCTTGCAACATGTGGTCGGGCATTATCTTGTTGGAAAGTTGGATCTGCCAGGGTGTCAAGATAGGGTAAAAGATGAGGTTCTAGAACTTCGTGGATATAACGCTGCGCGTTCATGTTACCTCTGATGAAGATTAAAGGTGACCTGGAACCATAAGCTATAGCACCCCAAACCATAACTCCAACAGTGTGATGAACATGTCTTTCAACAAAAAACTGTGGATTCCTCCTTTCACCACGTCGCCTTCTAACCCTGGCACGACCATCGTGCATGCCTAAACAAAATCGAGACTCGTCACTAAAGACAATACTGTTCCATTGCTGATCCCAGAGTGACCGTTGTCTGCACCACTCAAGGAGATTACACTTCGCATGCCAATAGGTCTTCCGTGTTCTGCAAACCATTCATTTGCAATGGACCTAGTAGTGGAGAAACGGTCCCTTAAGGCCAATAATCTTAGGCGGCGATCTTCACGGTCTGTTGTTCTACGGCGGCGTCCAGTGCCTCTTGCTCTTTGCGTACGGCCTTCTCGATGCCATGCCTGACAACACCTAACCACAGTGTCTACACTTCTTTGCACTCTAACTGCAGTTGCCCGAAAAGAAAGTCCAGCTTCCCGAAGTCCCACTATACGGCCCCTATCAAACTCACTAAGTTGACGAAATCGTACAGGTCTCCGTACTCTAGGCATCGTAACCGATCGTAAAGGATGTCAAGAAACAAAATCCGCCAACGTTGATTCTTTACTGCGGCTGAAATATTCATTTTTAGAGCGTTAGTGAATTAAAAAAAAGCAGTATAAAAATCGGAATGTCCGACTGATAAGGCTGAAAATTTTTTCACTTGTTATTTACAGTAAGATAAATACATTCACCAACTTTTATTAAAATAAAACCATTTAAACTGGGTGTTCGGATTTATATGTCACTTAGTATATTTAAGTTCGAAATGTGTTCATAATTTTTGCACATCAAATGTCAATTATTTTTCAGAGAACTTTTTTATGTAAGGAACCATTTGCCAGTACCCAACATAGACGCTGAGCAGTACAAATTAGAAATAGAAATTGAAGGTGCGAAAAAGACGGTATCGCTCTCTCTTGACGATCTAAAGAAGATGCCGAAAAAAACGATCACAGCTACTATTATGTGTGCTGGAAATAGGCGAAGCGAAATGGTCAAGGTATTCCAAAATTTGTCGAAAATCAAAAATTCTGGCGATAGAAGGATGAAGACAGAAAAGATCAAGACATACAGCTGCTGCTGAGATTCTAATTATACCACAGTTTTCATTGGAATATTTTTTCTAAAAAGTTCGTAATAATTGGAGACTCAGTTGCTAAAACCAGGAAGTCCATGTAACTAATTTCATCATACCATAGTTTCAAGAGAAATGGTTTCTTTTTGCTTCAAAATTGTGTTTTACAGGTCAAGACAGTAAAAGGCTTGAACTGGGGTCCAGCTGCTGTTGCAAACGCCACTTGGACGGGTGTACCTTTACGCGATGTCTTGAAAAATGCAGGACTTGATCAATTTGACGACAAATATAAACATGTACAGGTACGAACATATTCTCAAATTAGTCCAATGACATAAAAGGAGGGACATCCTATTGTAATGAAAACATCGTTTCTACTATTTGAACTCTAATTTATTACTCTAACACTAACACTTGCATCTAATTTATTAAAAATATATGACTATGTCGACTGGACTATAGTATTCCGCGTTGATGACTGTCGGTCGACCCACCTATCTGCCATCGGCGCTTGTATTTATTTTCAAATCGATGCAAGCGGAAGCACTCCGGTGTTTTGAATCGAACTCGAGTCTTCATCGAAGCCTGATAGATGGCGGTCGATGTTTCTCCATGCGTGACGAACGTTCGTGATGCGCGCACGCGCAATTCTGGTTGCCTAAGCGCCGTAAACATTTAAACATTTGTCAAGTCGTAGCGCCAGTTGGATACCGACGTCATAGACCGCTATCGCCTGTCCGTTAAACCAGTTAGTGACTGTTTCTCTTATAATGTCATAATTTTTCAAGCGGTTTCTACCAGGAAATTCCTAAAGTTAGGCATTAACGTTTCAAGTAATTTCATTCCCAAGTCTAGTTTATGAAAATATCAAGCTACTTGACTGGATAAATCACTACATACAACTAACACCGATAGAGGCGACATAGTGAGAGACTGGCCAAGAGTATCTGAGGTTGAACGGACGTCACGTGACAGGATGCGCGGGCACGATGAGCAGTCGGTTCTTACTTTAAAAATTACATTCGTAATTCCATTTCACAGTAGGCTGTAACAGCTGTTATCTCAGACTTTCAAAATGTGGTAGAATAATTGCAAGATTTACAACATTTTTCAGACTATCAAAATATTCAGAATTCTTGATATTTTTCAATACTTTCAGAACCTTCAAATAGTTTCAAGATATTCAAGATTACATAGTTTTGTAAAATTAGGAAATCGTGCAAATTTCGAAAAAAAAAATAAATTTTGAAAACCTATGAAGACAACTGTTAAATCCTAGTAAAAAATGGAACTATTATATCCAAGAATATTCCTCAAACGGCACTCAAACCTCAGGGAATGTCTGTCAATGTGACGCAAAATGTTCCGCTACAAAAATACCTTATCTTTAGAAATGAAACTGATTGACGACGGAGAAATGGAGGGAGCGAATGTTCTAGAAGGAAAGGTTAGGGAATACTGTTGTACTCAAAAAGTAGTAGAGGCACGTCCACTTTCTATTAGATATTCTACTGCTACCGTTTTTACGAAATATCATATAAAGACACTTACAGAATTTAGTTTTATATCAAAGTGTCTTCCTAAATTTAAATATTCTGCTTTGCACGTTTTTAGTTTGAGGCAGAAGACGTAGATGCGACAGGAAAGAACTATGGTGCCTCCATTCCTATATGGAAAGCTATAGATGAAAGAGGTGACGTTTTGCTAGCATACGAGATGAATGGAGCACCATTGCCGAGAGATCACGGTTATCCTGTCAGAGTTATTGTCCCAGGGGTAGTTGGAGCTAGAAACGTCAAATGGTTAGGTGAGCAACTGATTGTACATTTGCAAAATGTTTTAGGGACGTAGTGCCGTAGTGACACTTTTCCAGATAGGGGTCCCTATACTCAAATGTTTTCTACTGTTACACTGAAAAACCCCTAGAAGTTTGATCCCATAGTTCTGAAACACCCTGTATACAGAGAGATTATTGCTGTTCTGAAATCCGTCCATATACTTTGTTTTTTGATTGGAACAAAAGGACACGCAAGTGTGACGTTTATGGTCGTGAAAAAAAAATCAATCCAAACTGTTCCCCGTTTCTTCACTTGAAAATAATGTATTTATTTTATGTACAACAAAAGGTTCATTTGAATTCCCTGTATTTTCTACTGACGGAGCCAGTCAATATGATTTGAACGTTATTCCTGATGCCGTTGCATTTTCACGTCAACATGTCAACGTTAGAGAATATAGATGATTTTCCTCACATCTGACAGATATCTAACCTGAACTACAGGCAGCAGCGGTGGCCGCAGTTGTAGACTCTTCGGTCGCCTGATCAGTCGCCGTGCGCTGTGCGGGTCCGAGTCCCGTCCCAGGAGAAATTTTTCTCTTGGCTATGGATGTTGTGATTGTCCGTAGGTGGTAGACGGTATCTGACTGTCGAACGGCGGATCTCGTAGGCGGAGCCAGAATGTATGCATGTTGCATGCACACGAGTTCCCTCGCCAGAGTCCGTGAGGCGTTCCTCCCCCTTTCCCATGTAGCCCCACGGTACCCAATGGGTGCATAGACCTTAGGCCTTCGTGGTAGTTGGAATATATAAAAAAAACAGGTTCACGTTCACAGGGCGACCGATAATTTATTCCGGCGCGCTAGGATCCACGTGAATTTTACGTTTTAACGTTTGAGGCCGGGATTTGTCATCTCTCCTTCATAAAAAAAAGTAAAAACACTCGGATTATACCGCCTGAAGGCAAAATATTGATATTCAAAACAAAATGATTGGAAAATACCCCATTCATGCATTATGTAAATAGTTGTTTACTTAACAAGTTCGGAAAGTGATACTAAGTGTTAGAATAAGATTTTTTCTAACAGGGTGCGGAAAGGGCTTACTTTCATCACGAATCTGCGTGCAGAAAGTAGCACTTGTGCGGAAAAGTGCTACTTTCCGCACGCTGGTAAAAAAATCCTTTTTCCCTACAATACATAAATTAGTTGATCGACCGCTTTCAAGTCTCTCTCTGAACTCTACCCATTTGATTATAAAAGGATTCTTATTTTTCTCATATGAATAAACAAGTATTGTTGATTCAATAAATATCCTTCAGATTATCAGCGGAGTAAAAATAAAATTATACTGATATGTGTATTTATAGAATCTTATTAATGACATACTAAGTATTAATACTTTAAATCATACTATACTAAGTGACATATAAATCCGAACACCCAGTTTAAATGGTTTTATTTTAATAAAAGTTGGTGAATGTATTTATCTTACTGTAAATAAGTGAAAAAAATTTCAGCCTTATCAGTTGGACATTCCGATTTTTATACTGCTTTTTTTTAATTCACTAACACGCTCTAAAAATGAATATTTCAGCCGCAGTAAAGAATCAACGTTGGCGGATTTTGGTTCTTGACATCCTTTACGATCGTTTACGATGCCTAGAGTACGGAGACCTGTACGATTTCGTCAACTTAGTGAGTTTGATAGGGGCCGTATAGTGGGACTTCGGGAAGCTGGACTTTCTTTTCGGGCAATTGCAGTTAGAGTGCAAAGAAGTGTAGACACTGTGGTTAGGTGTTGTCAGGCATGGCTTCGAGAAGGCCGTACGCAAAGAGCAAGGGGCACTGGAAGCCGCCGTAGAACAACAGACCGTGAAGATCGCCGCCTAAGATTATTGGCCTCAAGGGACCGTTTCTCCACTACCAGGTCCATTGCAAATGAATGGTTTGCAGAACACGGAAGACCTATTGGCATGCGAAGTGTTTACCGACGAATGAGAAGTTTTGGCTTGTTTTCATACCGCCCACACTGGGTCCTCCCTTTAACTCGAGAACATCGACGTGATCGCCTTGAGTGGTGCAGACAACGGTCACTCTGGGATCAGGAATGGAACAGTATTGTCTTTAGTGACGAGTCTCGATTTTGTTTAGGCATGCACGATGGTCGTGCCAGGGTTAGAAGGCGACGTGGTGAAAGGAGGAATTCACAGTTTTTTGTTGAAAGACATGTTCATCACACTGTTGGAGTTATGGTTTGGGGTGCTATAGCTTATGGTTCCAGGTCCCCTTTAATCTTCATCAGAGGTAACATGAACGCGCAGCGTTATATCCACGAAGTTCTAGAACCCCATCTGTTACCCTATCTTGACACCCTGGCAGATCCAACTTTCCAACAAGATAATGCCCGACCACATGTTGCAAGAGTCACAATAGACTTCTTTCAACATAATGATGTCACATTGTTACCATGGCCACCAAGATCTCCCGACTTATCCCCAATTGAGCACGTGTGAGATATGATGGGTAGAAGATTGCTCAATTTGCAACGTCCTCCTCAGACTCTAGAAGCACTTCGAGAGGAGTTGGTGGTTGCCTGGAATGAGATACCACAGGAGGACATTGACCACCTGATCAGAAGCATACCTAGGCGCGTTGGAGGATGTGTAGCACATGAGGGTGCATCCACACATGATTAAAGGTCAAAGAGCTTTAAAGCAGTGCAATCATTTTGAAATTTTTATCATTTACTTATTATGCTTCATTAAGTACTTACACAAAATTTTATTAAAATAAAACCATTTAAACTGGGTGTTCGGATTTATATGTCACTTAGTATATATCACCTTGACCTGTACAAGCTAGGCATATGCAAAACACATGCTTAAAATTTGTTTTGATTATATTTAGCTTGCCATACATAGTTATTTGAACATTTCGTTTAGAAAACCAAATCTTTGAAGTAAAATGGCTATTTAAATAACTGATATCAGAGACTCTACAACTCAATGTCAGATACATACGAACCTCTGTAAGTTCTTTCCTATTGAATACATTTAAAGACGACAAGTCAGACGAAAATATACAGAAGGTAACGCGCGTGTAATAGCGTCTTACGTCTTTCGCATACTGACGCGCGTTTCCCCGAGAACCACAAGTATTAGTTCTGATTGAAATTATTATACCATAAACGTGTTTTTGCAGCCAAAATTGTAATATCTGAGCACGAAAGTACATCACATTGGCAACAGAACGACTACAAAGGTTTCTCCCCATGTACAGATTGGGAGGATGCAGATTTTACCAAATCTCCTGCCATACAGGAATTACCTGTCACTTCTGCAATCTGTAAACCGTATGATGGTGACACGATCGACGTTGTAGATGGAAAAATACTCATTAAAGGTTTGTTGGCGTAAGCACCTCTTGTTCGCCTGTCAAGGACAAAAACTGCTTCAAGATCAACTGAGTCTGAAATATTCTTGTAAATCTAAACTGTATCCATCGAAGAAACAAAGTAAAAGCAAACATATACACCCGTATTGCACGTGATCAAGAACTTAACCGTAGGAGACGCTACAGGGCCGTATCAAGCTATTGTGACTGATCTATCAAAAAATGTCGTACAAGATATGTGTTGCTGTAAATTCTATCAAAAGCATAGTAAATTATCAGGAATATACCACGCCTTTCTAATCATATTTCGACATTAGGAATCAGTGCAAAAAATTCTGTATTCACCATTTCAGCAAAATGTTACTAAAACGCACACGAAAAAAACTTGTGGACCATCTCAATTGAAATTGTTCATATTTTATTATTAACTTACATATATACCCAATAATATTTACAAATCAACCTTCTATTCACAATGCAGAGCAAATTTTTTTGAGCAAATAGAAACTACAGACATAGTAGTAGTAGTACAAAAGTTTATTACAGACTCCATAAAGTTTGTTAGTTTGATCGCTATTAAAATTTACATGAGAAATAGGAAGAAGGTCAAAATGGCACTATTATGCTTTGGAACTCCTAAATTAACCCTAATTTTGTGTAATTATAAATTTGGAATTTCCACATTAATAACTAGAAACTTACACTTTGATTGCAGTCTATAATGAACTTACCTGTCTTGCCAAAAAGCCCGTTAAACTGACAGTCTTAATGGTATCAATCGATTTATATGCTGTATTCCGAGAAGCTTGAATCATCAGAATTGTTGATGTCAATTATAAGGGGTTCAACTTGGGTGTCAATGATATTGTCCATATCCCACATTTTGGTTTCAACCTTCTCTTGGACATGGTCAATACATGTTCTCCATTTTGCTGGCGTAATTCTATCGACAGCAACATCAAACAGTTTTTTAAGGTCAGAAAACTTAAAAGTGCTGTTATTTGACGCCACGTATTGCTTGATGTCGGCCCAAATCAACTCGATAGGATTCAGTTCGCAGTGATAGGGAGGCAACCTGCGAATCGTTTTATTTTGGTTTTTGGCCATTTCGTCAACAATTTTTAAATCATATTTATACTTATGTCGCTTGACTATATTTATCAGCTCAGTTTTGACCATTGTTTGGTCGAAGTCGATCTTCTTTGAGACAAGCCACTGTTGAATGTCTGCCTTTTTGGTGGCCATTGTTGGAATTTTTTCCAATTTTCTGGAGTGGTACGGGGCATTATCCATCACAATAATTGCGTTATCATCAAGTGTCGGCAAAATTTTTTTGAACCAATTTTCAAATGAGTTACCATCCATTTCTTCGTGATAGTCTCCAGTTTTTTTGGATTCAAATGCCCACAATGCTTCAGGAACAAATCCATCTACGCTACCTATGTGGCAAATGATCAGGCGTTTTCCCTTGCCTGAAAGTAATTAGTTATTTTACTTCTCAGCGAGCGCACTAAATGACGAAATTAAGCAACTTACTCTTTTTAGGTTAGTGTAGGATAGGGTCTTAGATTAGTTTTTGGGTGAAGGAAATACTCAGAAACTTGGATGAGATAGCAAAACTGAGTTCGGAGCTTCCAAATCATTGATTCGATCAGAAAATGAATTATCTGCATCCAAAAAGTTCATATACTTCGAAAGTTACCTACAGGATTTTTCAATCCCGTCGAAAGGCCATCTAAAAAAGCCTGCCTTGAGGACCTCACAGATCTGTCTACCCAAACCTTTCCCTGCGTATGCCCCGCGTTCACCCATGTTTCGTCTAAATAATAAATTTTTCTTCCTTCAGCGCGGAATTGCCTAATTTTTCTAAGGTATTCTCTCCTCCAGATAACAATTTCCTCCTTTTCTATCAATAAACTATTCCTTCCTCTTTTCAAAAATCGAAAGTCTAGTTCTTTCAACAGCTTATGGAACGTAGATCTTTTAAAATTTGGCAGGTCCTCATCATCATTCACTTGCTTCAATATTTTATCTATTGTAGGTATTTCATTCCTGAAGAAAAAGTGATGTACTTTTCTTCTAATGGCACTTTTGTCAAAGTCATCTATTTTTTCGATGATTTTTTTTCTCATTGGATATGTTTTTGGCTCAGACAGTGAGTGATTTTGTCTATATTCCTTCAAGATTTTGTAAACACTTGATCGACCTTCTCCAGAAATTTCAGCAACCTTACATACGATATTTTCTATAGCCAATCCACTATTCTCTTGCATCTGGTTCTTGTAGATATTTAGAATAATTTGTTTTTCACCTGCGCTAAGATGAAGCTTTTTAGCCCTTTTTCTGGGTGGCGTTAAGCTGATTTCAACCACTTCATCAGCTGTATCTGTGTCAGACATTTTAGACTAATATTAAATTTCCGCAAGAAAAATCAAGTCAAGACGTGCATAAAAAGTTCGCGCTCATAAACGGGTAACCGTAACTGATTACAATCCTGTGCGTGGTGACGAACCATCAACGTGACGCTGAGAGTTCCCTCTACTATGCAGCGTTGCCAGGCTTAATGTCACAATGATCATGTTTTATTGGGAAAATTGTCAGAAATCGCCGAATGTTGAACAGAAACATTACAAGAAGTCTAACCTTGAAATGTGAGGCTACAAATCGATATTCTTATAGGGGGGAAGGGTAGGGAGCTGTTATGGTTCCTATTAACCTTGGTGAAAGTTGGAAATGGTAATATCATATATGGCATACATTCGGTTGAAGGTGTGTGCACGGAAAATAGATTGCGGATAGGATTTTAATAGATAAATCTGCACAAAAAAACACAAAAGGAGATTTTTGTATTTCCCTGAAGAATATCTCAAGGTTATTTCAGATGTACTCATCGAAACTTTATGGAAGGATTATCGAAACCTTATTTTCAATTGCGATAGGGCCACATACCTCGACATCGCATTAATGTGAAAAATAAGACAATAGAAAAAAATTCCCTCACTGATGCTATCTCTTAGGGAAAAATTTAACTATAAAGATTGCACAAAAATTTTCTTCACCTTTTTGAGCTTGTTTTCGCATCTCCGTATATGCCGTTCATAATTTGCTGCAGATCAAATTGGAATATACGGAATAACAGTTATTGCACGTATTGCACCAACAGATTGATTTGTGATCCATGCGAATGTGATCAACCACTCTGGCGAAAACTCGCCGAGCGTGGCAACCGTGCGACTTTGTCTGGAGGCTCGTTGCTACAAGCCAATCAGGAAGAGGCCGACAGAGCGCCATGGCTACCGATCACGCGTTGATCACGAATCAACCACTGTTTTACGATTACTTTGTAGCTTCGTTAGATACACTTTAGTAACGTAAGGTTTGAGCTTGACAACCCAAAAATATAAATTTTCAAAAATGTTCAAGGCGGTTATCATGGCTATGCCTGGAGATCGGTGATACCTCAATTATTTTCTCGTATTTCAGTGTCTACCCAGGTAGGTAGTCTTTTCACTTAGGGATCGTTCTGAACAAAAAACATCCTTAGTAACTTTTCTCTAGAGTTGACCGCTTCCGAGTTATAAGTGATTCAGTGTCAGAAAGACCCTAAAAAGGGGCATTTTCAATACGTAAAATCTCGGTCAATATTACTACCACTGTCTAAATTAAAGATCAAATCTTTCCCTACAGGAATCCAAATAGTATCTTAGGCTTAGTTTATTTCAAAGCAACTTTTAACCTTGCTTGGTATGCTTACAAGAGGAGAACTTTTGGTTTTCGCAAGACCATCCATACGAAACATTCCGAATTTGATTAATTTACGATTACAATATTTTACTCGACTACTGGGAAGAAAAAATAAACAAATAGATAAATTTCTAATGATTCTTGTAGGTTATGCATGGTCTGGGGGTGGTCAAAAAATTGTCAGGGTAGATGTATCTGCAGATGGTGGAAAAACCTGGCATGTTGCCAATGTTGACGCGCAAGACAGTTCTGAACCGCCAAGACATTGGTCATGGACTTTATGGTCCGCCAACATTCCTGTCGACAACAAATCGAAAACGGTAGGTTTTCAGCGGATCGAATTTCGTAAATAAGGCCTACAAACTCATTGTTAATTGATTGATACATATCTTTTTTGAAAAAAATACACTGAAAAGCTGATTTTTACATTGCAGGCAGATATTATGGTTAAAGCAGTTGATTCGTGTTACAATACTCAGCCAGAAAATTTTGAACACATATGGAATATTCGAGGAGTTTTAGGCAACGCTTATCATAAGATTAAAGTGAACCTTAAACAGTAAACAAAATATGATGTTAGCATTACTGTGATCTGGAATTATGGCATCAGAAGAAAAAATTTATATTGCCTTTTGTGAATGAATTGTGTGTATTTTTTATGATGTTTTCTATAAAATAAAATGGGATCAAGGTCACTTAGTATCCTAAATAAAATTAATTCATGTTTTAATTACGTCCTACTGCAGAGGCCTGAATTTTAACATTTTGAGATGACCTACTTTTTTGCTACAAATTCAATATAGATGATGGTCAAAACTGGATCTTCCATCACTATATAGATGGAAAAGAATAATTCTTGTAACGTTATCAATATATTGTCTTATTATCTAACAGCAATTGGTGGATAAAATATATCATAGTACATCTCTCATAAAAAGGAAATATTTGGACTAGCATTTCTATAAGAAAATATAATACAAAAGTATCAAAATGACAGCATTAAGTTAATCATAATTTGTTTAATGAATTTTTCTATAATTATACATATATTCCCAACCATAACATGATTGTATACTAGACACTACTTAGAAACAAAACTTGGAGTGAAAGTCTTAAACCATCAATATACAGCTGAAACAAAAACAATGATTAAGTAACATCATTTCTTAAATTCCACCATAATAATACTCTATTTACAAAATAAATACACAATATATTCGGTAACAGGAATTTACGTCAAGTCAAGTATTTCTTTGCAACACCTAGTCAAAGAAATCCAAGATAACAAATGTAACATGATACTTCGTTGAATTCATAGAAAAAGATGCTATAGAGAGAGGTGTACTTTTTTTGGACCATATATAAAGTTGATTGTTTCTCAAAAACAGTCGGGCACAAAATTTAAAAACACCATCATGTAGTTCCTAAAAAGTTCCATTAGTTTTTTGATATCCATTCAAATAATGTCAGAAAAAAATAAAAACGCATTGGCCAAATTTTAGTTTTTCCCAAATACCTCAGTAAGCCATGAAATTTTTCTCAATGGCATGTAAATACGCCCCAAAGAACGCAGCTGTATATAGATTTAAGCATGTATAGCCTCTAAAAGTTTATGCAGACGACAAAACTGTGCTGAAAATAAGGTGTGCTTCTGACTCTAGTTAAATCACAGCATTTTCCATTGCACATTATGTGGCTACCATTATCAAAATAGCACCAGGAACTCAACCAAATGATTCATATTGATGAAATCTACACATTAATTATCCTAAATAAATATTTACTATTCAATAATGGAATGCTTACCATTTTAAGATTGGTTTGGATGTAGTGTAGCATAAATGGGTGCAGCTTTGGATTTTGCCAAATCTGAAGCATTTTTTGCAGCGTCTTTCAACTTCATGGCTGCTGTGATTGTAGCACTGGTTGATGGTAGGGTGTTATGATGTGGAAATAGGTTGGATAATACATAGTTGAATCCCCCTGCCTGGAAGTGACATATCAAATGAGGAAAAGCAATAACTCCAATTTTGACATATTTGAAGACACCTATTATAGTTAAGTCTGATTTATGAGCTTGCACAGTATGCCATAAGTCAAATCCTTTTACAACAGTTTATCCTCTCCTGAAAAACTCAGACAAACTGCTGCTGTTTTTTTAAGCAGTAAAGTAGAATTATGGTAATTACACAATGCTTGTTATGTAGATTGAATTTAATTGCTTTTGTACAATAGCTCTTCAAATATTAACAGCAACAATGTGTTTTAATATATAAATAACAGAATGGTGTTGTTTCTTACCATTTTATGACAGTTTTTCTTGAACCTTTCATACCCAAATGCACAAATGGCTCTGCTGAATCCTCTAACTTGTGAATCAATCCATGCCTGTCTAATTACTACAGTTTTACCAGGCTGTTCAATACTTTCTGTATAAACTACTTTCTCTGTCACACTCTGAAAAGAAATAAAGCAATTTGTAATTGATTATTCTTAATATAAGGCTTGAAAAATTTCGAAAATAAGATTATGGAAAACTATGTCACTCATATCAATCAGTCTGTCAGACTGTTGGTTTATGAACAAATCCTTGCCCCTTATAGCTTAGAAATTACTGCTCACCCAAGGTTATGCCAAAGACAAAAAACTTTTTAATTTTTGAAAATCAGTCCACTGGTGGGGAGCTGCAGGCAAAAAATATCCAGTAGTTCCAGATCATTTTACAAAAACATTTTTGTAGGGATTAAAAACTGGGGTTTGTAGGGATGGGGTAGAGAATATTTCAATTTTTTGGTGGTGAGATATTTATATGCTTCTGACCCTGGTGATTCTGTGCACATTTGCCCTTAAAACTTAAAATGATAGAAACATTTTTACCCCACCTAAACCTATCTAAAGCAGATAAACTGTTTTCGACACGGTTTTTACAAGTGGATAAAAGGAATCATGAGAAAGATTGAGGTGTACAATTTATTGAAGTTTAGGGTAAAATGACTGAAATATGATGGAATTGTTACCCAAAGTATGAAACATTTAACTTATGTTACTTAAAATAAAGTACTAAGTGTTTTTAGTACTCATGATGTTTCAAAAAAGGTCAGCAAGGCTATAATGAGTGATTATTGTACTTAAGATGCATAGGAAGAGAATAATTTTTTGTGATATGATCAAGTCATTTGGAAATTCAAAAGTGAATGCATCCTTTTCTTTTATATTATCACAATTTTTATGTCCCAAAAAAAAACTGGGTTATAAGACAGCTTCAGAACTTTTTCCACAAAACATTTTAATTTCTCTCCATGAATCCTTTATCTTTCAAATGAGCACATGTATGGTTACATAAGAATAAATAGGAGAACCTTGATCTTATTAAGAGGTCATGTTTTAACAAAATATGTGGTAGTAATATACTTAACAGCCTACATTGGTTAAGCCTTCACAAATTCTAATGATTATGTAGCTATAAAAACTCTGTGCTAATTGGGATAAGCAAAACAAATCGCAAGGTTTCATTTCAAGGCAACTTGGATAAATATAAAAATAAACATCTACTTTGCACAACTTACTACTTGGCAGACACTTTAATTAATAAAATCAGATATTATTGACATTATACAACTCTGTATGGTAGTAATCTGAATTCTTCTAATTGACAGGAAAGTAGCTAAAATTTGTTTAAGACCTTTGTAATTCTTTTATGTACTTGGCAATAAAAAGTATTTTTTATTATTATTACAATATAATTAGTACAGAATATAATATCCAATAAACCAGAGAAAAATAAAGTAAAAAAAAAACTTGAAATCACAATAGAGAATTTTCCTTTTTGTTTTTACTGATTAATGGAATACAATTTGTTGCTCACCATAACCTTAGCATATCCCAAGTTTCTTGTATAAGTAACAAGTACTTTGTTTGATGGATCAACAATACTTTCTTCAATAATATAGACATGCCTTGCATGCATGAACCTTTCTGCCCATTTTGGAATGCTGTTAGTTTTGCTAAGCAGTCTTTTTGTTACCAGTTTTCCAGACTCAACTCCTCGTTCGACGGTGTCTTCGCTCAAAACATGTTTACTAAAATCATATGATTGTTATCTTTATTATTATTACTTGTGCATGTGATTTCTCACGTACCTGTTTGGATTGGGGTACCTCCTCCAAAATGCTTGTGCCACTTGTTCCCAGGTATAATTAAAGACCGTCGTTTCGGCAAAAAACTTCGGCATCGTGTCAAAATTTTTACAAAGTCCTTCACTGTAGCAGAAAGTTCAGGATTTTGTGATGTAATAAAGTGGAATGTCCATGGCTCAGAATCGACTAACGAACTTATCCACTATGTAAATGAGAGTGCTATCACTTCTACGTTGTGTATTGAAACAGTCGTAAATGCAACGATAACAGCTTTAAAACTGCAAATTTTGATACGGAAATGATGTAAACATTTCAAATGCACTTTATGACCCACGTGAACCTTACACCGACTTGGGCACCTTGCGCCATTTTTCTTTTATTTGACATGTCAACGTGACATCAAAACAAATACCACAGAAGCCACAGAGACAAGAGATAAAATTCCAGTATAAATAACCCGGAAAAAGGAGGCGGTTTCATTAGAATGGTGCCCACGTGACTTACAATGTTTTTGTTGATTGGTCAGTTACTAGAAATGGCCTTTGTCTGTCAAATCAAAAGATGCATGTTTCGTTTCTCTTGACAAGAAGTCAGTAAAGTCAAAAAGTCTCCTCTCTTCAAGTTATGGAGGTTCGTGTGTAGCTGTCATTTCTTGAACTATGGGTGTAAAATGGACGTGTTTGTTTACAAAGAAAAATTAGTGAAATTTAATGAAATGAAAGTTGGTGCGAAGCTGGAGACATGGGAGGCTGCATAGGATTAACACGAAGCAGGAGCGGGGCCATAGATGACTCTTCGGGCTCGGTAACTAGACCGAGTTCAGGTACTTGCAATAACCTTGATTCACACGTTCCCCGTTAACTTTTGCAGTTCCTAATGGTTTTAATAATTTATCTGTTACTGCTACATTCGTATCGATAATCTCTGGATATGTTACTGTTTTAGGAATACATTCAGCGGCATCATTTCCTTGAACTCGATTGTGTAAGGTCAAAGAATGCGTTGATGAAACTATCTAAAAACTAGCGGATTATTATTGTCCTTACAGTGCCTGATATGTATTCCACATAATGTAATGTGAATGTAATTTCAAAGACTTTCTTAGACAATAACCTTTATATTCATTTTCCTATATTCAGTTATTGATACAAGACTAAACATGTTAATCGACTATCATTGTAAATAACTTCAAAAATAGATGATACACTCTTGTCACCACATTTGGAGATGAAACAATGCATATTTTATACATCATGGAGATAACATCAATATTAAGTTATGCAGAAACATACTGCTCTTATCTCATATTTATATGCTTATCTACTACCTAATAAACATTTAACAAGCTCTGTATTTATTGATAATGTACATTCCATTGGCCTTACCTCTGAATTATATTGATAAGAATGCCAACATGTTTTTTATGTTATAAATGTATTGGTGAGGATTAGTCTGGCCAGGAAGGGAAATCATGAAATCCTGAATGCCTTGAGCCCATAAGGCCACCAGAACAGACCTACATCCTCCAAATCCATGTTTAGTTAAAATAACCCAAGCCACCCATTTTTTACTTCAAATCAAGCCTCATGATTTATTGATGATGATGAATTAGATGCAGTCGTTAAATTTTCATGGAAACACAACAACAGCTGGAGATAATTGAAAGTTGCGCAATATGGTCCTATATTTTGAGATTTCCGGTATATTTTTTTTCAAAAAAACCCTTCTACAATCATGATGGAAACTTGTATCCTTGCTAAATTGATAGATTCCTCATCCAATGCCCATTTGACACTAGTACCCACAGGGCTGCAAGAAACCAATTTTTTCCTCAGACTAAGCATTGCACACTTCACATTTGACTGTGATATTCAAATTTTGCACCCCAAATTATATACTTCCACAAGTTTCATTCAATGGTAATAATGATTGGTGAAAATCAAAATTTCTCCCAACAAGGTCCTATAATGTTTTGAGATATTACATAAGAATTTTTTTTTTTGCATATTTGTGATCTGAACAAAAGCTCATTTTCTGGGTAAATTATGTTTGTAGTTAACAAATCAGCTGGTTTGGTACCATGGCAATTTGATTCTGGTGCCCACAGAGGTCTCAAAAAACCCATTTTTGTCTCCATAAATTTTGTCTTATAACATTTCACTGTATTTTTATGCTCATAGACTTATCCAGCATCTTAAAGTACATAAGTGAGGCATGTTTAATTCCATTGCAATAACAGGAAATGAAAATGGATATTCTAACCCTTAAAAAGTCCTATATTTTGAGATTTTCCATGAGGAAATTTTCAAAAACCCCTTTTTCCAACCTTATTGTACTAACACTGTACTACTTCATAATGCTTATCTATTAGATAAAAAATAAATATGACAGTAGTGCCTGATTTTACTACCTGGGGCACAAATTTGATAAATTAGATAATGGATTTAATGAATACAGATGAAATAAGGATTTGCACACTGCTCAAAAAATGGATCAAACCTGATATGATATCTACTTCCTCACTACTACCATTTTTTACCTCAAATTCAGCCCTATGATACAGCAGGAGACAAAAAATATAAAAAACCTCTGCATATGAGTAATCTGATGTGAATTGCTTTGTGGGAAAATCAGGTTTGCAGACTCTGAAAGAAATCAGTGTGCTAAAGCACATGATGAAGGTATCAAGAAACGTGTTTTCACATAGGTTTTTCAAAATAATAATAATAATAATAATAATGACTTCATCTGGGTGAGAAATCATCTTAGGTGCTGCTTCTCATTTCCTACCAGGACTTCTATAGATAAGCATAAATTTTAAGAATCTATCAATTTACACTTATTGCTAAAATAACTTTAAATACTTAAATACTACTTTTCAAAGTTGAGTCATTTATTTTAACTGCTTGTAGGACTCATCGAAGGGAGTTGATATACAAAAAATCACCTATATAAAAGTTGCATAAAAGAAATAGTAAGAGATTAAAAATTTTAAAAAATAAGTATGTTATTACATATATTTTTTGATATTCTCGACCACTGTTACTGTTAGTATTATAGTTTATCTACATTTGGCAAAGTTTTTGTGTATGGTTTTCAGTACAAGTCTTTGGTTCGATCAATTGTATCAGTCTTTTAATATTTTTTTTTTTTTTTATACTCCAACTACCACGAAGGCCTAAGGCCTAAACACCCATTGGGTACCGTGGGGCTATCAGGGGATACAGGGGAAAGGGGGGACGCCACACGGACTCTGGCGAGGGAACACGTGTGCATGCAACATGCACACATTCTGGCTCCGCCTACGAGAACCGCCGGGTGGTACCTCCGCGTTCGACAGTCAGAGACCATCTACCACCTACGGACAATCACAACATCCATAGCCAAGAGAAAAATTTCTCCTGGGACGGGACTCGAACCCGCACAGCGCACGGCGACTGATCAGGAGACCGAAGGTCTACTACTGCGGCCACCGCTGCTGCCTAAAACAAACACACAACATCCATGGCGAAGGCGAGATTCGAACTCGCGGCCCGGCCGGCCGGCTGATCAGTAGCACGACACTCTGACCCACGCGGCCAACCGAGGTCCCAATAGTGCATATACTCTCATTTGTCTGATTATTTTGGCCCATGTTTACGAAAACATTAATAAAACTACCTCAGTTTCACATGCAAGTATTAATATTACAATAAGCCGTCAAATAAAAGTTCTCTTACTTTTTTCTTAAAATGAAAATATGACGTAACATTTAATATACCTATTTTTCATTTTTTTTTCTTGGCAATGACATTGATCCAATCCCTATTTGAATTGAACTTGCAGGTAGCCAGCGTAAAAACCATCCATTGTGCCATGAGACGATCCGATGGAAGTCCGACGTCCCATTGACGGAAGGACAATTGCGCAGCAAGCGTGACGAATTCTGGGACACCGCCCCCGCTTTCGAGGGACGCAAAGAGATATGGGATGCCCTGAGGGCCGCAGCATCAGCCGCCGAGAACATGGACTATGATCTTGCGCAGGCCATTTTGGATGGGGCGAGTGTCTCGGTGCCGAATGGATACCTTACAGAGTGCTATGACGAGCTGGGAGCCAGATACCAGGTAAGGGTATTTTCAGGAAATATCAGTATTCTACCCCTAAAAGGTAAATATCGTCTAAGGTCCGGTTTTTCAATCTCTGGTTAACTTCCACGTCAGGTAACTACAGGTTCCAGCTCAAAAGACGGATGTTTGCGAAATGGCTAGTACACTCCGCCTATTCTGGCGAGAGTGGTGGGGAGTGTGCCGTTCGACTTGGGCTTTTCTATCAGTTTTAATAGTAGTTATTATGGAGCAGTGGTCGGTTGAGCACCGCGTTTGCGCGTACGACAGATTTGTCCGACATCATGAGTCTATCACGGCTGTACTGCGTGAGTTTCGTCGCCACTTCAATATTCATCGGAATCGAGCTGTTCCTATGGGGACACTTCAAGGCTCGTGTATACGAGCACAAGCCCCGAACTCTGGACGAGCTGAAGGAGACAATTCGCGTGGAAGTCGTCCAAGTTGAGAGAACGATGTTGGAGAGAGTCTACGCCAAGTTTCAAGAACGCCTTCAATGCATCCTCAGATACGGTAACAACGTGACGGATTTGATTTTCCACACTTAATTGTGACAAACGCTATTTCATTGTGAACCCGAATCCGTCAATAAATTTGTTTTTGAACAAAAATTACGGATTTTGTAATTTTTAAACGTCCAACGCTGCTTTTTTTGAAAGTTAACTTCTGGTTAGCAGACAAGTTGCAGATAACTTACTATTGAAAAACCGGACGTTAGTGTACGGAGTTTCACTTAGTTGAAGCCACGGAGGACGAACATGAAAATATTGCATTACGAGGGTGGTCCCAGAAGTACCCGACCCAACGAAGAAAACACAAAAATTTTGTAAAAAAATGTATTTATTTTTCAGTGTAATCTCCTTTGAGCTCTATACACTTTTCCCAGCGATGTTCAATAATTTCGAGACCTTTTTTATAATAAGAACTGTCTTGCTCCTCAAAATAGCCATTAATTGCCGACATCACTTCTTCATCGTTGGAAAATCTTTGACCACTGAGCCATTTTTTCAAGTTTGGAAACAGAAAATAGTCCGAGGGGGCTAAATTTGGTGAATAGGGTGCATGAGGTAGCAATTCAAACTTTAATTCGTTAACTTTGGCCATTGCAATAACGGATTTGTGAGCTGGTGCATTGTCGTGATGAAACAACACCTTCTTCTTAACCAAATGCGGCCGTTTTTGCTTGATTTCATTGCTCAAACGTTGCAATAAGTTCGTTTAATATTCGCCGTTGATAGTTTTACCTTTTTCAACCTTGCCTGCACATGAAACGGTCTTCGCCTTCTTTGGAGCCGGTTGTACCTTTTGAGTCCATTGTTTTGATTGTTCTTTTGTCTCGGGTGTGAAGTGATGGACCCATGTTTCATCCATGGTTATGAAACGACGCAAAAATTCTGCTTTGTTGCTGTGAAACTTCGTTAAACACTCAATTGAAACATCTTCACGACACTCTTTTTGCTCGATTGTGAGCAATCGCGGCACCGATCTTGCACACAGCTTTCTCATGTCCAAATTTTCAGATAATATGCGATGAACCGCACTTTTTGAAATGCCTACTATGTCTGCTAGCTCGCGCACTTTCATTCGACGATCATTCAGTACCGCTTTGTGAATTTTCTTCACCATTTCTGGAGTCGTCATCTCATTTGGTCGACCACTGCGATGCTCGTCTTGGCAGCTCATACGGCCTCGTTTAAACTTTGCTACCCAATATTATCAGTTTTTACTGTTGTAAACGAAGGAGCAGACTCACCCAGAGTAGAATCCAGTTCAGCTTTTATATTGGTTGGGCTGAGGCCTTTGAAATAAAATTATTGTACCACATAACGATGACCAATTTTCTCCATTTTCACAAATTCACTGAAAACGTTCAGTATTGATGGCTGAAAAACAAATACTAAACAACGTGGCGTCTTCAAACTTGACACATATGCTTTATAGGTTGCATACTTTCTAATACAATGATATTTTTCAAACAACTATCGCCATGGCTGGGTCAGGCTGGGTACTTCTGGGACCACCCTCGTAAAAAGCTTTAAAAGTTGAAAGCAATTAAAAAAATTATCAAAAAATATTTCATATCTGCAATATCGATCAAAGCCCACGTCTTGAACAAATCGGGTGCGCAGATTACGAATTTGTTGTCAGCTTTTAATAGAGATCGATCCTAAATCAATCATTCTTCTACTGAAAATACGGCTTTGTGTCACTTGATTTTTTCATGGTCAAATCTGAAATTAGCATTGCAAACTATCCACGTGCACAGAGTTGTATGCCTTAAGAGATAAAAATGGAAATCTTGCAGTGACAAACCTCAAACATGTAAATACAAATTGTAAATGTAAGCAACCAATAATTGTGGTGGTAACGATACACATAAGTAATTTGAGGATCCAAATTCCAAAATAACCAAAAATTCTGAAACGTCGTGGAACGAGATTGGTATAGAAAATAAGCTGTCTAGGTACGTTTATTTAATATACCTTATATTCCAGGTACCGATCTACTGCCTCTCTTACCCAATAAACATAGTAAAAGAAGACAATGGACGAGATAGCCCCGCTGAATGCTCCGAGCCTGTCGACGGGGGCACAGAGACTGTCTTGAAACTGAGATTATCACATTCGTGTTCGGACGTCAAGTTGTCTGTTTATTCAACTGACACTATTAGTATGTGCAAGAAAAAACTACAGGTAAGCAGATGTTATTCATTCGTTATTTCGCAAATTTCCGTAAAGACCATAGGGGCTACCATTTCAATTATTACGGACGGTCTGTCTCTCTGTATTTTGATGAAATTTTGAGCCTCATGTAGCTCTCAAGTGTTGAGGCAAATGTGGTACCATGAGGACCCAAGGAAGGATCTCAAACTTTTTGAGGATTAATCTTCTGCTTGTCTAACGATGACGTGTGCTTATAGATTTTTATTACCGTTTTCTTTTTATATTTCCAGAGTCAAGAAGGTATCGAATCATCTCGCCAGAGGTGGTTTTTCGGCGGCAAGTTACTCGGTGATAAGTTGAAAGTTGAGGAAGCCAAAGTGCCATCAGGCTACGTTGTTCAGGTGATCGTCAATACTGAACCATCGCCGGTTCTCAAAAAGAGTTCTTCTTAGCTGATGTTGTTTTTTAGGTAAGTTATTGGTTTTCTTGCACTATCACCTTGTTTATTATAGACCGCGCCCTAGGTTTTTGCAAAAATTGTTTCCTCCTCGGAGCGATAGCTTCTGTTTTTTGAATGTTATAATACCAGTTCAATTATTATTTTTAATAATAAGATCAAGGTCGATGTTTTCCATCATTTGTGTATGCCATGTTTTTGGAGTCATGTTTTATCTCTCTTTCTGTCGCTCTCTAATTTTCTTCGCCGTACCGCGTTGGCCGTTTCGTTATTGCAGCAGCCATTAGTTTACTATTACAGTCCACGTGTGTTGTATACGCTGATATTTTGAATATTGACTATATTCGCTAATTTAGTTTATAATACGGGTTTTGTGTATAATGGATAGTGACTATTCAGTTTCAAGAGAAAATGAACCAGGCCCATCAAACAGAGAAACGAAAAAAGGAAGACAAAGAACGTAATGAAAACGTTGCGCGCCACTACCCACGAACTTGGATATGATTGTTTTTGTGAACGTTTTCGCTGTTTTACTACGGTTCTTGGACCTGTAGACTTCTTCATAAACTTAATAAACTAGGAAACACTAATGTACAAAACGCTTATCTTAGTGGTCTTATCACTGTTCTTCCTGTCATGCGTAGACGCCCTCGAAAAAATGAAGTAGAGTCAAGGCTTAATAATGCTTCATTTAGTTATCGTGTCCGATTGGTTGAAAATGGAATTATACGTGATGTTCCAGTTTGTCTTAAGGCTTTTTTGTCTTTACACGGAATTACAGTTCGTCGAGTTCGGTACATAAGAGACTCATTAGTTGCAACTGGGAAATCGCCCATCGACATGCGTGGAAAACACAACTCACGACTTCACAAACTTTCAGAAACATAAAACAGAAAGTGACCGAGTTTATTAAGAGCCTCAAATGCCGCAAATCTCATTATTCTTTGGCAGATTGGCAAAAAGTGTACCTACCTGAAAATATAAATATCGCAAAATTATACAAAATGTACTATTGGCAATGTTTAAAACAAGATTTCATATGAATCCTTCCGAGAAATCTTTGAAAACACCTTCAATATATCGTTCGGTTATCCACGAAAAGATACTTGTAGTACATGTGAATGCTTAAAAGCTGATATATCTTCACTTACCCCTACCTTAAATTCCCACACGGAACTAACTAGGTAGTCAGCAAGTAATAATTCGGAGAAAAAGATACTTGAGAAGACACTACATCAAAAAAGGAGTGAGCGATTTTACAGTCTAAAGAGAACTTACCGCAAACGTGCCTCAAAGTTCCCCGCTATCGAAAGTAACACGATGGATTACCAAAAAAACAGGCCCTGTCCAAATATCACGACAAATGATGTTTACTATAAGCGGTAACTAAATTTCATGTTTTATCATCGACATTCTGTCAAACTCAAATTCTATCTTTTATACATACGATGAATCTATTGCTAAGAAAGGAGCTGACGATGTCTGTTCTATGCTGTATCACTTTTTTTATAACATCCTGCCTATGGAAGTAAAAGAACCTGCCATTTTCTGTGACTCCTGTGCAGGGCAAAATAAAAACTTTACAGTTATTCGGTTTTTGCATTACTTGGTTACCAAGAAAAATCGTTTTACTACTGTGAAAGTAATATTTCCGATCAGGGGGCATTCATACCTCGAGTGTGATAGAGATATGAGTCTCGTGAACCAAAAAGCATACACTGAGGTACCGGATGACTGGAGAGATGAATTGAAAAATTGCCGTGTGAAACCTACACCATTGATTGTGGAAAAAAATTTGATTTTCAAGATTGTAGTACGTTTTTATCGCCGTTTTATCCAACGCAGTGCCCCTTTCCAACCCGACCAGTCAGGATGCTCAAGTTTTGTAAACAGAATCCTCGCGTAGTTTTTCACAAATCGACATACATGGGCATATATGCTAGTTCTAAATTTGATAAGGTAATTCGGAAGAATCTAAAAAAGACGCAAAAAGATCAACAAAAACGAGAAGAGGAAACATTGAGAAAACCTTACCAGGGCCCAATCCCAATTAAAAGTAAGAAATGAAAGGATCTGCATGATCTGACCAAATTTCTAGAGAGAGCAGATTCCAGGGCATTTAATCAACAGTTAATATCTCTTGATCATCCAGAAGGCAGCAATGATGAATATGTCGATGACCCGCCAATAGACGCTTAAAGCAGGGGAAAAGTGGCACGAGTCCAGATTTGAACATCATCTTTTGTTTCTTACGTTACTAGTTTTGAGTAAAAGTTAATTTTGTAAAATCTATTTTACCAATAAACAAACTGTTTAACAAAGATATTCTTTACGACTTATTTTTTCATCATTTTTACTTTCCAACGAGTAAGTAAACCTTAATTACCGATTTTCTCAAAATCAGTCCGGATGGACTATTGTCGTTATTCCCCGGTACCCTTCATTTTACTAGTAAGGGATACTGAACATATATGCCAAAAATTATTAAAATCTGATAACCATACGTAGGTGTCTACCTTTTTTGTCACTCAGTATACATTAAAGGACTCGAATCTCTAAAAGGAACGATTTTTGTTATAAGAAGGTGCCTTCCTGAGTCGTATCGACTTTGACTTATCGAGCAATTTCTAATGTGCATCATTATATGAATAATTGAGCATCAATTCCGACGTAAGTGCGACCGAGTAATTATGTATCAATTATTCCGTGCCAGAGTAGGGCAGTTTAAGAATAGTTAACGTGAATAGGAACATGGCCTTCAATATAGGAATGATTTAATCACTACCCACTAATAGTTTGTACGTTTCGGTAACGCAAGCAGTTTTCTCAATTACAACAAATATTATTAAATATGAATTAGCTGTACAATCACTGACGAGCGAGATAGTCAAATCATATGGGGTAATACAGAATGATGTCAGGGGATTGAAGGGCAGATTCGGTACGTTAAAATATGAAAATAAGTCTGGAAATGCTTGATTTCTATATTCCATTTCCAATCTGGTGAATGCGGAGGCCAACTTATGTTCTCAAAGATGCCCCTGACAAGTCGCTCACGACTATCTTATTCGGTTTTGAACGCCAGTAATGTACACTGGACTTTCATGTAAACTCTTCCATAAACGTTCGCTATTTCCAACAGTCTGTACTCTCACTACAAATAATTAGTACTGGCACTTTATTGCCGAAAATTTGTATTATGATGGATGATTATTTCCCAAGCCCTAAATTGCAATATCGACGATATGCATGCTGAGGCAGAAGAACAGACGTCCGACTTTGAAAATAAAATTCGACAATTTTGTTTCATTGCTCCTCGTGTATCATTTCATATCAGTTCCGCAAGCCTTATCTACTAGATCCTAAACTAAACTGTATCGTTCTTTTTTCGCCAGCCTATACATAATAACTTCATATTTTCAGGTATCACTATGATATTCCAGTCAAAATGCAACATATACACGTATCTCGAGGTGGAGTGAGTTCAAAACACAAATGTTTAATTTTGACGGTAACCGTTTTTTTAGATAGGCATCAACTTGTTAAGATTTTCATATCATAGGTTTTATATGCAAAATGAAATAACTATGTAATTCTTATGCAATGCTCCAACGAGTTTTACATACACACGTAAGTGTAATTTTTTAAAACGGCGGCGTTTGAAAATTTTCTGATCATGCTTTAGAGTGAGAACAGGTTGCACAAATTTTAAGGGACGTCGAACTGTCGCAAATGTTAAGCAAAATAATGGATAATCAAAATCGGAGAGCATGGTACATGATGAATGCGGTTTGCGCGCAACAGCGAGTATGTTTAGTAAACAACAACTTGAGAGAAAGAAAAAATGGGTTCCAAGCGTTCGTTCCAAAAAATCGTATACAGGTCACTGTCCTCGCACGGTGGTGAAGTGGTAAGTGCCCACGAGGCGGCGTGATGCAACTAGAACGCGTTTGGTGTTACCAAACCGGTTTGTTTCACTTGAATGCCGCACCAAGCAGCTTGGACGGAGGAACAGTGGCGTGGGTAGGATTACATTTCTTCATGATTTGAGTTCATGGACAAATTTCAAAAGTGAATGTGACGTCATATAAATCAATGAAGTTCTTCACGGAATTCGAACTTGTTCTAATTTTTGCCAAGTTGGACGTAAAAATGCCATTATACCAACCTTGTTTTCCGACAGTATACATATGGGTTCAAAACCACAATATGTGTGATTGGCAGCACTAAGTACTCACAGATAATCCATGAATTTGTCGATTGATGACATCGCAAAACATAATCAGATTGACCTTGAAACAATCCATCTGAATAAATGTGAAGAAATTGTTGACCTAAAACAAAACAATAGAGTGGCGAATGGTTGCGTTGGCTTTACGTGTCAAGTCTGATATCTGAAACCTGTCATCTACCAATACTGTAAGATTAACGAATCTTGCTTTAGACAAAGATTTTTAATATTTCCTCGAGAAGTAATGATTTTGCGACAGTTCGACGATTCTAGTACTAATTGTAAATACAATATCTTTTGTATCTGTTAAAATTTAGGACGTGTGCCACTGTGTGACCTACACATTCGATCAGTTATTTTCACGCTGTATACTTTTCTCTATTGAGTGAATCTAGCTAATATGGAGAATAGCCGCGTTGATATTTTTCCAGGCATATTATGAAACAAATTACATAAAGACGGATCAATAACAAAACGGATTATTAAATCCTTATTTAATAAGTTCGTATTTGTCTATTGAATTGCAATATTTTTTAAAGCAGGAATATGCAGAGTTGGATATAATTTTTTTGGTAAAAAGAAACACCTGAATTTGACGATGTAGATATTAGAAAACTATTACGTCTCTAGGCGTGTAAGTAGTCTTGTTTTTCCATACAAAAACTACTCAAGAAACTCACGTCAAATAGTCAAGAAAGCGGCTATCAATTCATGACATAATCAACAAATTAATACTTGAGTTTTTTATGGTGCTAACGAACTCCTGGTAGGGTATCATTAAAAGAAACCTGCAAAAAAAACGAAACAATTTGAAGAACGGTAAGTTTTCCGAATATACTAGACCGTCAAAAATCAATTTATTCTCATTGTTAAATGTCAACGTTGCCTTTTTTTGTGGTGGTAAAACACAGTTTCAATCTTGTAATTCTATAAGAGGTTCGTTAGAATTAATGTGAGAATTTCGAAAGGGCGTTTGATAAATTCGAACACATTTTTGTGCATTTATCACTCTTATGACTGAACGATGATATTTTTATTTGTACGTATTTTTAAGATTTATACTGTTTATTGCTTTATGACTGCTTATTGTAACATATATTTAATTTGCAATAATTATAGGTTAAACAAAATACAAAATGAAAACAAGTCAAAGGTGGTTCTTTTCAATTCAGCCTATTTTTTCTTACACTTAAATCAAAACACAATCAAAAATAATGTAACTTGACTCTTAAGACACCAATATTTAAGCAGATTTTAAAAACACCGATCACTAAACTCTATTCAAATGGCATTCACGCCCACAACGAACACGACAGCTCGATCGAGAAAATTTTACGCTATTATTGGCTTATTATGGATCTGGCGAATTGGCCAATAGTAGCGCGAGAATTTGGCGATTCGAAACATGTATTTTTTAACACGCCGTAAATATGGCGTACTATTTTTCTATGCTTCAGTTTGGAAAAGAATCATTTTTGAGTGCAATAATATGTAACTGTTGTATACTTTTATTAATTTGTAAAGATAAGAGAGAAATTCAGCATATGAAAATTTCATTTAGTGTATAATAGGTACCTGATATAAGTTTAAATGTAATTTTTTATTGGTTTCTCTAATCCAAATCTCTACTTTTTTTGTTAATACATTCACGCTAATAGAAGGATATCCCAGAAAAAAACTATTATATAAATATGGTACAAATGATGAGAGGTGTAACATATCTACAAGTTTTTACCAAAACATTAGCTTTGTTCAGGGTGACCCAGAGAAGATTTATAAATTCCAAATTAAATTAATAAACGACACATTTTAAGCCTTCTGTCTAAATGGATTCTGAGTTACTTCGCATGATTTGATTGTGGAATTTGCAAATTATTTATAGTTACTGGCAGACGGGAATGTTAACTTTGCTTTTGGGATATATATATTTGTGAAAATAATCGGGCAATTTTCTCTGGAAATACAAGAGGCGAAACAATATATAATAATTCTGGCTTATTGTTTTATATCCCATCTTAGACAACCTCTTCGTACACTTCAGATACATGGTTCGAAATTGAGTAGAACATAATATGAATTTTGCGTCTGGAAATAACAGCTAAGATGCATTTTTTACGTAACAAAGGTGCGGACTTGCACCTCCTTCATTTGCTTCATATTTTTTGTCCTTGTTTCACTAGCCGAATGAAAATACTCGCTTGTATAGATATTAAATAAAGACTGGAACGTCATTTGAACAATAAAAGGAATCCTAGTAATACGAACGCAATAGGATTTGACGGGGAACACGTGCACTCTTTTCTCAATCAAAAGGTACTTTTTGAGAGAAAACTGTTTTATAAAATATTGTATCAGTGTGTAAATAATAATAATAATGAGACACAATAAAGAGTTTGTTACATAAGTTTTGTTTTTTTTATACCCCATGCTGTTTTAGAATGACTTTTGCTATTGAAAAACGATCGTACACGAGAAATTCAATCAGCAGCCGTGAGGATGACATCACTTTACATACAGGCATCGGCATCTCTAAGGTTTGTAAGTTATCACTTGCAGCAAATATCCTGTGCAGTTCAATGTTCATAAAAAACACTTCTCTACGTAACAAGATACATGCGGTTGTGATATATCAATCTTTACCAAGAAACCATACGTTTTGGCTTGTCAGAGTTCAGTTCCGCGATACCTCGGTAATTACGCTCTACATTTACGGTTGCTTCAGTATAAAAAAATACGTATTAAAGAAGCACCTGCAGACATTTATAAACAGTAGACATCACATGTTATCAGAAATATTTCATTTATTAGTATTCATCTAAGTTCATAAAATACAGTATGAAACAGTAGGAATAACAAAAATATGTACAAAAAAAAACAATAACAAACATTGAAAAGCTGTGACCAAACGATTGAGTCAAACGCATGATTCATCTTACACTTTCGGTAACTTTTTGAGTTCGTGTGACAGCCAAATGGCTGCTGACAATACTGCTAGAGAACAAGACTGGTGAGTTGCAGCTAAGTCGGTAGGTACGTAGTTTATTAATGTCGCTATTCCGATGGAAACCTAAAAATAAATCGTTTTGAGATCATATATGTCCAAGCTACGTACGAACTCAAGTTGAAATATACTATGTGTAAACTTTTGGTATCATGCCTAAAGGTGTGAACGAACTTTATTTATGTTTTACTTTCAGCTAAAACCAGTATGTATTTTTTTGAGGCATATACAATACCTGCAAATATCCAAGTGCTGCCAGCACAGCCGCTGCTGTGTATGCTCTTGGGGGTAACTGTCTCTTTCTTGAAATAAAATATATCGCCGTAAGGTATGCCAAAGTCGTTGTACCTGTTTGAAATTAATACAATATTTACATTATTGGGTTAGTTATATTAAATATTTTTTATATTACCAAGTATGCGGTGATCAAACTGCACAGTTGTTGGATTTTCGGTAAAATTGGACAGTTTGGGAGTGTAGGCTAGCAGATCTGTTGGGATCCACCTATCGGCCATTTTTGGGAACGAATTGTAAACCAGACCGGCGTCTAGGCCTGCTACAAATGCACCTAAAAAGTAGACAAAACATGCTACTAAGTTTAGCAACCCAGTGGAAATTTTCTTCCATTGTCGAAGACGCCTTTAACGCGATATGTGTATGTCAATAACGTGAAACTAGTATGAATGTTCTAAATCTAAACGATTCCGGTTGACGTTCGTATCCACGTGAGTCCATAGGATCATTTGTCAATTTAATGACAACCCAATCTGACCAAACATGTCACCATTCATTAGAACTAGTAACATTGTGGATATACTCCCGGTGCACGATGATAGCGCGATCTATCGAATGGCCGACCAAAATATTTGTGCCTGCCATGTGAAATATAAGAATAAATGGCGATCAATGAAAATAATAGACATTTAGTCGAGTTGATGCGGATTGCTCGAAGAAAATCATTTTAATTAATTAAATAATAATAATAATTTATTTCGTTGCGGAATAGAACAGAAAATTCTATAACAAATGACAAGGTCATAAAAATAGTGGTGACGAGTTGAAAAAGTATAAAAACATAAAAAAAGTTTTAGTTTTCTTTTGAAAACAGCTATGTTTGATGCATTCCTAATATCATCATTGAGCTTATTAAAAATCTTACATCCCATATACCTGCATGTTTTTTGGTATGCCGTAGTTCGATGTGTCGGCGGGATTAAAAGCATCTTAGACCTAGTTGGATATTCATGCTGGCGTTTGATGATTTCAAATTCGCGCTTAGTTTTGAAATCCATCAAAGCCAACTCATAAATGTAAATACCTATAACAGTCAACATCTTTAAAGTTCTAAAAGATTCTCTACAGGATTGGCGCCAACCAAGGTTATCAATAAATCTAATGGCATATTTTTGCAGCAGGAGAACTCTTACAGTTAGTGAACTACTTCCCCAGTTGAGAATACCATAACGGATATGGCAGTTGACAGTGGCATTTTTTTTAAAATTCGTTTACTGCACTGCTTTGCTAAGAATTTCAAGCCACAACAGCTCCTTCGCAATCTATTGCACAAATACTCAACGTGGAACCCTCACGACATTCGACATTCAAGTACCATCCTGAATTAGATGATGGAATAGCTCTGTTAGTATGGTCAAAAATGTTGAAATCTTGTTCATCTTTTAATGCGAATTTCACAATGCTGCTCTTCTCTGTGTTTACTCGGAGGAAGTTATTTTCAGACCATTTAATGATTCTGTTGTATGCTCTCTCAGTCATTGCCGGCAGCTCGGTGATGTTTGGACTGGGAACCAAGATATTGGTGTCATCTGCATATGCCACAACCTTATATTCTGGACCACCTTCAGATATAAAGCCGGACAAATCGTTAGCATACAACAGAAACAAAAAAGGTCCTAGAATTGAACCCTGTGGCACACCGATGTTTGCTTCTGATGTTAATTTTTTAGTTTTGTATCGAAAACCAAACGGTTATAATTCACGAATTACCTGAAAAGGCTGTCAAAAACACCAAGGCTTTCGCTCCATGCACCATGCCTCTGAATTTTCTGGCTGCCTTCAGCGCATTTCCGCTAATATTAATTGTTTGGGCAGGAGCTAAGATGTCCAAGGCGGACCATAGAAATAGGGAATGCAAAATAAAAGCCAAGCTGAGGTGAGATGCCAAACGGTACTGGGACACTCTGGGTACGTCTGACGGTTCATGAAAGCGATCCTCCAAGCCTGATTTTACCATGTACCATCCCATCAGACCCTGGGAAATAAATTTCAATACCATTTCAGCATGTATGTTCATAATAATTCTTCAACGTCTTCGGAAAGTTTAAATCAAGGTTTTTAGACATCAATGCTTTGGAAGTGTTCCGATATTTTGGGCTAAGTAGAAAATTTATCAGTAAAAGATTTACCTGTGCTCCTATTAAACTGCCGAACACCAACACCCTTTTTTTCATGGCTGGTGTCAGGCGGCCCCTAACCCAAAAATACGTGGCTGGTATCAGAAACATTGCCCCTATGCATCTACCCCACATTCTGTGCCCGTATTCCATGTGCCAAATGAATTTGAACTCCTCTAATGTTATCTCCTTATTTTTACTAGAACAAAAAAAAATAATATAGAGTGTGTTTCAAACATTACATCGCTTCTAGCAAAATAAAATCTGCCCCTTCTTAGAATTGATTCAGAACAATAGTCGATCCGGCTGTCGCAATGTACCTATAAATCAGTTAGTCAGTTGTCAAGGTTCACCCACGAGGCAGTGACCTCCTATATCCAAAAAAGGCTTGTTGATGTCAATAAAGAAAGCAACTGTTATGTTAGTAAACATCTGGTTGTTAGCAACCTGTAACATCGATCTAACAAAGATCCAATAATTTAACATTATATGCCACATGCGAGCAACGACGCACGAAGTGCAGATTTAGCTGATTAATCAAAGTTTTTTACACCGAAGCACCGAAGAAGCCTAAATGCCAGGGCACCAAGGCTGTTATGAGGAGCTTAAAGAAACTTTATTAATCCAATTTTTGAACTGGAAAAAGCCTCATCATGTAGATTGTTCTACAATCTCGATACGCTACGGACAAAGAAGCGGTCGTATCGGCCAATTCTGGAAGTACGAACTTCGACACGGTTAGAATGGGAAGCTGAAGTCAGGCGGGTCTGTCTGGCAGGCGCATCGCGTGACGGCATCATTGAGGAGCAAAGCCCGTTGGCGTAGCGGTAAAATAGGGCTAGACGACCCATCGGTGCAAAAGGGTCGCGACACTGTCTGTTAGAGAAGAATCATCGACAGCCCTCCGATGAACATCATCGCGCATAGATAATGTAGTCGGGGCGGCAGCATCCCCAACATGTGATGTCTTATCTGGGCATCCTACAGAGTGAGGAGGTCATGTGGACAAAAGTTATACTTTTCAACAGGTATCTCTATTGACGAGATGTGTTCCTGACAGGACAAGTCCTTGGTGATGTGGACATCGAGCAGCCGGAGAGGAAGTCGATGCTAGTCTTCCTTCTTTTCTCCAGCTCACCAGCAGGATCGGCTCGTCACCTGAATTTCTGCATGTAGAGTGCTGTCATCAGCAAATCTGTAGTTTGGGTTAACCATACATCAAGTAAGATCGTTGATATGTAAGAGAGTAAGTTAAATTTGCACCTTAAGAAAATATCAGCTTCAGAACTCTTATTGAATCTGACTAGCTTGAAGCAGCTATTAAAAGAGTTCACTAAGGCCCGTATCGTCAGTCGTCCCTACAATTGTAGGGCTCTTTTATGGCCTCCTTGATTGTCATAGTTTTCTACTTCTCCGTGTCAGCGCTCTATTTTGAGGTTATGTCACAAACATCTATTTGCACCAAATTGTGCTTGCTTTTGAGTTATATCATGTTTTATCAGCCTAAAATTTCCTACAATTTAAAAAGAAAACATATCTTCACAATAGAAGAGCGCTGACGCTGACACGGGACAAGTGTAATCTAGAAATTTTTGAAGGAGAGAAAGGAGTATGACAGTCAAGGAGGCCATAAACGCGCCCTACAATTGTAGGGACGACTGACGATACGGGCCTAAGTGTAAACGTAGCCTAAGATACTGCCCTCTTCATCCGTTACGAAGTGTCATGAACTATAATAGGTCACTGAACTCACAAAGGACCTTGTTGCTTCCAACAATGATAGCGACTGTTACTAAGCAACCACCCTATCAGCGTGACATCGACTTAATACAAATCCAATAATTCAACCTCGATCCAAAAGGTTTTTGCCCGAAAATGTCGAAAGTAAACTCCCGTTTAGCTCTGCAATCCCTCGTAGTAGTACCGCCTCCTCCCAGTAGGTTCACTTTGAGCGAATGGCATCTTCAGAACCGGTACCGGAACCGAATATGCTTGGACCAGCTGAGATTGGCCGATTCGGTCATCGCAGAGACAGACAGGAACATCGAGGAGGTCAACGAGAGGACTGACCTCAATAAGAGGGATACTGACCATAAGCTAGCCGAAAAGATCAAAGGTAAAGCATTTCAAAAAGAGAGAAACCATTAAGAATTTTGAACTGTAGTACATAGAAAATGGGAAGACGAATGCAAATAATAATAATAAGTTTATTCACGTATCATGCAAATATAACTAAAACTAACATAGGTATACGTGAATAAACTCAATTTACCCACAGTGTGCGTAGGTATTAACTTACATTTTTACATAAATATACACAGAAATATACATTCATATAAATAAACACATAAATAGATACACATACACATATATATACACACATACGTCTATACCATTGATTCCCAAAGTGGTCTATATCGACCCCTAGGGGTCTATGACAACCTGCAAGGGGTCTACGTCAGCGGAAAAAAATTTGAGGGTCCATGAAATGAATATGGGGGTCCACGATAGTGGATCTCAACACATACACTGATAGTACCTATTTACTTAGATCATACTATCTTATAATATCAAAACATATACATTATTTATAAAAGTACCTATGAAGTAAAAAAATTATTATATATGTTTATAAAATTGTGTAAGTTGTAGGATGTTGGTATTCGCTTTCTGGTCGCAATACATTTTGAACTTGTAAAAACCTGAGAGTCGCAGTCTCAGAGCTTCGCTACCTTGCACTGACTTGTTCAATTCGTCACTATAAATACGAATGTGGGACAAATACGTTTATTCGTTTCCTGAATCTTGAAAAGGAAAGTGCTAAGAAAATAATTTAAAAAATATAAACAGATAGTATATCACACAAATTATAGTCAGTCAGTGTTATTTTGTTTGAGAGTGCTGGAGAAAAGTAAGTACATTATTTTTTATTAAATTTTAGTTTTGTACTCGTAGTTAGCAAAGATAGATAAATTACGGCAATCATGACTTTAGTTATTAGTAGTTAAATATTCAATCATGCAAAATTACACGAGTACTCCTCAATAGTTTCTTTTTGAAAGTTTTAGCAATCGGTAATATAATTACAGTGCAATCTCCGTAATTCGAGCTAATTGTTGCAAGATGTTCGAATTATGGAATGTTTTCGGAAAAATCAAAAAAATTTTTAATATACAGCTGCTGGATTTTCCGTCTTATTTAAATAATTTAATTTTGCCCACAGATGACTGATGTCATGTCCGAATCTAAAAATAAATGTAGACAGTACAGTGTTGATTATTTGAAATTTGGCTTCATTCCATCATTGCCGGACAAACAATCGCCTATGTGCCTTTTATGCAACAAAGTTTTGGGCAATGACGCTATGAAACCATCTAAACTACAAGATCATCTGAGAAGATGCCACCCTGATAAAACAGAGAAAGATTTGAAATACTTTCAAACACACAAAGATAAATTTCAGAAGACACCTACACTGGACAGAATGTTCGCTTCGACGTCACAAAGAAATGATGATGGTTTGCGGGCGTCTTACAATATCTCGTTACTTATAGCAAAATCCGCATACTATCGGACAGAAGTTAATTTTGCCAGCCAGAGGTTTTAAAAACTGTTTTACACAAACCTGCATCTGATATCATTAAAAGAATTCCCTTAAGCAACAATACTGTTGAAAGACGTATTGATGAAATGAGTTCTGATATTGAAAGCTTCTTATGTAATTATTTGCAAACGACCCATTTCTCTATACAACTGGACGAGTCAATTTTACCTGATAATGCAGCATTATTATTGGCATATGTTCGTTTTATTATGAATCAAGAAATCTACGAAGAACTGCTCTTCGCAAGAACTTTGATAACCGACACTAAAGGTGAATCAATATTTCATGTTTTGAAGGATTACTTCATTGAAAAAGCAATTCCTTTATCAAATATATATGTAATATAAGTAGCTACAGATGGAGCACCTGCCATGGTTGGACGTTATCGTGGATTTATAAGCTATTTAAAACAAAATGTGTCAGGGGTGTTAGCAATACATTGCGTCATCCATCGACAACATTTAGTTGCTAAAAATTTCAGTGTTAGATTGCATGAATGACTTTATTTAGACATTGATGCAGTAAACCGAATCCGAAGCAACGCGTTGAATACGCGGTTATTTGCGCAGTTGTGTGAAGAAAATGACGAACACTTTCATCAATTACTCCTTCACACTGAAGTACGCTGGCTGTCGAAAGGCTTATGTTTGACAAGATTTTTTGCACTTTTTGAGACTATTTTAGAATTTCTGGATACTAAAGATAAAATTTTAAAAGAAAATTTAATGAAGAGGAAAACAGACATCGCCTATTTAACAGATTTGTTTACAAAATTTAATATGGTTAATTTGCAATTACAAGGCGACAGTTTAAATTTGATTAAAATAAAATCCATCTTATCAGCGTTTCTTGCCAGAGTTAAACTAATGAAGAAAAATATTGGTCGGGGCGAATTTTCTCAGTTCCCCAATTTGTCACAGACAAGCTGCCAGGAAGACGACGTTTCAACTTACGTTCAACATTTAAATGCCCTCTATTCAGATTTTGAATCTAGGTTTGAGGATATTTTAACTATGGTAATACCACCGTGGATAATTAATCCATATGGTGACATATATAGCAGAAACGAATGTCATAATACAAGAGGAACTGATTGAACTAAGTACAAACGAAGAACTTAAGGTTCAGTTTAAAAACGGATATCAGCAATTCTGGCTGCAAAACAACATACCCGTTACTTATCCCGTATTATGGAATATAGCGAGGAAATTTTAATTTCCTTTCCATCGTCATACCTAGTGGAAAGGGGGTTCAGCTCTGTTACCAATCTCCTAACGAAAAAAAGAAACAGACTCATTAGCCGAGGAGATTTAAGATTAACCCTTACAAAATTGACGCCAAATGTTGATAATTTATTATTAAAGCATCAGGTTCATCCTTCTCACTAAAAATATTGACTTATTGCTTATGTTATTTTATTTATAGTTTACTTTATGTTTATTGGTGTCTGACCAATAAATGCCCGCATTGGGAATAAGTGCCAACATTGATTTTTTTAAAGAACCCCCCTTTATAGAAAATATTTTTTTTAAAAATTATTCTGAAAATTCAAGGATAGGTACACACTAAAATTCGTTAATTTTTTGCCTATTTTTAGATAACTTAAACGTATAAGAAGCGGAATTTAATCAAACTAACAGTGAAATTATTGTAGAACATACGTTTATGTTATAATTAATAAACGAACTCGCTTATTGTACTATTTTAAGTAAAAAACTTTTTTTAAATTGTTTTTCACTTTTTTTCCCCTCTTATTTTTTTTCAATGCGGGCAGTTATTCCCAATGCGGGCACTTATTGGTCAGGCACCTGTTTATTTAATGTTACGTATATTTTACATAACAGATACAAAATTTTATTTTGAGTAGTTTTAATTTAAATTCAATTAATAAATGTATAAATTAACATGTGTTTTTAATTTAAGTTTTTAACACTAAACTTCACTACAGTTAGGCATTTACAGGAAATCAATAACAGGTAAGTAGGGGGTCTACCCAACACGGAAAAACATGACAACGGGTCTACGACACAAAAAAGGTTTGGGGAACTCTGGTCTATACGCATATATACATATATACATATGCATACACACACACACACACACACACACACACCTGTACATACATATATACATACACACATATACGAGTATATGAACGTTGGAGGGTTTTTAATATTACATTAATTTTAAATTTTTTGGTTTCAATTTTGGGTTTTGTTTTATTTGAAATATTTCTTATAACGTATAATTTGGTAGTATGTTATATAATCTACTGGAAAGGTAAGTATGACATCTTATGGCCTATACTTTTTGAGGTTTGAGGTCAAAGGTGTTTGCTTAGTGTTGTTGATTTTGTTTCTAGTTTGATATAAGTGATCTAACGGAATAAGATTATTTCTATGGTGAAATTGATAACTTATTGTATTGTATTATAAAAAAATTGTTGCCTAGGGTATAAGAGTGGTTTGTCAAAGATCATTTTTATAAATTGTTTTTGGATAATTTATAATTTATTAATTTGGTTATTAAGTGCTCCACCCCTACCTAACATTGCGTAACTTATACGACTTTCGATCATAGCATGATATAAAATGTTCGTTGTTTTTTTATCCAAATAATTGTTTAGATACTTGAATTTAAACAATAATGGTCTCAAATTGGTTATAACATGATCAATATGTATATTCCACTTTAAATGTGAGTCTAAATAGACACCTAAATATTTTATTTTGTTTGTTAAATTTATTTGAGTATTAATATTATCACAGTTAATCTGTATAGATACAAAGGATGGTATTTGTTTCTGTGATTTGTGAATGGCATGAACATAGTCTTTTGAAAGTTAATAGTTAGGTATTTATGTCTGAACCAGTCTGCAATTATTGTTAAGTCTCTTTCAACCTTCACTTTTAGATCATCCCAAGTATTGGTCTCCGAATAAATGATAGCAGTATCGTCTGCATAACATACGATTGTCCCTTCAGATTTTAAGCTCAGCAGGCTATTAATGTAAAGTGTAAATAATAAGGGGCCTAAAACTGTCCCTTGTGGGATACCATACCATATCAATTTGTTTGTGCTTAAGGAATTATTTATTTGTACGCACTGTGTTCTGTTGGAAAGGTAACTTTTCATGAGGTTATTATTAAGCTAATTCTATATTTTTGTCAATTATTTACTTGTTTTCGAAATCACCAAATAATTGAACACTTATGCTTAAGACATTTTTTTGTTGTTTCCAATAGATATCGAATTCAACAAAACTGAAATCGAAAAACAACGCAAAGAAGTAGTGAAGGAGATAGAGAATCTGACCACTTATATGGAAAGAATCAAAGATGCTCTAAACTCTTTGAAAGAAGATGCTTTAGAGATTGTAAGGAAATGTTTAATGTTGAGAGAAGGAAGGTATGATCTGCTATTTTCGATTCTAATAAATCGCGAAAACAAATGTAGCAAAGTAAAATTAGGAAAAGAAATTTTAATGTTACGAGCACGACACATCGTGCCCCATAATATACTAAGTGACATATAAATCCGAACACCCAGTTTAAATGGTTTTATTTTAATAAAATTTTGTATAAGTACTTAATGAAGCATAATAAGTAAATGATAAAAATTTCAAAATGATTGCACTGCTTTAAAGCCCTTTGACCTTTAATAATGTGTGGATGCACCCTGATGTGCTACGCATTCTCCAACGCGCCTAGGCATGCTTCTGATCAGGTGGTCAATGTCCTCCTGTGGTATCTCATTCCACGCAACCACCAACTCCTCTCGAAGTGCTTCTAGAGTCTGAGGAGGACGTTGCAAATTGAGCAATCTCCTACTCATCATATCCCACACGTGCTCAATTGGGGATAAGTCGGGAGATCTTGGTGGCCATGGTAACAATGTGACATCATTATGTTGAAAGAAGTCTATTGTGACTCTTGCAACATGTGGTCGGGCATTATCTTGTTGGAAAGTTGGATCTGCCAGGGTGTCAAGATAGGGTAAAAGATGGGGTTCTAGAACTTCGTGGATATAACGCTGCGCGTTCATGTTACCTCTGATGCAGATTAAAGGTGACCTGGAACCATAAGCTATAGCACCCCAAACCATAACTCCAAGAGTGTGATGAACATGTCTTTCAACAAAAAACTGTGGATTCCTCCTTTCACCACGTCGCCTTCTAACCCTGACACGACCATCGTGCATGCCTAAACAAAATCGAGACTCGTCACTAAAGACAATACTGTTCCATTCCTGATCCCAGAGTGACCGTTGTCTGCACCACTCAAGGCGATTACGTCGGTGTTCTCGAGTTAAAGGGAGGGCCCCGTGTGGCCGGTATGAAAACAAGCCAAAACTTCTCATTCGTCGGTAAACACTTCGCATGCCAATAGGTCTTCCGTGTTCTGCAAACCATTCATTTGCAATGGACCTGGTAGTGGAGAAACGGTCCCTTAAGGCCAATAATCTTAGGCGGCGATCTTCACGGTCTATTGTTCTACGGCGGCGTCCAGTGCCCCTTGCTCTTTGCGTACGGCCTTCTCGAAGCCATGCCTGACAACACCTAACCACAGTGTCTACACTTCTTTGCACTCTAACTGCAATTGTCCGAAAAGAAAGTCCAGCTTCCCGAAGTCCCACTATACGGCCCCTATCAAACTCACTAAGTTGACGAAATCGTACAGGTCTCCGTACTCTAGGCATCGTAACCGATCGTAAAGGATGTCAAGAACCAAAATCTGCCTACGTTGATTCTTTACTGCGGCTGAAATATTCATTTTTAGAGCGTTAGTGAATTAAATAAAAGCAGTATAAAAACCGGAATGTCCAACTGATAAGGCTGAAAGTTTTTTCACTTGTTATTTACAGTAAGATAAATACATTCACCAACTTTTATTAAAATAAAACCATTTAAACTGGGTGTTCGGATTTTTTATGTCACTTAGTATATTTCATTATACCTATTTGTTTATCGATATATTCACTATTTTATAGATTGGGAATTGATCTTTGCTGCGATGGGGTAGAAAAGGAGCTTAAAAAAGAACTCAGAGTTATAGAAGGTGCTCAAGGCTTATTGTTAAGATCTCTGCAACAGGCCAATGAACAGGTATCAATCTTGATCTAACAAGTTTACAATATGTCACCACTACTGCTTTGCAACCTTAAGCGTTTTAGGTCCGTATCGTCAGTCGCCCCTACAATTGTAGGGCGCGTTTATGGCCTGCTTGATTGTCATACGCCTTTCTCTCCTTCAAAAATTCGTAGATTGCACCTGTCCCGTGTCAGCGTCAGCGCTCTCCAATTGTGAAGATATGTTTACTTTTTAAATTGTAGGAAATTTCAGGCTGATAAAACATGATATAACTCAAAAGCAAGCAGAATTTCATGCAATTAGATATTTGTGACATAACCTCAAAATAGAGCACTGACACGGAAAAGTAGAAAACTATGACAATCAAGGAGGCCATAAAGGCGCCCTACAATTGTAGGAACGACTGACGATACGGGCCTTAGTGCGTACAATTCATAATAAATGGCAACAGTGGCTTAGGGCCATATCGTCAGTCATTCCTACAATTATTGTAGGACGCCTTTATGGCCTCCTTGATTTTCCTAGTTTTCTATTGTTCCATGTCAGCGCTCTAGTTTGAGGTTCTGTCACAAATATCTATTTGCATCAAATTGTTCATGCATTTGATTTATATTATCTGTTTTATCAGCCTGAAATTTTCTGCCATTCAAAAAGGAAACATAACTTCACAATAGGAGAGCACTGACGCTGATACGGAACGGTAGAAATCTAGAAATACCACTGCCTTTCTGAATTAGAGAAAAGACTGAAAATCCAGGAGGCCACAAAAGCGTCCTACAATTGTAGAAACAATTGACGATATGGCACTTAGTTCTGCCCGTCTAGCGATATTTGCGTTGGTAAAACGGCGGGACGCAGGTCAAGTCATATGTCAAGTATCGTTGCTAAGTAAACAGTACCTTGCCAATGTTGCCGTTCACACTTTCTATGATGTTTGTAGTGGTAAACTCATTGCTGAACCTTTTACTTCCTACGCCACTGGCGTGGAAGTATTGTAATGGAAAAAAATGTCCAAAAGGTATGTTTTTTTGATGTTATATGACATCTAGATCATGAAAAGTCATGTCACTCATTTCTGTCAGTCTGTTTGTCTGTTTGCTAATCCTTAGCCCGTCAATAATTTGGAAAGTACCGCTCGGATATTTTCACACAAGGACAAAAAAAAGCTTGTAGTTTTTGCGAATTGCTCCAGTGGCAGCGGAGGAAAAGAAAAAAAAACGAAAAAAAAGCAAAAATGGATCAAGCTCCGTTTCTCGACGTTTCAGATGATCTTGTTTATTTTACAAAAAAATTTTACAGGGATTAAAAATTGGATGTTGGAGGTTGTAGAGGGTGGAGCAACGACGATGTTTTTTTATCGTGGTTGGGGTGGAGGTATATGTCAATTTAGCGTTAGGCTAGATCATACTGTTGAACTATGGACCGATTGTATGGTCCTGTTTGACTGACACGATCCATTTAATTCCTTTGTTCGTAGCCAAGGTTTTTTTACGAGGAACTAACTTATGATAGCATTGCATAGGAAGTGCAGGATCAACCTACTTTATGCCATTTTTTTTTTCAATTTCCTAGGTTCGTCGACTACGCTCCACAACTTATTTCATGGATAGAGACTTGGAAGACAAGGGGAATGTACTAAAAATTGACAAGCATAACACTTCTTTAACTCATACAAGCTTAAATTTGTCCATTTACCATGGATTCTCACCTTTAGATCCGTCAACTGTCACTGTTCAGGAATGGGAGAAATATACGACGAAAAATATCGAAAATGGAGCCAAAGAAATAAACAGCGCCAGGTAAAATTAAATCGATCAATAAGGGAAAGATGAAACTTGAGACTTAATCAAGTAGATCTACTCGAGTAGCAATCGGTCGTTGTTCTACAACAAAGATATATTTTAGAAATATTCCAAACCTCATACTAACGTGTATATATGTTCAAATCATGCCTTGTGATTCCAATTCTTGAAAAAAGTTACACAGAACAGTTTTTCATCCATATACAAATTCTCTCAACGATATGTAATTCTTTCAGGCAACTAAGATCGTACGTAGATACCCTGCTGGTACAAGTGATAGATGATCTTAGATCACAGTGCAACGCAGTCAATAACGCATTCAGAAGAAGAATTGAGGAACTGAAAGAGGCAAAAACGAAGATGGAAGTACAACATGCAGAGGTAAAAACATATTCAACGAATTTCTTTGAAACCATAGTGTACTGTACAAAAAATGCCGCTAATAATTTATCGAACTATCATGATGTTGAGAGAAGTTCTAATTTTTTAATTTAACTCTTCACGACACGAAGTCAATGTTTTCATGGTCAATATATGTGAATCAACATAAATTCAATTTCCAGATGCTAACAACAGATTTGAAAGTTCGTATCTCTTCTTAGGTGGCGAGACAAGTGAACGAGATAACACGGGCCATCACCCGCCTCGAGAAATCGATCAGTGAAAAGGAAGGATATATGGCACTGGCGCATACAAGATTAGGAAACAGGTGCACAAAAATTATAATACTCGACAGGTCTTTTCACGTTTTCTAGCAAGTCACAGTAGAAATACAGGAATTACTTTCATGCATACAGGGTTTGTCCGGTCAGTAATAGGACTCATTTTCTTCCGCCATGTCTGTACTTCGACGTGTTTCTGTGAGTGGTGCAAGCCGAAAATGCAGCGTTCGTTAGAGCAGAGGTACGCGATTAAATTCTGTGTGAAACTCGGTAAATCTGCGACAGAGACGTTTGATATGATCAAGCAGGCTTACCCAGGTGTTGCTTTAGCAAGAAGTGGTGTGTTTCGGTGGCACCAGGCCTTTTTGGAGGGCCGGGAAGAGAACTCAGACCGCCCAGATGTTAAATTTACCAAAATCTGTAGTTCATGACATTGTGACACAGCATTTGAACATGCGCAAGGTGCGCGCGAAGATGGTCCCAAAAGTGTTCACTGACGACCAGAAATTGCGGCGAGTTTAAGTGTGCCAAGAAAATTTGAACATGTGTGATAGTGACCCCCAATTTTTGAATAACGTAATCACAGGTGACGAGTCGTGGATCTTTGAGTATGATCCCGAGACAAAGAGGCAATCTTCCGAGTGGCACACGGCGGCGTCTCCTCGCCCAAAAAAGGGAAGAATGAGCAAATCCAAAGTGAAAACGATGCTCATTGTCTTTTTTGACATCAAAGGCATCGTCCACCATGAATTTGTTCCTCCTGGACAAACCGTCAACGCCAAGTTTTACGTGGAAGTGCTCAGGAGACTCAAACGAAGGGTCAGTCGGGTCCGACAAGACATCGCAGCCGACTGGAAGTTGCACCACGACAACGCCCCAGCTCACACCGCCTTTCTTGTGAACAGCTACCTGACCAAGGCCGGCATCCTAACGCTACCGCAGCCGCCCTACAGCCCATATGTGCCCCCCCCGGACTTTTTTTTGTTTCCTCGCCTGAGAAGGCCCATGAAAGGCAAGCATTTTGAGACGACAGAGGGGATCCAAGCAGTATGCACCGCGGCTCTCAGGGCTATTCCGGAGAATGCCTTCCGTGACGCCTTCAATGCTTGGAAATCGCGCTGGCAGCGCTGCATCGACCCAGAAGGAGCCTATTTTGAAAGTTTTTAAAGAATTGTAACGATTGGCTCAATAATTTTTTTAAATCGATTCAGTCCTATTACTTTCCGGACAAACCCTGTACATATACAATCAGCCTCCATGAGCAGACATTTATGCTTGTGATTGTTAGTATGACAACCTGCTTGGCATGAGCATTCGGGTTTACCTTTTGTTTATTGATATTCAATATAGAACACAGCAATATTAACTGTGTTAAATTTATTGGAATATTTTGGGAAGGTTACTGAAAACAACGGGGTCAGCCCACCGACTTAACAAATACCGTATTGTACCTAGGTGAATAAATACATGCATATTAGCTTCAGAAAAACATGTTCACCTGTTCAGAAGAATTAGAAGGATGTGCCGCTTGAAAACATATAAAACCTTTAATTTGAGCGCAATCGGCAATTTTTTGCAAACATAGCCGTCATTCTGGATCGGCCATTTAGATTTTTCAAGAATCGATATTTAATTCCTTATTAGTGTTCTTAAAAACACATTAAAACGTAATTTTGGGCGCGTTCAAAACATTTTTTCAAAAGTAGCTGCCAACCGATATTTCGATTTTTGAACGATCGACCACAAGTTCGGTATTAGCGACCCTGAAAACATCTAAAACTTATTTTTTTGTTGCAAAGACATTATATTAAATCAGCCAGTTTGATCTTTGACAAATGGATGTCATTATTCGTTATCAGCAACCTGTAAAACATAGAACTGGTTTTTTTGTGAAATTTAGCGAATCTTTCTAATTTAGGTCATATTTTGGGACTTTTGTTCCACTGTGACGTCGATCGCAATTATAAATGTTCCGAGTCAGTTGAAACTGAACTTATGACATATGACGTCACAACCGAACCTGTCTGCGCGCGCAGTCGGCTACCGCACCCAGCACTTAAAATGTCATAACTTCCTTAAATTTTATGTTATCGGAATAATTCTTTCAGATTTGTAAAAGATACCAGTTATAAAGGGTTGTCCAATAGGGACGCAGGAAAGTAAACGTCAATTTGACATAGACGCCATCTTTGTTTTCTGTCACCGACATGTCATTTTGTTAGTTGAATGTTTACCATTGATCGCTATGGAGTCGTATTCGATTGAAGACCGCAATAAAGTTATTCAAGAGCACTACAAAAATGGTGCAAAAATAAAAAACACGTGTCGCGCGCTTCGTGAACATTTCGGTCGCAACAACCGCCCAAACGAAACAACCATCGGTCGTCTGGTGCGTAAATTCGAGGCAACAGGTTCTGTGGCAAATCTGCCAGGCTCTGGCCGGCCAAGGAGCGTTCGCACACCGGAAAATATTGCTGTTGTGAAGGAGAGTGTGAGAGACGTTCCGAAACAATCAACAACGCGTCGATCCCAAGAATTGGGCATTTCGAGAACCAGTTTGCTCCGCATTCTCCACAAGGATTTGAATGTACACGCCTACGAGATCCAATTGACGCAAGAGCTGCGTCGGGCCGACCATTTTTCGCGCCGAACTCAGATTGGCTACTTGATCACCGCCAAATTGATGCCAATTTCAAAAATCATGTTCAGCGACGGAGCGCATTTCACTTTGAATGGGACGGTAAACAAGCAAAACTGCCGTATCTGGGCGAACGAAAATCCCCGTGAGTATCAAGAGCAGCCGATGCATCCTCAAAAAGTGTCTGTGTGGTGTGCATTGTGGTCAAAAGGCATCATCGGACCTTACTTTTTCGAAAATGCGGCCGGGGACGCCGTTACCGTCAATTCTGAGCGATATCACGTGATGATAGAGGACTATTTTTTGCCGCAACTTGAAGGAATGGATATGGACGATGTTTATTTCCAACAAGACGGTGCAACATGCCACACAACCAACGTCAATATCCATCGATTGCAGTCCTTCTTCGGTGATCGCGTGATTTCGCGCAGAGGAAATGTGCCATGGCCACCAAGATCGTGCGATTTGACTCCCTTGGACTTTTTTTTATGGGGATATTTGAAAAGCAGCAAAGTCTACGTCAACAAACCAGCCACCCTCCAAGAACTCAAAAACAACATCATTGCCGAGATAAATGCCATAGAACCGACCATGTTGCAAAATGTCATTGAAAATTTCGACCATCGCGTGGACGTCTGTAAATCCAGTCGTGGTGAACATTTGAGCGATATTATTTTTCATACATAAATGGTATAAATGAACCTTCAAAATAAAGTACCCAACTTGATTTGAATATCAATCTTTCTTGTTTTAATATGCGTTTACTTTCCTGTGTCCGTTTTGGACAACCCCATACTATTAAATGCAAGTGAATCTCTTAGTATTTTCCACTATGGGGAATTTAAAACCAGCAAAGCCTAGAATCGCCTGGGGCAGGCATTTCCGCTCCCAAAGGACATCCACTCCCCAAAGGTGACAAGCGAGCGTGAGCTTATCTGTCGTTTTTCGAGTGTGCCAGACACGTTTGAGTGCACATACAAAATAAAAAAGAGCAAATAAAAGATACAATAAAGCCATACTACAATGTGGTTTTAGTGGTTTAACTCCTATAGTTGGTTTCTCCAAGGGCTACCGTATTTTTTAGGAAAAAATTTAGTAGTAACTCCTTGTATATAAAAATAATGCGAAAATGCCAACTTACTGAAATATTTACTAGAAATTCATCGAAATCAGGCAATCGACCTTGGCGTTTATTTCTTCGAGAAAATATCGGAAAGGTTTTGGAAAGGCATATAAGATCAGATATTACACATCACAGAGTAAATCAATGCCCAGCGAAATCGCGTACTCGGTAAAATGGGCCGAGTATACCGAGTACCGGGTACAAACCGAGTATTCGTTACATCCCTACAAAAATCACCACATTGAAGAGAGTTTTGCTTGCTTAAGGCTTTCAAACCGAAAATGGTTTTGCTTCAAAAAACTTTAAATGTTGAATGGCAAAAAACCATTCAAATTGGGTGCGTAAATTAACAATCTGTTAACAGTTCTTCGCTGAAATAGACAGCAGTGCCCAAGAATTCATTTAACCTTGAAACGACTTTTTAATTCCACTGTTATGTCCTCAGAGCCCAACGTGCCGGGATGGAACTCTGCAAAGACACTGTGGGCTTCTCCCTGACGAGCGAAGTAGCTGAACTCCGCTCTAACTTATCCGGACTACAATTGAAGATGAGCGAAGCGCGCGCCTCCATGAGGTACCTCCTCAAAACTCAGTTGCAGCTCGAAGAAGACATCAATATCAAGACGAACTCCATCAAGATCGACGAGGTGGACTGTATGACACTTAGGCAGGGCATCGATTATCACGCATATTGAAATTCATTTACATACATCGTACAGCACATGTTTTTTGTAAATATACAGGGTGTCCGCAAAGTTGGGGTTTTCCTTTTCAGAAACAACTACCCTTGAAATAACAAACGTAATGTGTAGTGAAACGAGGGCGACCAAGTAAAAAAAAATAAAGGAAAAAGTACTCACTCTCCAGTTGACGAGAAGGGCTAAGTACGTCTCTGCCCGAAATCATACCGCTCCAACAAAATGAAATCAGCTCATGCGCTACCGAGCAGACGCCGGCGGTGGTGCAGACCAAACAAATAAGACGGCGTTTCCGCGTTTTCAGTTTTTAGGTAAACGTACTTTATAGGTATTGTTCGAAGTTATCGCCGTTTGATTCAAAAACACAGGTGCGTGCACGACGTAGCCAAGCATCGGTGCAGGCTTTGAGAATGGAGTCCCTCCCCCAAATGAAAGCACCAGCTTGTTCAATTCTGAGACAAAGTTCGTCAACCGTATGCACTTCAGTTTTGTAGACTAAGCGTTTCATTTCTCCCCAAAGAAAAAAATCACATGGTGTTAAGTCTGGAGATCGCGGAGGCCACGCTACGGGTCCATTACGTCCGATCCACCTATTCGGAAATAATTCATCCAAAAACTCACGCACTTCGCGTCTAAAATGGGGCGGTGCACCATCGTGCAGAAACCACATTGATTGTCTTACACTTAATGGCACATCTTCTAACAAGGAAGGCAAAATGTTGCGTAAAAAGTCTAGGTATTGCATCCCGTCCAATCGATTTGGGAGAATAAATGGTCCAATGAGGATACCGTTCACCATGTTAGCCCAAACATTCACCGAAAATGTTTGTTGAAAATGTGCCCGACGGACGGCGTGCGGATTTTCTACTGACCAAACATGAGTGTTGCGAAAGTTATTCACCCCATTACGCGTGAACGTAGATTCGTCTGTCACCAATATGCAGTTCAAAAATTCCGGATTATTGTCATGTTGATGCAACAACCACTCACAAAACCGCACTCTTGCTGGAAAATCGTCAGGTTGAAGGGCACGTTGGACGTGAAACGGATACAGCTCCTCTTCACGCAGCGTTTGCCACACTTTAGTTTCTGATACTTGCACTTCTCTAGCCACGTCTCTAGTGCTTCTTGAGGGATTCTCGACTACGCGATTCAGTAGTTCTTCGTCAACTTGCATCATTCGTGGTTGTCTAGGCCTCCCACTGTGCCCACCTCGAAATTCCTCCAAATGGCCCGTATCCCTGACTCTCTGAACCAGGTACACAAATCTGCGGGGCCTTGGATGATGTCGTCTAGGGAAACGATCTGCATACACTCGCGACGCCTCTGTAGCATTTTGAAGACATTCGCCATAAATTAACAACATATCAACGAGTTCATTATTGGTGTATGAGTGTGCCATTATTATTATTATTTTTTTAAACGCAATCGATTATACGGGTTCGTTACCTCTACACGCTTGACCGTAACTGTCGATTGAAGGTTGTATACTGACTTGACACACTGACCCCGACCCAGTTCTGTCGTCGGGTTGAGCTAGTGTCCTAGTACCAGTCGGGGATATCGCGGGTCGCGGCTACAGGACGGTATTCAGATATGTTTGATGTTGCAGAGCCCTTTATCTCGGTTTCCTTAAGACATTGGTGTATATGGTACTAAGAAAAATTGCTTATGTTTTGAAGATCTACACGTCGTGTAAAGGAAAACCCCAACTTTGCGGACACCCTGTATTTGGATATGGAACGAAGCAGTATGTATTGTTGTAAACACATACATATGTCTGCATCTATTTTACATTAAATATTTAAAACCAGAACACCAATGGCCTTGAGTTTAACGCCACTTTATTGGTGTGCTTCGTAGTGACATGTCATTTGATTGTTTGTTTGGTTAATGTGCCGCCAAGCTTCCCAAGGTTCTATTTTATATCCTCTAATTTTAAATAAAATACAAGCATGGATGAAGGAGGGCAACATTAGTATAAGTACTGTATTGCAAGTGCAAAAATATGATACAAGAAGCATCAGATAAAGCATTTTTTTATATTCTCCTAGATGCTAAGAGCTAAGAGAAAAGTGGTGTAAAATTATAAACAGCTATAATACTACTCAAGAAAGTAATTCAACTTGTTGTAAAGATCAGTGGCGAAGCGTTCATGTAACCATTGTTACCATTGGTAATAGTTAAAAATCTTGAAAATAAAATTACTGTGAAATAATTTCATTTATAGGTTTACCAACAGCAATATGTAATAGTACATCAGTAAATAGCAAATTAGCCGCAAGAAAATAATGCGCCCTATAGTGTCTAGATTTTGCGAACGCGATGAAGCTGACTCGCCTCGACTTGGTTGTCGGTTACCATTTTCGTTTATGGATACACTTGATAGTCCTTCGGGGACCGTCGGAGCCGGCTCGTGTCTGATCGCGGTCGCCACAGTGCGTGGGCCGCTGCGACTATTATGTGGGCTTGTTACCACTTTTTGTTTTGGTTACTGACTTCTCACTCGTAAGTAGCCGTTTTGGTTACCGGCTGTAGTGTGCGTGCAATTTAACGGATGAATGTCGCTGCGCAATCGATCAACTACTTAAAAAGTCATTCTACTTATATAATTTTGAAGAAAAAAAATTAGATCATTGAAAATGAAGACCAACACCTATTTTAGATAATTTTAAATAGGAAAAAAAATAGTTCGATATTTTAAATTAAGTTGGTATAGTGAAAACTGGCTGCAAGAAAAACAGATTGTATTGTCTTCTGTTTTCTACAGAAAAAAATGGGTGAACCAGCAACAGAGTCACCGATTTAAATAGTCTTAGGGTTCTAAAGAGGAGACATGAAATTTATCTGTTACATGTGAGATGTGTAGCCAATTTGATTCAGTTTGGCAAAACAAGAATCGGAAGTTGCCTTAACCAAGCTTTTAGGCAGCCCTCTTATAGATGCGGTATGTTTTTTCGACTCTGACAGTAGTGGAAATTACAGAGAATTGTTAACATTAATTGCCAAAAAAGATCAAAAATTTTCCGAACATCTAGAAACGTCAACTGTTTTTTCGGAAGGCTTGGATTAGTCATAGCATAAGACGATGAGGTATATCAAGTGCCCTAGACGCCCAGTTCAGCAATGTTTATCTTAATTAAAAAAGTTTAAATAAAATACCTAAAATAAGCAAAAACATATATTTGGTAGGGTCAAAATAAACTTTTTTTAATAAGATCATTCATATCTGGTTTTGGTAACAGTTTAAAAAAGTCACGCGTCGCCATTGGTGAAGATCATTTTAACATTAAGAACAGAACACAGAACTACCATTATGCCCAAATATGATTAGTTTTTATTCGCTTAAATTGTTGCCAGTTCTACAAATATCTTTGCTTTTGATACAAAAAAATACTTTTATGAATGAATAACAAATAACAGACAGTATTGATCTGGTACTGGTAAGTTTAAATTAAAATTGCTGTAGAAAATAAAATAGCAATCAGAATATTGGACAATAGTACCATTGCACGAATGGCATTAAATAACCAACTTTTCAGAGTATTTGGCATGATTATCCTAGACGATTCTTTGTCAAAGGTAGATATATATATATATATATATATATTGGGTTTTTTCTTGAAATGTTGCATTAAAATAGTTATGTGGATTTTTTTTAATAATAATTCATTCACATCAATTACAAATTGTGAATAAATAGATTTGCCACAAAAGGAAAATATCCTATACAATTATAAATATTTTTAAACAAGCCCTGCTCAATTATTGCTGTATATCTCGAAAACCGCGAGACTTTTACCTAACCAAAACTTTTCCAGATAGTAGGTCATGTCCATTTGCAGGATTATCCTTCAATTTCTAGACTCCCTCTCTTTTCTGTTCAAGCATCAAAAATGAATGTGTTTTGCTTACCATCCTCATACATCTCAATATTGTTTTCCATAATACCTGTGTTTATCTGACTTACATTTTAAATTCTGGAAACTGTTGGTATCTTTGGAACTCTTCCTCCCATTCTTGTTGAGTTCTAGGCATTTTTTCTCCAAGCAGTCGCCAATTTACCATTGACAAACCTGATTCAGTCAATCTGGTAACTCCACCTAGCAATCAAACAACTGTGTAATCAATAATATTTTATTCTCTGTTTATGTATAATCATATATTGCATTCTTAATATCTCTTTCACAATAATAATAATGATTAATATACAAACTGCATAGTATACTGTGCATGATAATGTGCATCGCTGCTAAAAGCTAAATTGTGAGCTTTTACATCTCAATACATAATGGGAACTGATGTTTTTATGATGCTAAGCCCAAAGTTTTTCTGTATATTTTCTGTCACAATGAAAAATTACTGCTACTTCACTGTTTTCTTTATGACTTCTTTCAAAACCATACAAATGCTAACTAAAACAAAAAAATAGATGGTAGTACCTAACACAACAGCACCTAACACCATTCCACTGCACGTTAGCAACCAGTACCCAACTGCCTTTTGTCCTTTGTTAGCTGCATCTGAGCCAAGGCGCACTGCCACTGTGCCACTACCTCTCAGAAACTGCTTGAACTAAAAGGAAAATTTCATTTGGAACATGTGATTATTTCAAGATATTCATAAATATGCTAGGTCAAAGTGATAATGATATACCTTTTAACAAGTTAGACATAATTTGAAGCACCTTTTAGAAGACAAGCCAAACAAACTAGAGACCAGGTAATCCCCCATGTTTGACTGACCAAATCAAACCACATTCCATACAGGATAAATTTCAGATATTACACGAGACAAGGTTCAAAAAATATAAATACTACCACTGTGCATATCAACTAAAATACATCCATCTCCACCACATGCATACGAAATTGTTTATACAAAAAAATTTTATCATACAACATGGTTAATTTTTACCCAGAGGCAATCTGAACGATGTGAAAATGTGCGGTGTGCACATGGCTTATGCCTGATGTGCAATTGAACACTCTCCAGGGCTCCCACTTGAGCACCAGAACATGCCTATCGGGAGGCCACAAGGTAGAGTTTGTATTCTTAGAATTAGTACACTTGCAATGAAGTTAAGAATACATACCAAAGTTTTGTCTTGGGAATAATGCTGTCTAAGTGCTTGAGAAATGTGCCTCCTAGCCTGTCCATTTTTCAGTAATAAATCCTTTCTAGAGTTACTAAAAACTAATCTAGCCTGAGGCAAAACTGAGCTACAGCGAAACTTGCAAAACCTGGTAATGTTCAACATTGCTTAGGCTGAGAACTTATTTGCTTAATGAGCCCACATATGATTATGATTACTTATTATATTATTTATTTTTAAAAACACTTTTCAAACTTCGGCAATGTTGTGATGTGAAATTGGTTAATAAATATCTCGGAATACAAAATTGTGACACGGAACAAGAGGGGAATTGTCAAAGTCAATGTAGCAATTGTCATCGCCGTTTCGCCGTAGCATCAACTGTCAAAAATTTTGATTTCCTCAATAAAAAAAATCAAAAAAGAATAACCGAATATTTTCTTTTATATCCTCAATTTTTTCGTATTACTAATATATTCGTATCAAGTGACAAAAAACTTGTAATAGTAGATAATAGGAAATGATATATTCCAACAAAATTTCGAAAACATAGGTGAGTATACACGTATAGATTTTCATAGTGTGATGATAACACAATTTTGATTTCAGATATTTAAAATGAAATCATTTTTGGTACTTCTTTTGGCTGTTATTTTAAGCCATAACACTTCAAGTTCTTCAGCCATTAATTCTTCGTGTGATCACAGTTTAGAAATCAGAACAGTCCTTGAACAAAAATGTTCAACCATTGCTTCACAGATTATGTTTAAACTCTTACCAGGATTCGAACACTGTCCAAAATGGTGTCAACTGAAAGAAATTAAAGCATTGAGAAAGGATAATGAAAAAGATGTACTGTGCCTTTTGCTAACCAACAGCTTTATATCGTTTTGCACAACATTCAAAGATGCTGCATTACAAAACGTGAATTTTATTCCTCCTAATCAGGTAAATCCAGTCGATGTGTGTACCAAATTACTGGAACCAAAGCAATCTACAGAGTTCAATATATCTGCAATAATCCCATCTAAAAAAGCTTGCGAGATAGTTTGCTCAAATTATGACGACGATACTCCAGTTGTGAAAGAGTGTGCACTTGCATTTTACTTTAGAGACCTCAACAGCAGCGCCATAGCTAATTTTGCTCAAAAAACTGCAGACTTGACTAACCATGGTACAATAGGAGGTACGGTTGATCAAAAACATTTGGCAGAACATGTACCAAATGTGCAAGAGCAACACAAACAAGATACTATTCAGAATATCCCTGCAGATACACAAAGCAAGCTAGAGGCAGGTATGATATCATACAAAGACAATATGCTTCTTAGAGCATGTAAACATTTAGGCAAATGTTGCACAATCAGTATTTACTGTAATCCACCAGAGTTGCCTAGCCAATAAAACCACATGTACTGTGATCTTCAGTATAGTGACATATTTTATTTATCTGTCTTCCAAGAAGGCATGTGATTTTATTGGCCAAACAAGCATGGGGATTATCAACTTGTAAACCACTAGGACATTATTTACTTTGGTCCATACTAAACATCACATTCCATGATATTTACTGATGGATCACAGTATATTGTGATGGTGTGACATTCATCTAACTTGTGCATTACTTAACACACTAAGAAAATTAATAATAACAATGTCAGTATTTTTCAAGATTGTGGATCATTCTACAATCTATAGTAGTATAATATAGATTTTAGTTTTTTTCCTTGGTGATGTGAATTCATTAAACTGAGCTGTGTAAATACCATGCATAATAGATAAACTTTGATTTGAATGCATCAGGAAGTGAAATTAATTTTCAGCAAAACCAGCAGATATATCAGGCACTGAACAACAGAAATCTGCAAATGTAGGTCAAACAAAGCAAATGCCAGAGAAGGTTGTTGAACCTCAAAGAGCTCCAAAAGCTGTGCCTCCAGGAAAACCAAGAGAGGGAGTTGTTAGAAAAGATAATTTACAAATAAGTGCTGAGAAAAATGCTAAACAGGACATGGAGGATTCTCTAGGTATACATTGAGATATTTTAAACTTGCATCTTTCACACAAGAATGATTTTTTCAAAAAACTTACAGTATTGTTATACCTTAATATTATGCTAAAAGTATGACCGTTGTGACCAGAGGCAGAGAAAATCTGAGTGTGCCTGCACATTCGTCCGCATTTTTTAAGAGGGCTCCATTATACATGGCTGTCAAAACTTTCAATATGCTTCCTATAGATATAAAATCCGAGAGCAAGCCTATTAGGTTTAAAAGAGCGGTGAAAAAGTTTTTGCTGGACAGATGTTTGTACAGCTTTGATTTTAACATTTGAGCTCCATTATTTTATTTTAATAACATTTTAAGCTAAGTTGTGACATACTGGACTTTTATTTGTCATTTTAATAGTTTTTAATATTGTAAACATACATATAATATCCCGTTGGTATTGTACTACATTTTTTTTTTGACGTTGCTTATGTTTTTTTCTTTAAAATTTTGCTGGCAATAAAGAATATTATTATTATTATTATTATTATTATTATTAATGTCATTATCTACTGGTTTTTTTCTAGCACCTCACGCTGGCGTTCCTGAGACTCCACATGTGGATACAGTAGCTAATCAGCAGGAGCCTTCCATCAATACAGCTGAAAGTGTAGTTCAACATAGTGTTGATGATGCACAGAAAGCTGTGCCTCATTATAGAGCTGAATTACCTGATTCTAACCCTGAAACACCCTCCTTGAAGAATAAAGCTGAATCTGGGAAAGATGAACAATCTGCTGATAATGTTCAGGTAGTTTGAAACATTTATATTTACTTAATGGGATTGCTGAGTTTTTTGTGGCACTAGAAGGTAAATTCTCAAAAATGATGGAGTAAACTAACCAAAAGACAACAGTTCTAAAACTTCCTGATGCCTTTTCTGGCAGCATTTGATGCTTATCTAAGAGGTTTGTGGATGTATCCATTTTGTAACAAAATAATATTTTTAGTTTTCAATACGCTTGACCTGAATGTAACAGAATCTTTCCACCTAACTTTCAGCAATTCCAAGAAGTCTGATTAACTTGAAAATTTTTGACTGGGGTCAATAATAATGATAATCTTGCAAAAATCGAATTTGAAAATTTTTATGAAATTTGAAAAAATGTATGAGAGTTTAGCAAAGTCAGAAATTTGGAAACTAATTTGAATATTTGAACATTTTGACAAATTTTTGGAGATTTCGAATATCGATAAAAATCTGGAAATTTTTAAATTTTAATTAAACAATTGGGAAATAACTGGTGAATTTGAAAAAAATAATTTTAAATTTGGGAAAAATTGAATATTCGAATTTTGACATTTTTTAAGAATTTTGAAGAAGTTTTAAATTTTGGAAAACAATTAGAAAATTTCGGAAATTTGAAAAATTATGTGGAGATTTGGAAATTTAGAAATTTGAAAAAAACGGAATTTAAACTGCGCGCTAACATAAACCTGTAACGTCGTATGTCCCTTTTTTAACAGCCTGTGTGGAGGAATATTAATAATACTCTGATTGTTTCATAGTGTGTATAGAAATGACTGAAAAACAATGTTATCAGTTTCTTTTTTGTCAAAAAATGCATTTTTTCTTCCAGTGTAACTTGTTAACAAATATTAGTAAAGCTCTGAAATTGTATGTCAAAATTCCACTTTTATAGTAGAATTTGCTGCAAATAGCTCATATTCATGACATATTTCTAAAACAAACCTCAATGGTTGCTGCTTGAAAGATATTTGAAACGTACTTATCCAGGGTCATCCTCCACCACCTGTTCAAGACCCAAGCCCTGTTGAGGACAATCCTCCAGAAGAGACCATCAAAGATAATACCGAGCCCAAACTAGCAGATGAGGAGGAGGAAGAACAAATGGCTCCCAAGGAAGAAGACGCCATGACGCCCAATGAACGTAATAACGCGCAGGGCTTTAGTCACGATGAAGAGGATGAAAATAATTGTAAGTTCAGAATAATCATACAAGTACAGGCATTTTGAGGTTACAGTCACAACGCAAAAAATTCAGGCTAGAAAGAAATTAATGTTATATTTTTTCTTTTTGTTGCAGATGAGGAACTCGGAGCAGGTGAAGGTATGTATTTTCATTATAAAACAGAGTGTATTTGATCATTTGAGTTATATCCTGATTAAACATGATTTTATAATTATCTATTTTTGATAGTTTCCAAGTCTATCAAAAAGAAACTTGTAACATCAGACGAACCCGCCAGTTATAATAACTTGGAAGAAATGGATGGAGAGTCGTACTTTTTCTCGTACTTCATGGCAGTATGTGTGCTGTTTGTCTTAGGATATGTCGTTTATCATAATCGCCAAAAGGTAAGTCATGTTTCGTTTAACATAGCTCTTGAACACTAGTTTATAAATACATATCAAAAATTTAAGGGATCTTTCTTAACAAGACCAACTGGCAGCTATAATTTTTTGTAAATGTCTTTTTTACCTTTTTCTTTTTTATGGGTAGGAGTTAAAAAATTATGTTGTACTGGTAAACAGCTTTATTGGGTTTATTTTACATTTTCCTCTTCCTAATGCTCCATTTTTCTTTTATATCTCTTTTTAACATCAATGCTTCTCCATCATGTTTCTGTATTATCTAAAGTGATGCAGATGGAGGATCAGCTGTGAAAACCTTCCAGCAGAGCTCAGTACTTCACATTCATATGCAGTGAAATAATAGCCCAGTAAAATTCGTAAACATAATTTACTTTTGAAAGGTGCTGGCTTTGATTGTGGAAGGAAAACGGGGCAAGAGGCAGTATCGTGGTCGCAGGCCCAATTCTGCAAACTACCATAAACTGGACACCAACCTAGAAGAGGCCATTTCATCGAGTTGTAACAAAAACTCTAGCCACGTGATTTATTGAACGAAAATCGAAGCATTCATTGTAACATTATCTGTGTCATTGTTCATATCATCGCCGCATTTAGCGTGAAATTCTACGTGTATAAATGTAAATACTCGCAGTAATAGTAGTATAGATAAGGTATGGTTGTGGATGATTCAATATGAAATATACATAGATTAGACCTTTTCGTATTTTAATAACCAGAAATGCATCTATATCGAATGTCAACGAATCTTAAAAATATTTTTAAGGCCGAGTACAATTCTTTCGTTGACATCCGGTATATGTGCATGTATTTGCGATCGCCATATTTGCCGAAGGCCACGCAGTGTGCTTGCTATTCTTCTTAAGCGAATACACTCCATTTTTACAGGTTACGAATGAACACCGGAGAGTTTTTGCATATCACAAATACCTCATACATAAACGTTGACGATAATTTAATAATCTGACTAATTTATAACCATGTCAACTGGACTATCGCGTTCTGCGCTGCTGCTGACTGATCGCTCGCAGTCACACAGTCCACTACCCGAATGTCCTGTTCCTGATTCACTAGGTAGAGTTCGAAGCTGGTAGAAACGCGAACGCGGTCCAAACGCGTAATCCTGGTTGCCTAAGCATCGATTTTGCGAGGGCGCCCCATCGGTACCACATAGTTCTAGTTTACGAGGACGCTAAGTGATGATCCATTGACTTATGACTGTCAAAGTTAACGTTTACGTTTGTGTTATTTACGAATGTTAAAACCCTATTATCCAAGCAATTTTACTACAAACCCGTCGTAATGTGATGGTGTACTATTACGCACATATTCTGTTTTATTGGCTTATTTGTTTAGAATCACATGTTCTACTAGAAGATGCCCAAGTCACTCGGAAACTGTGCCTGAGAGGGGCATATGAACCACCGACCACCATTAACGTATTCTACTTAAAGATAGGCAACCTAATGCTGTATTCCGCATTCAAAAGATTATCGGAGATAGAATGAGGTACAGTAGTGTTTACAGATGGCGCTGCCTATAAATAGATCAGTAGTTTATTTGACCATTTTACAGAATGTTTCTGACAATTAAAAAGTCTTGAATAGAAACCATTGTGGTATTTACCGAAATAAAATAAAAAACAATTATTTCATGTATGGCACTCTAAACAAATTAAAATATCTAAATTTATTTAATTTAGATTACATTAAATTAAATCATTGTGATTATAACCCATAGATAACATCAGTGGGCTTTAAGGGGTGATGTCTGTTTCAAAAACTTCCTCCACAGAATAGGAAACAAGCTGTTTGAAATATAAATAAATATTTTCTCCAATCAAAGTTCAAACATAGTTGGGAAGTTTATTATAGATATTGAGATGTAAGCTGTTTTTTTTTTTGTGACATTGTTAGACGAAGTCTAGACGGTCTCAATTAAGGCTCGTCGGCTACAGCGCCATCTATGAGACACAAACATTTCCAGAACATCTAATGTAAATAGAGAAACAGCTGTGACAAAGTCTTATCAATGACGCTATGGTATCTCATTTTGTCAGATAATTTTTTGGCCGCGGGGAAATCGCTCTGGGTTCCAGGACTACATATGCGTTGACTGTCAACTACTTGTCGTGTGGTATCAGCGTTGCTATCTCTCGGACTATTGCCGCAGATTTTGGGAGTGCTTTTTCGTCATTGCGAAATTCTGACAATACGAAATCTTAGGAATAATTACGAGGGGTAATCTTGATTTCGTATTTAAGAATAAACAATTTTCTTTAAAAGGACATGGCAGTATATTGTTATTACTTCAAAGGGAATTACTGCGGTCCTAGTTGGCAACATATGGTTATTATGACTATGGGAATTGGATGTTAACAACATAGATTTGGGCATCTTTTTGAAGAATATGTTGATCAAAGGTATGACAAGGTATCCAAGAACATCTTATTCACAAACCTGCAACATTGGAATATGAAGATTCTGTGAAGAGACTGTTCTGTAATATCATAATCAGATACGGATAAAAGAGCAGATGTTTTGTCAATATCTACATGTTATTTTAGACCTGTAATACAATAATTTTCCATTAAATGATCTTTATTTCCACCTCAATGACAAAAATTCGCAAATCCTACTTATTAGCGACCCACTGACCCTTCAATGTCCACTCTTGTGGGACAATCTATGCTAAACCTTAGGCCAAAACGACAGTCCTTTAGTTTAACTTCCCATTTATTCAAAAACATGAAAAATACAATTAACATCAAAAATATGAGTCAACGTGTAAATATTACAGAAAAATATTTTTCTAAGAAGCAACATGCTTTGACATATATCCATCTACTCTCCAAAATTGCATAAACTGGACTTCCCTACATCACACCAGACATTTTTGACAACGCTAACTTTGTTGTAAAATTCCTCTTCAAGGATAGATTGGATGTTACTTGAATCTGTGACGTGCGAAGGTGGGAGCATCTCTGCATTCCAACTGCCAAAAAAGACTTGAACGTCGTTATGGGATTCCACTGCTCTGGTGGCCTCAGCAGTATCTGGGATGTATTTCAGGACGCCGTCAGGCAAGAGAGGACCTGTGTTAAAGATTATACAATAAAATAAACGTAAAACCAACCTGTGTATCGGACTTTAACAAAATATATCGATCACTTCTATGGCGAATGTTACCAGTATTTACTTAATCATTCCGTCAGTGTTAATGGATTTCCACAAAACCTTATACATCAGTAATAACTGAAACCAAGGTTAGACGGTCAATAAATATCAAATTCTATTATACTGACGGACCACACTAAATACTGATCGCCTGACATTCGATCGAAAGAAACGTAGTTAAAATCCGACGCTCAAGCACATTTTGGACTTGGATCACTCCCTTGATCTGACGAATTAGTCCTAAGTTTGACCATAGGAGATGTGGCAATTAAGTTCCGGACATTTGTTAAAAATAGATAAACAATCGTATATTCTGAAGTGTAGCACTGATTAACGTATTCTACAGGGTCCGTCAGAAAGAACGCATGTTTTTTAAATGAGTAGTACAGTCAAAATAAGTAGGGGAAAAAATATTTTATTATATCAAAATTCTCAGAAATACATGCCATTTTTTTGAGTAAAACAAAATTAACGTTCTAAAAAATATTTGAGATGAAATGAGATACCACAACGACTCTACAATATATACTTTGAAAACGTTAGTGTCTCATAGATGGCGCTGTAGCTAAACATATGCCAGCGCCATCTATGAGGCACGAACCTTTCCAAAGTTCATTTTTAATTAGTGTGGAGATGAGAAACATAACTGTCACAAATTCTCATAGATGACGCTACGGTATCTCATTTCGTGTCAGTAAGTTTATGTTAATCAATGGTTTAAGTCAATGTTTCCTCCTCCTCCTGTTCACTACCCTTATGTATATGTTACTTCTGAAAAATACGTCAATCAAACATGCTATCGGCATCAACCTTAAACTGAGACAAAAAAAAAACGTCCCCCATAGTTATGCATTTAATTCCGGTACTTAAATGCCATATTACTCATACACCAGGTAAATAAAATTGGCAAGCTAGTATCCCTCGACGGATTAATTGGAACTATGTTATTACCTAATTCTTTGGCTATCCAATGTTGAGAAATGACCGCATTGCCTTCATAGAGTGCTCTGACTGTTACATAGATGGCATGCTTATCTTGGATATTTCCAACTGCAACCACTCCTCGTGGTTCTTGGTAGGATACTAAATCGAAGCCAGACTGAGTGGTTGCAAAACTACTATCTCTACCATTGAAATATCTGTAGATTATCGAATAATAGTCTTCGGCGTTGCTAAAATAAAATTTTCGCTGCTTAAGATACACATCTAACATAACATGTAGGCACATGCATATTGCGCAGCTTGATTCAATGGACCTGACAGCAACTTTGGTGGAACATTTTTAGACATACCTAGAAAAATGTTTATTCAACAAGTCTTTCAATTTAGCCAACAATAACAATTTCTTTTTGATTTTTGATATTTTTCCCCAGCATTCCTGGCCTTTTTTGGCAGCGCCTATAGCGGAACTGATATTCTTATCTGAATCATTCTCTGCTTTTGGAATAAATGCATCATAGGGAGACAGCAGTTCGAAAAAACCTGTAAAATACTTCAGATAATCATATGGTTGATTTTACATACATTTGAATACCAGACTACTGCTACCTTCGAAAGGTACTGGCAGAGGTATTACGTAACTTGGAAAGTGACATTATATCGGTTTTTTGACATTATGTAGGTTTTCTTACAAGACTTCAAGGATTTTTAATTACATACTCCCAATTTTTTAAGTAATAACCCTGCTGTATCAGAAAATAAGTAGGGTCTTTTTAAAAGCTCTGTAAATCTAAAATACATGAAAGGATAAAATATATGAAATAATCTCTTACCTTCAACTCCACCAAAGTTGCCAACACCGCTACCTTTCAAAGGAGTAAAAGTAACATTAGCGGCAGTTGTACCATATGTTCCATTGATCCATATATTAGTCACCTGAAATTATTTTTCTTATACATTCTTTCTTGGTAGTTATCCGTGAAACTTACTTTCAACTTTCTGACTACTTCATTGATCAGACACAAATTCTCTGACCATACTGAGGCAGCCAATCCCTGTTTAGAACTGTTTGCCATACTAATAGCTTCTTCAATGGATCGAAAACTTAACACGGTTAACACTTGACCGTCATCCTCTGTAGACGAAAACGCCTGACCATCATCTACTTTACCACCTAGAATCAATGTCGGTTGCCATATGTCATCATTTTTAAGGACCTACAATATTTTTAAGGCTTTAGGTACCATTTCGATAGTCAAGTCTGACGGTTAATCTTTTAGTTTAAAATGTTCAGTTGACAAAACGAACGAAAAATCATCGCAACTAACATGAGTCTACATTCAAGACTTCAGCCAAGAGATTATTGAATAGTCTACACCTTAAGCTTATACCTGGAATTTTTCCATACATAGTGATGATTCTAAGGTTTTCTTAAGACATGACAAATCACTAATACATTGCGATATATCTGCCAATTTTTCATTACTTGGTCCTACTTTCAAGTGTGATAATTTCTTTTTTAACATATCTAAAAACTGATCCAATATACTTTCTTGCACAAATACTGTGCCTACAGAAGAATGTGCCTGTAAAAGGAAAAAGTGGAGTTAAGTAGATTTACCCAGTACTTCCCAGCTTCCCACATAATGATATAGAACCAGTTAAGCTTTAGATAAACGAAAAAATTGTAGATAAAGATAAATGCATGATTTTACTTTTACAATCCATTGAAATACAACTCACCCATTTTGACCATGCTGCACTTATAATACCTTCAGTAGCAGCATGAAGGTCTGCATCATCAAAAATTATAGCTGGTATGCGATAATTTGTTACTAAAAATTAGATCCAATTACGAATTGGCCAAATACTCGTATATAAGATTTAAATAAACTTACAATAAACAATTCTGGTATTTGTTTTTTCATCAGGTACAGTTGAATATTTCTTATCCAACAAGTCATCAAATAGCACAACAACACTAAGTTCAACTGAGGAACCAATGTAAGTACTTAAATGATTATCATCTGAGGGAATCACTGTTATTGAATGGAATCTAAAATTATATTTCTAAGATTATCAACATTAGAGTGGGAAAATAGTCATGGATAGGAAAACAGAAAAATATAATGAGCATAATGAAACTGAGGCTGTGCAAAATAATGACTGTGCTCACCCTATACTAGCAGCAAGCTCCTTTATGAGATGTAATGCCAAAAATATCTTGGTACCTGCTTGTACAATGATTCTACAACCACTAGCTAAAGCAGGTGCAATAAATAAACCGACATTTATTAAAGGAGTTTCATTTGAAAATACACCCACCACAGTTTTCTTATCTGCAAGAAAAAGTCATCCAGCCTTATGGTTTAAATCAATGTATAAGTTCAGTTTATTTACTAGACAAACCTTGTTTTTCTGGAATACATTTTATGTTGGAGTTTCAGATTAATCATCATCCAAGTTATGTATTCATATAAAATGTTAATGTCACAAAATTCCTAAATATTGTACTAGTAACCATTAACAAAATCTCCATATATTTTTTCTTTAATTGCTTATAAAGCCTGCATGCAGAATATACATTCAGCACATGCTTGACTAACAATTAAAACATTCATAATAACAATACCCTAAATGTTTCAAGATTTTGTTAATGAATGAGTGAAGAATATTTAGTAACTTATATTTTGCAGTTTTCGAAATATTAAATTGCTTATATCATGAACAGATAAAAGTTCATAAGTAGCTTTTTCATGCAGAAAGAGCCAAAGCCTAAAAAACTTTGTATGGGGAGAAAAAAAAGCCATTTTTAGGATTCTTTAAAAAATACAGAAACAATTTTTGGCCCAAATTTAGGTCTGGCAACATACAGATTGATTAAAAAAAAAAAAGGAATGAGAATATTTTTGAGGAGATGCCAAAATATTCCCAGACTATTTTTGCATAATATTTGGACACATCTACATGTAAAATATGTATACTACTTCGAAAGTACATCTAACATTTTAATCAGCATGCTAGCTATACTCTATGACAAACTCTTAAATTACAAGATTGGAGCTGATAATTTGTCTGCTCTAATCTTACCATCAATAGAATATTGTAAAGGAAATGTTGAATAATAAATAAAATATTCTTTTAAAATTGGAACTACTTTTTGTTTTGTGTCTCTCAACAATATTCCTCTTGTTGCTGCTTCTATTTGAGCCAATAATTCCGAATTTTGTTCAACGCTTGTAGCTAATCTGAAATGCCAAAGGCAATTAGTTAATCAGTGAAATTATTTATTTCTTGAACTCACTTTTCAAGAAGCATACTTCTTTTCTGTCTATCCAAATCATCGGGCTCCAAGATACTGTCCACAAGCTGGTCAATATTTTCTGGAATTGAAACAGAGCAAAGCTTTTGTTTATTTATAACATCATTCACGTCTATAGAATTTGGCCCCAGTGTTGGGAAGAAAGTAGTTTTCAGCCACTCCTGAAAATCAATAAGAACGTAATAGTATTTGTTCAAATTGGAAAATTAGTACTTTGTTAACTAACATCCAATTTATCCATTTTCTCAATACAGTCTCTGTAGTTCATGTGATCAAAAATATGCTTTACACTCGTATCCCTTTTACTCATTTTAGTAAAATTAGATTCGTAGAATCAGCACAAAATTGCATAAAAAGTGATATAAATTGGGAAATAGTTTTATCATTCATTTTTTCATCTTTGTTGACATAACCCAATTTATACTTGACGTTTTCCGGTGTTTTCTATGACAACTTGACACGGAACCAAAAAACGTGAAAAAAACCTATGACGGAACAGGAAATTCCCCTTGAATTTTGTGTTCTGTGGTTGAGTGGGAAACTTTCAATTTGAAATTGTTATGGCAATAAAAGTTTTATCAATCCTGTCACCTTATGAGTCCTTTTGATTCAATAAGAAGATAGAAGATAGAAACCTCGTAAGATTTTGTTAAACGATATGACGGGATTACCTAAACTACCAGGATTCGCCTTTAGAGATCCCACAGTAAGTTTCATGATTCGTCTAAACAAAATTTAAAATACGTTTTTTAGCTTACCAAGTTCCATTTATCGCAAACGTTTAATCTTTGCAATGGGTACAAACTGCCAAAGAATCAGGTAAGCAAATAAGCCACAATTCAAAATAGTAGCAAGCTCAATGTTAGCCAAGTCATTGCTTAAATTTTACGCGAAAACCCTTCACTACATAGTCGGGTACTAAAACGGAAGAGAGCGGCGTATACGATGCGTTTTGCTACTCTCTTCCATTCTGGTACCCGGGTATAATCGATGAACTTGATGAAAATGTTTTAGTTTTGCGGCATTGGTGGTCGAGAATTGGACTCGAACTCAGTGAAGCATCTGCCGAAGTACGATGTCGCTAGGTACGACCCTTCCTTAACTTACGGACGTGTTAAGAATGAAGCGCTACCTCAGTTCACACCGCATTACGTTTTGTATGACCAGAAATGTCTCACGTTCAAAGCGTTCTTCAAACAGCCCGTGGTCGAGTCACCATACGAGTTTTACAGGGTGAGGCACGTGAACATCATTTATTTTCTGGAGGATGACACGATCATTGTTATGGAACCGAGGACGCCGGTAAGTTGTTAAGGAAAATTAAGTTCTTCAACCACTAAAAGAAAACGCAGGTTTCTTGGTTCGTCTTCGCTCACTAAAAGAAAAGACAGCCTTCTTGGTTCAGAGGTGTGCTCGTGCAAATAGGAGGACAACAGAGAATTGCAAGTGCATATTTAGGGGGTTGCTCAAGCATTGAATATAGTGACGGCATTTTTAGGGCACTACTGACGTACGCCGACCGACAAAAATGACGTAGAAATGCCGGTCTAATGTCACATTACATGACGTCATAGTATGGCGTATAAAAGACCAAATACAAAGTCGATATGTCGTCCTTATGACGTCTAAGTGACGTACAGTCACTCGCAAAACTTATCGCGCGGTGTATACAAATGCTCCTGAAAAATTAGGGATGTAACAACGACGCCCCGCAAGCAGTGAAAGACGCCGAAACTCGTATTCTACTTACGAACTCTTCAACCATCTTAGTCCAAGGCGTCGCTATTACCTCCGCAATTTTTCAGGAGTATTTGTAACAAAGTGCATCGAAGTGGTTAATAAAGAACTAATAAACACCGTTCGATCTCAATCACATTCCAGTCCAGAATTTGTTTATAGCAATATGTATATCAAAATTGCTTTGCTTTTTCACAGGAGAAAAAACGCTTCTTGTTTCGTGGATGTCACCCAAACCTTACTGACTATGTGGCAATCCACTACGAAATTGTACCACAATCTACGTTAAAGACGACAAAGCCATCTTGATGTCGGTCAAACCCACAGACTACTAAAGAGTAGTCTGCGGTCAACCCCATAGATATGTAAAATAAAATGGGCGAACCATTGCCAAGTAGCTTGAGCATCGTTCGAGCTCACCGCCAAGCACAATCGTGCTTCTTCGTTGATGATTTATGATACCCTACGAAAATATGAATTTTTACTGTGTATTGTATGCATTATACGCATAGTTTTTCCTCACTAGAATAGCGGAATTGACCAAGGAAGGCTTATTCGAAGAGGTAAGATTCCCAAAGATGACAGAGGAACTTACTACCATTGGAAAGATCTAGATGTTGGAAAGGACTTGGCGTTCTATGGAAAAGTATTCCATACTGTTGACTGTGATGTTTTCACTAAAGTAAGTATGAGATTTCATAAGCTACACACCGAAGGAACTCCTTTATTTTTTTGATTCATTGACAAAGGCTGATTCCACATTCCTTTACAGTACTTTTTTAATTTTGTAGCAGGATTTTACGTAATTTTTGAACACGCCTTTTCTACAGTGATTTTTTCAAGACCGAGCATGCAAGGTTTGATCTTATTTTTTGACTAAACCTCAAATAAAGTAAAGAAGCACTATAATGTAATATTTTGCCAATTGATAACCAGGAATACATGGCCAGCCAAGGTTTGATAATGGGTGATCCAGAAGAAATGCCTGTGGATCCCTACACATTTAATAGACAACTAGTTGAAAAGAGCACCATCATGCCAGTTTCTAACAAAACATCAGGCACTGAGGACAAATTACGCAGGTAAAGATTATTTTTGTCGGATCCTGAAATGAATAAATTTTTTTCATATACAGGATGCGCCAATGGTACATGGGTAGAGTATATAGGACAGTTTTTGCCTTCTTCGGAGCACGCTCCACTGTTTTGATTGTCCCTCGATCTCTGATGTGTACCAGTGGATACATGTTTCATCGACGGTAACGAAACGACGCAAAAACTTCGTCGGAACGCACTTAAACAGCGTCAAAACTGCTCTGAAGTGGCCTCAGGTTGCGCACGCATCGCGCAGACAGTTTTCTCATGTCCAATATTTCATGCTAGATATGATCCACGCGGTATTTTGAAATGTCTAGCTATCTCGCGCACTTTCAATCGGCGGTCTGCCAATACGAGATCTCGGATTTTTGTCACGTTATCCGTGGTAACAGTTAGGGGACCTGGGTTCATGTCATCAAAAACCGACGTGCGGCCACTTTGGAACTCGTTAAACCAATTTTTGAGGGTTGCTTTTGAAGGAGAAGAGTCACCTTACACAGCAAATCACCGACCGATATTGCTCTTTTTCCATTTTTATAAAATCCGCGGACACGCCCGCTTCCACACGCGGTTAAAACAAAACTGCGAGTCCGATTCGACTGGAATTGTGATAGAAGCCATCTACGATAACGTACTAAACGATAGTAAATTTCTCTTGCGACAGAGGCGTCATCGGGCGCTGCAGCTAAGTACTTATAGGACCGGCCTCGTAGTAGATGGCTCTTTATCCATTTCTAACCGAGATATAGGTTTTATCAATTGAAGCAATTTTTCTATTACTTTACAACTTTTCACCCCCCGTCATATTTTTCTGAAACTCCGTATGAGTACTCTGCTAACGCTATCGAATCGACTATTATACGAACAGGAGAAGCAATATAGGTCCGGAGAATATATAGGAGTTTTTGACTTTCATTCATGTGTTAGAAAAAAGCACAGAAACTTCAGTCTGATGATCCACTTTTATTTGTGCAGACTTTATGGTCTATTAATCTTATAACATTATTTAAGACTATATGCATCCTATTAGTGTTAGGTTCAGAAGGTCATCGTATCCATCAGTTATTTCATCTAGACCAATAAAAACATACTTCCAAGTTCCTATTAAGAAATAAGGTTGCTGGTTGCATATTTACATAATATTGGAGGAAATTTTCAATGATGAAGTATCTCAAATTCACATATACACAGCTGGAATATCACAAGCAGTGTAAATGGCAACACTGGTTCAGTGGTAGCCATCCAAATGGTGTGATGTAATGGAACAAAAGTCTTTGAGATATTTTTTCCTGTCAGTATGACAATTGAGGCGGGGCACATATACCAAATTAAAAAATAATATAAGATGTTTTATTGATTTTGGCCATTTCCTTATGGCCACACAAACTTTGCAATCAGCTTGTATAGTGCTTTATACCTTTTCCAAACTGTATATGCATACCCAGCTTATCCTACTATTGAATCGGTTGTGATACTAATTCAAAAAGAAATTCATGTCTGAACTTACTCGCCCATCAACCATAGGTTATTTATAATCACCTCAGTTGTTTCTATCCATAGTTAATATATCTCCTTCTCCAAATGAAGCACCCTTATATATAATATTTTTGTTCGTTTTTGGTTGAGTATATTTTAAGACAAAGGTAAATGCAGTAGTGGTCAACTATAAAATTTACTATGAGATTATTCGAAGACAATGCTAATTAATTGCTAAAATGCACAAAATAAAATGAGCAACAGTAAATCAATAATTAAAAAAACATCATACATTGTAAATTATTAACAGCACAATCAAGAAACCTTCTTCACTTTTCTTTTCCTTTTCCCAGTCTCTTCTCCTTGTCATCCATTGAACTCCAGCTTTCCAATAATATCACGCACAGTTTGTATCAAATTAGCATCATGACTACTATTTTCCAATAAAATGGAATGCAGATTCGTCATGTAGTTATCAATGTTCTCTAATGTAGCTACATCATTCATTCCAGGTAACTTCACGTTGCTAAATCCTGCAGTCAAAGTATTTCTCAAGTGATCCAGGAGATTTTGCAGTGATGCATTATTTTTCTCTTGTTGCATTATTTCAGATTCTAGTCTGGTGATGGCATTTTTCATGTTTTCTATGTGTTTGCTCAAGATAGCATTTTGCTGTTCATGATCACTGTTAAATCTTTTCAGTTGTTTGAGTTCTGCTTCTCTGCTTTTATTGTGTTCTAAGAATTCTTCAGTAAATATTGGAATTTTCAAGTCACCTAACTGCATGTCATGAGGCTCTTTAGATAATACTGGTTGCTGTACTTTAGGTGTTGGTATTTTAACGCTCTTACCTTTGTCTTCTTTCTTCTCTTTCGTTTCTTTAGACTTCTTTTCATTTCCTTGTTGTTGTGTAAACAACTTGTAAGCATCCGTTTGCTTGTAGGCGTCATATTCCTTTCTATACCTTTCTCTATCTTGTTCAGCAGCATCCAAATACTGTTGTTTTCGATCGGCGGGCAAATGGCCCCACTCACTAGCTAACAACTTGGTAATTTCAGCAAAGGATATATTGGGGTTTTCAGCTCGTACCGATTCCCTTCTGTCGCTCAGGTATCTGGCATAACCTGTTAGGGGCACTCTGGGGGCTGTACTGTCCTTGGGCTTTTTCCTTTTCTTGGTTTTTACCGGTTTAGGCTTCTGATTTGACTCGGATGGGGGTTTTTTCTCTTTTGAATCACTCGTGTTCGCTGTTTGATCATCGATCTCTTCCACTTGCATTGGTTCAGCTGTCTCTGGGGCTACTTCGGTTACATTCTCACCTTTTTCATTTTGCTCCATTCTAGGTTTTGAATGGAAAATGTATAATCACAAACTTATATCACAAAAAAGATATTTTGTTGAAGTGGCAGAGGCTAGCGCAGCCACCGTCCAGCGTCCACCGTTGCGTCAACAAAGCGGTTGTCAAATGTCAATGTCACAATGAGACATGTGGGAGATCCGAAGGGGAGATCGATAACATCGCGATAGACCAGTGCATTTAGATAAAAATACTGACCGAATTCCAGGGAGGGATTTTCAAACTCTACGGTTCGGACTAGAATTATTTTTATTTTATTTTTGTAAGCAAATAAGTAAGTGGATTTTGGGGTGAGAAACCGTCGAATGATCTAATAATGGGTCTCGCCGTACTCAAAGGTTCATAACTAGAATATTTCCCAATTACTGATATCAGTGTTTATTATATTTAATGTAGATTTTTGGAGTATGATGGAAAAGTGCTGAAATTCCAAGCCGTTTGGGATGATAGAGAAAATGAATATGGCGAACTGATGAAGTTTGAAATCATGTATTTTCTATCAGATGATACGGTGATGGTTAAGGTAGTTCATGGAAAGAACAGTGGCAGAGATCCGTATCCTGTTCTGTTGAGAAAAACCAAACTGCCAAAGGTATAGGTAATTTGCTATTTCAAAGCAGCTCAAAATATAGAGCGCTAGAATTATCCCCTTGCTGAAAACGTTGGTTGAACTGCTGAACTACAATGCATATGTCATCGGCAGTGGATGTACTTGTAAATTACCTACTACAATAGTGGATATGCACGTAATTCAAGTACCGGTTAATTATTTTTATTTACAGTCTTACATTGCTACAAATTGACACTTTCAACCATATTTTATACTTAAACGCTTTCAAATTACGAGTAATAATTAATAAAATATCGAAACGCAACGATATTGGCGTGACCTGTGCGATCTGTGACAAGGAAATCCTTCGTTGATTGGACAGTTTGATTTAAAATCGTAGACCTTTGTTCTCATTGTGATTAATTGTCAACCTGCCGTTTTAATCAGTTCAAAAGAATACATTTATTCATCGGGTTGTTTTGTAACCTTCTCGTGCACTTTATATCAAAGTTCTTGAGATATAACCTTCCTGAGTGCAATCAACAATAACCGAAAGTGGTTTATAGTAGAATTATCTTATTTAAATGGCTAAAAGATACGTAATGTTTGTAATCTAAGGTAAATAAAAACTAATCATATTTGGACAAAAAGGTGGTTCGGTGTTCTGCACTTACGTTAAAATGATCTTCACAACGATATGAATTACTTTTTGGAGATATACTGTCCCCTTTCATAATTTCACTTCACTTTTCTCCTATCTTAGCATCTCGCCAGGTAATATGAAAAAATACGCTCTCCGTATTGTATTTTTCCATTTAGTTACAAAATGTTACTTATAAAAACGTTTCAGTTCTCCATTTACACTCGTGTTTTTTTAACTATAGAGGATATAAAATTCGACACCATGTTAACGAAACAGACAATCAAATGACATGTCGAGGGTTATGACGTCACTGAAAAGAGCGCAAGGAATGCTGCATTGGCATTACAGTTTTAAATATTTAATCAAAAATTTCCATAGGTGAAATATGCGTTACGGCTTTATATTAACGCAAAAAAACCGAGAGAGAATACAAAAACGCGTGCATATTCCCTGTACAGTGTAAATAACTGAAATACATATACGTTTTTCGTATATGGGCACTTAAGGTTTTTTTGTAAATTCAACTCCCTAGAATTCGAGAGACAATTACAAGATAATATCCACATGTTGAACTGATTTTTTTCATTCCCCACAGAGATATACTGACACACCTGCGGCGTTTCCATCAATATACTTGGAGACGACCGATGCAGAAGTAACAGAATATTACCAACCAAAAGATTTCGTAATTGGTGATACGGTATTCGTGTTTGGTAGAGATTTGCTAATATACGATTGTGACAAATTCACAAGGTGAGACCCCCGAACTATTTGGGATTCTGTAACTACCGCTACATCGCTGTTTTACACTGAAAACCAAATTTGTCTGACGGTTTGAGTTCAATGTGTACGAGAGAGAAGTGTGTATAGACACATATGTTAGGAAGAGATGGAAGCTGGCTGGATAACGAAGCTGATCACGCGTTGCCTAGCAACACTGACGCGGAAATATGCCGTGTTGTCAATATGTTACACCAGTTCATTGAATTAAGATGCATGTTAAAAATGTGCGTTAGTTTACTCTCTACACTCAAATAAAGGTTTTATTTTGAGCGTACACATTTTTTAATTGTGAATTATGTCGAATCTGTTTGGAATCGATTGTGAATATTTGTTGATTTTCTCACCATCGCTGGACATCAAAGATAATACATACTAAAATAAATTAAAACACTATACTTTGAAGTTGAGTCATTAATTTTCAGATAATGATTGTAGAAGGAAGATAAACCAAAATATGTGTGTAAAAATAAAAAAAAAATGTTTACCTTGTTTTATAAAGTATCCTCCCGACAAGTATTTCAGTGCGAACCTGTATTTGATCGTGAGGTCTTGGAGCACCGGCATGCCGTCCATATGTGAGGTCTTAAGTCAAATGATTCACGAACCCGTTGTACTACATTAACAAAGGCACGAGGGGTTGGTTGCACTCGATTGGGAAACCGATCCGCATAAACATGTGCCATTTTTTATTTCGTTTGAGCCACGCAACAGACACCACTATCCACTACCGACTGACACTGACTGTATACAACTGAATGAAATAATTGTAAAAACATCGTTCCAAATTCTTTCGCTATAACTTTGTTACTTTAATTTTACCAGAAAAATGGTAAAGGAAAAAAACATTTCTTTTGATCAGATCTACTCACTGTTAAAATAAATGACTCAACTTCGAAGTCACCCTGTATAAGTCACATTAAAATTGGAATAAATAATTCTAATCAAAATCAAAAAAAAAATATTCAATTAAATGTTCGAACAGACCTCGTACTTGGGTGGGAGAGTAACCTAACCTATTGTAGAACATTGGGCTGACATTTTCTAGTGTTAGGCGTGGCTAGGCGATGTGGTGACGACCTTAGCTCTTCAGCTAGCTTCTATCTCTTTCTAACATTTGTTAATACACACTTGCCGCGCTTCTCACTCCAAGCTGTAAAATTTAAACAAGTGCTGAACTTCCATGGTCTATGGCAAAGGTTTTACATACTCCAAAAATAAGCGACCATTCGTGGATATGTTTAGAGGTGGAAAATATGTTTAATGAGAGAGAATGAAGAGAAATCACAATTATTGACTTTGAAACGTTACGAGAGTCACTCTTACAAGCCAATATAACTGAAATTTTTAATGATGCTGACACTTCTCAAAAATTATGAATTGTATGGAGAACTGCATGAGAGACGCACAAATTAGGACGCTTATTTTATAGAAAGTATAAATGAGATAGTGGAATCAATCGAAGATGGGGATCCAAATCTATGTCACATGTAAGTTACTTATAATTCTTCTATGAGACAATTCCAAACAACATATATCAGCCATCTTTCAAAAGCTATTACATGATTGAAATTGAATAGAAATCCTAGTGAACATCTTTCAAAAATGGGAATGTTTCAACATTATTGGAGAGAAGTTATTATTGTTAGTGAATCACTGTTTAGTGTATGGCGAATTTCCTTCAAAATTAAAATGTTCTACAATTACTCCTGTTCCAAAAGTGCAAAATTCTGAGTTATACAAACATGCGGCCAATTAATGTACTGCCAGATGACGAGAAGCTCTTAGAAGGAATCATATATGAACAAGTTATTGAATATATTGAAGAAAATAAGATATTGACAAAATTTCAAGCAGGATTCAGAAAAAAGTATTCTACTGAAACAGCAATTCAAATGGCAGTAGAAGAATGGAGGCGAAATATGGACGAAAAAAAGTTTACAGTAACATTGTTCTTAGATTTCAAGAGAGCATTTGAGACTACTGACAAGGAGAAATTGTTAACGAAATTGCATTGCTATGGATTTCAAGGTCCAGTATTCAACTTTAAAAATTATTTAATCAATAGAGGTCAAAGAACTAAAATTGGCAATACATTATCAAACATTAAAAACATTTCGGTAGGTTGTGCCACAGGGTAGCAAATTAGGTCCATTACTATTTATTTTCTATATTAATGATATTCCTGATATTTTACAACACTGCGAAATTCAACTATTTGCTGATGATACATTAATATATATATATATACAGGGTGACTTCGAAGTTGAGTCATTTATTTTAACAGTGAGTAAATCTGATCAAAAGAAATGTTTTTTCCTTTAACATTTTTCTGGTAAAATTAAAGTAAAGTTATAGCCCTTTAGAAGTTTGAGTACCGCCCTGTTTCAATAATAATATTATGTATTTGGCAACAACGGATATCGGTTCATCGCATCGGAAACAAAAAAGCGAAAGAATTTGAAACGTTTATCACGTTGTTTTTCGTCAGTCGGTAACGCGTGGGTGAATAGTGATGTTTGTTGCGTGACTCAAACGAAATGAAAAATGGCACATGTTTACGAAAATGCTGAACTTGTGGACATGATTCTTATTTACGGGGGGCAGTCTTTACAAAATGCTGCCGGATGCATCACGGATTTATGCGAATCGGTTTCCCAATCGGGTGAAACCAACCCCTCGTGCCTTTGTTAATGTAGTACAAAGGGCTCGTGAATCAGGTGACTTAAGACCTCACAGGTGAGAGCGTGCCGGTGGTCCAAGACCGCACGATCAAATACAGGTCCGCACTGAAATACTTGTCGGGATGATACTTTATTGAACAAGGTAACATTTTTTTTTATATGTATATACAGGGTGACTTTGAAGTTGAGTCATTAATTTTCAGATAATGATTGTAGAAGGAAGATAAACCAAAATATGTGTGTAAAAATAAAAAAAAAATGTTTACCTTGTTTTATAAAGTATCCTCCCGACAAGTATTTCAGTGCGGACCTGTATTTGATCGTGAGGTCCCCTGTGAGGTCTTAAGTCACCTGATGCACGAGCCCGTTGTACTACATTAACAAAGGCACGAGGGGTTGGTTGCACTCGATTGGGAAACCGATCCGCATAAACATGTGCCATTTGTTATTTCGTTTGAGCCACGCAACAGACACTATTCACACGCGTTACCGACTGACACTGACTGTATGAATAACTGAACTGAATAAAATAATTGTAGAAACATCGTTCCAAATTCTTTCGTTTTGTTTCCCATGCGATGAACCGATAAGGCGGATTATATCCGTTGTTGCCAAACACGAGCACATGATATTATTATTGAGACAGGACGGTACTCAAACTTCCAAAGGGCTATAACTTTGTTACTTTAATTTTACCAGAAAAATGGTAAAGGAAAAAAACATTTCTTTTGATCAGATCTACTCACTGTTAAAATAAATGACTCAACTTCGAAGTCACCCTGTATATGTCAAATAAAGACATTGAAACTGCAATAAGCTGTTAAATAATGATATGAAAAACGTAATAAATTGGTTAAATGTAAATAAACTTAAACTAAACACAAACAAAACAAAATATATGCTAATAGGAAAATCTTCTGATCAAAATACGATAAATCCTACAATTAATCATGAAAAAATTGTGTCAATCGAATCATTTAAATATTTGGGCATATATGTAGATGGTAAATTAAAATTTGAAGGGCACTATGAATATATTATTTCAAAAATATCCAAGAAAATAAATTATTTTTATAGAATTTCGCATAGCCTAAGCGTTTATTCTAAAAAAATGTATACAACACTATCATTCTCCCTCATTTGTTATATTGTTCGACTATTTTGTTCACTGCAAATGAAACTATATTCAAAATTACAAATATTACCAAATAAAGCTATGATAATCATCTTAAATAAAAATAAATATACTAGAATAAATTGTATGCTGAAGGAACTACAATGGTTAAATATCAAAAATTTCATAGCCTACTTGGTTTTAATTTTCATATGTAAGTTAAAAAATCATCTTCAACCAAATCACTTAGAAAATTTTATTGTATTGAACAATTAGTGCCACAATTATTCTACTAGGGGAAGTATAGACTTTCATTTATAAAACTGCACTAGCAATATAACGAGCAAGTCAGTATTTCAAAAGGGATTGTACGAATTTAATAAATTAAGTATTGATATCAAGATGAGTGTCAGTTTAAAAATGTTCAAAGGGAAATTGAAAAAATATCTCATGGGAAACCAGAATTCATAGTAGGGAAATTTTGTATAAAAATATGTAGTCCTGAAGACATAATATATTTTATGATATAATGTGTAATATGGATATTGTAGCATTAATGCTAAGTAAATCTGAAACAAACAAACAAACATTGAACTCAAACCGTCAGATAAATTTGGTTTTCTCTTGACGTAACAGTGTAAGGTGAAACGATGCAGCATTTCGATACTACAGGCGTGCAGCCGGGAAAACGTAGAGATATGTCTTGCATTTACCCTAATTCTTTTCGTCAATTTGTGGAATCACTAGAAATGGGTAACTTAATATTACAGAAGTTTAAAAGAACATTTTTTTATTGATATAACATGTAGAATACTAAATAGAGAATTAAATTCCCTACAAAATTGTATTCATTTGCTTTTTTATATAGGATCGATAATTGACGAGATGTTAAACGCGTTTGTGAAAATCGTGGTTAATGTCTCAGACATACCATTATTATGTTTATTGATTATACTGAACTATATAATATAATACCAAAATCAGTTTCTGTTGCACATGTAGAATTTTCTTATTAAAAACATCACTGGCCTAATAATAAAACATCGTAGCGAACCCATTGTGCAAGTACAATATAGAAAATGTATCTTTTGCGCCATCTTAGAGAAGATGATAGTTATCTCGAAAGTTTTACAAATACTGTAACAATTTTACTATTGTCAATTTTCTCTAGAGAATATTTCCGAAAGGCTTTGCGTATCGAACAAGGAGAAGCATTGGATATCAGCGAAGAAGTTGAAGAGGAACCTCCGAAACAAGTGCCACCTCACGATGGACTTGGCAGCCTGGAAGATTCTCTGCAGAATACTATCACTTTCCTGCCCAAACCTCCAAAGAAGGACGTCATGAGGCAGATACTCAATGCCAACAAATATCTCAGGTACGAGAGCGCAGGGCAGAATCAGAAGATTTCTAGAATAGTTCTCTTTAGGAATGTTAACAAATTTTTGTTAGAACAAGAATATTTTGGCGTATTGTTGTAGTCTATTCATTATTCGTCGTTTCCAGATACGAGATGGTGATGGACGCAGTTCATCCAGAAGACGAAATTCGCCGTTTCATCATGTTGCACTCTTTGGCAGACGGTACTTGCAAAGTTACAGAACCGCCTATAAAGAACTCCGGGATATTAGGCGGCACCTACTTAAGGAGCAGCTTATTGGTCAAACCTGGATCCGATCCGCTCAATCCCAGCTACTATACGCCAGCAGATTTCTATATCGGTGCTGTAATCACCATTTTTTCTCAGAGGTTCATAATCGTTGGAGCCGATTTGTATGTCTACAGGTACTGTTTACCAGCATGCCAAAAAACGCCAAAACTCAAGACCAATTACCTTAGACAGTGGAGTACCTTCCACCATTTTCATTGCTGTGAAATATCAATATTTCGTTTCCAAAAAGTATATTCTAAGTCTTTTTACTTACCACGCCACTGACGAGAAAGTATTGTAATCGCTAAAAATCCAGAAGATTGGTTGTTTTAAATGTCATTTACATCACCAAAAACCATTGCCACTATTCTCCGACCTTGATCCGTCTATAACTTGGAAAGCACCGATCGGAAATCTATTTCAGCAGTTAAATTCAATTTTTTCTTGGTAGAGATTTCACAAAGAAAATAGATTTCTTTATCATTTCTTTATATTACGATATCCTGATATTAGGCTCTGCCTTCGCGACAGCTCCAAGTGAAAAAAGTAACTTTTCTTGCTAACAGGTATATGGAAGCAAATGAGAGCAAATTCCCATGCGAGGTAATTGAAAACCTGAGGAATTACATGTACACCAAGGGTTATTTGAAAGATGACGAGAAAGATGCCGTCAAAACAGTTTTGGAGAAAGAAAGGAAATGGGACTTGGATCCAAAGGTACGTCAAGATCTAAAATATGCAGTGTCTGTCACAATATTGACAAAAACATTTCTAGAATCGTTCAAAAGAGTATGCCCCGTTAGCATTAAATATTTATTAAATAAAAATGTTCGATAAATATTTGTAGCGACAAATTTTTTAACATTCAATACATATATTTCTTATATATTCATGAAATATTCATTATAGATATTTGTATTCATATATTTTTTCCAAATATTTAGAAAATGTATGAGGAAAGATTTTTAAATATCAATTTTATATTTTAATAATTTTTAATATTTTGATGTATGGATTTTCAAGCATTAATCTGATACATAATTTTTAATTATTTTCAGATATCTCCACCAATCCCAAATAGCAAATAACTGTTACACTTCAAGGCTAGTTATTTACGGTCTTGTTTTCGTAAATACCTTCATATTCAACTGGCACAATAATGTTTACTAGTCAGATAAATTAAACCATATACTTATCAAAAAACTTACCATTTTCTCTTTTCCACAAAAAACACACGAATAATGTACTAGTCGAAGATACACAGGAAGCACGCACGCTTTCATGAAACTCACAGGCAAAATGGATGCCGACAAACAGATCGGCTCAGGTCGGCTTGCCATTATGCCAGTGGTTCATATTTAATGAATATTTTCTAAATAAAGGAGATTTAATGTTTTCCATTGATTTAAAACTAAATATTTAATGAATATTATAGAAGAAATATATTTAAACGATATTGAATAAATATTTAATAAAAATATTTATTCAATATTTATTAAATATTTGTTTAAGATAACAAATATTCAAGTAAGATAAAAATATTAGTAAGTATTGAATAGATATTTAATGAATATTTCGTGATATCGGTGTGGTTGATTTGTATTGTTTGTAGTCGGGCACGCAAAATGGACGTTTTTCGATGACAGGCTCAAATCGACGACTTTGCCGCTCCAGAGCGCCAAAGTACCATTTTACGCTCTTACTGCAGAAACACATATTGCTAAATGATTCATAACTATTCCTATAGTAATTAACTTAAATCGAAATTGCCATACATACCTGGGCTGTTTACCTCTGTTCTCAGAATGTTTTATTGATGTAAATTACTTCATATTAAGTCGACGGGTCTGATTTTTTTGGTTGCACCATAAACCATAAATTATTTCTTAGTACGGCCCTGTCACATGCTCGCCTTTCTGGAGTCCGATCACGTGAGCAGTGCGTGAATCGTGAATATGCTTAGGTTTAGATTCTTTCTTCGATACACGGAGTAAATGCAATAAATTCCAGTGTGAGTAAATCAGCTGATATTTATTAAAGCTTGCCTAATCTTCCTGAGCTGTAAGTAATGTTCGTTACTATAGGCAACCTAATATACTCATGCTTGGTAAAATTATTAGTTGCTATCGAAAACTTTGTCGGTTTGCGTATATATACGATAGCAAAGATATAGTATTTTGGAGGTGTGTGTCAGTGATGGCACGCTGAACATTGATCGCTCGGTAAATGGTAGCAGATCTGCTCAGTAAGTGCAGTCACGGCTTAGGTCGATCCAGCAACCAATTAGATGCCGCCGACGCCTCGCCGCTCGGCCGGTATCCGTGGTTTCTTGAACGTCCGCCATTTCCAAATTTTGGGGGGTTACGGATGTGGGTTTATTTCATTTAAGACACCTCCAGATATCGGCACTGCAAGCCTTTACTGCAGTATGCCATTTTTTGTATAATTTTCAATTAGCTGTTTTATTTCATGGAATTTAATACAAAACTCATGCTAAATGAGACACATTTTTTATTAAAAAATCAGTTCATTTTACTTCCCAGGCCGCCGGCGAGGACGTATGTAATCGTAAAGAAATTAGAAAAACTTTTATACTGCTCATCGGATTTTGGTGGAATCTCCACGCAAGATTATTACTATGCCAAGGACGAAAAAGCTTTGTACTCGTATTTAGTTTTTCAAAATCGGTGGCGGTGCACAAAAAACCAAAGAAAAAATAAAAATCGCTCAAGCATTGTTTTTTAGGTTTCAGAGGTTCCCCATCCCTTCCAGATACATTTTTGTAGGGGTTAAAAATTATCGCTGTAGTATCGCTAGTATATTTATACGCGCTTTCAAACCCTGTAATTCTATACACCTATTACGAAATATTTTCCGGTACATTTGCCTCAAAACATAGAAAGATAGAGAAATATTTTCAACGCACATGACTTTGGATTTGCGGCCAACTGAGTTCTCGGTCCGACCGATGTTTTGTAATCGGTGGTGGCTGCCGTGGTTGACGAGCGGCAAGGTTAGTCATAGCATGGACGCTCGCAGAAATATTTCTCAGGGTAGGGGCGTTCATTGGCAAGATAACTTGAGTGGGAAGCATTTTGAGATTCAACTTTTCGGATATTATAGGGTCGCAGGAGGAAGACGAAATACGAAGAATGCCTGGAAGACCTGCGTGTAGGTGTCGGTCGCGAACCGGAGTACGTGGAGACTAAAATGGCAGAGCTGCGCCAGGAATACGAGGACTCGATCAAGTACAAGGCTTCACCTCATCAATACGGAATCAAGGAAGTCAACACCACATGCCCATATCCGGTTGCAATTGGAAATATCAAAGATGCGGAGTGCACCGATGATATTATCGGTAATACACCTTATCAGATCAAATATATCTATAGCAAAACTACTTTTTGCCTATCGATTTAATAAGTATAAATTCTTGTACTCATCATAACTAAAAACGATCTATCATTCAGACAAAAGAAATCCAAATCGGTTCTACTGTTTGGGAGCTATGATGCAACAGAATGTTACCATGTTGGTTAATACACACACACGTTAAACTTACGTTCCTCTATCTTATGAGCCAGTGAGTTAAAAAGGTTTGACTGGAGTTTAATACACTGTCTGCAATAGATGCAGCTCAAATTTCGGTGGAATTTCTTCAGCCTCAGTGGGCCTTGTCCAACGAAGGGCAGTTGAGGAACCTGAAATTCTACAAACATAATTTTGTTCCTCTGCTAAATTGACTTGTTCGGCTTTCACGCTTCACATTTGAACTCAATCGTATTCTACAGGGTGTTCCATAAGTCCACGTCAAGCCAGAATAGGGGATAGGATTAGTCATAATAGTTATCAGAAAAATATAAAAAGATTCTAGTCGTGTAGGTACTTTTCAAATTTTGGCTTTAAAATAAAATCGGAAAAATCTCCACCCCATTACTACAAATTTCAATTTTTTCTTAGACGGATGAGTGCCGAACAGCGGCATTCTATATAGTGACAGCAAGACAGATAGTAAAGCCATTTTTATTAATTGATGATTTTGTAGTGCCACCATGTCTGGGAATACAGTAGTGCCCAAAAGTACAGCGTACCGAATCTTACGAAAGTTGGAGCACCACCCGTACCACGTACAACGAGTACAATCTCTACAACCCCGAGATTATTTTCTAAGAGTTGATGTTACTGAGATACCGGGAAGATTTTTAGAGATGATAAGTCATCATTTAAAAAAGATAGTTACATGAATTTACACAACCACGAGTGGCATGTAGAAAATCCAGATTTGAATCGCCAAGATAGATCACAGTATAGTTTTAAAATAAACATAGGGACGGATTATAAATGGGAGAATCATTGTTCCCTTTTGAGTTGTCAGAGTTCTTGAATAGCGAAATTTATTTAGACTTTTTACCAAATTTATTGGAACACGTGCCACTAAGCATTTACAGAGACATGTTCAATTAGAGAATATCTTGATGCGGGATACCCGATCAGATGGATAGGAAGGTTCACCTGACTTAAATCCACTCGATTGTTTTACTTTTATTCGCGAAATCTACTATAAATTTAGTAGTAATAAGAAACAAAATGATTGACTTTAGGCCAATACACATCGTACACCCCCCAACATATTGACACAGAAGAAGAGAAGGTTGCGAAGCATTACACGAAGGTGTTGAAGAAACAAAAAGAGATTTGCGATGGATCTCATCCAATTGAATGCGTTGATCTTCCGTCAACCGACACAGCAGGCACTTGTCAGGTATAATATTGTATTCCTAATTAACACTGATGAGAAACCCAAAATCAGTTTAATATGTATTCTTATCAATTGTCAAAAGATGATACCAGACGACCACCAGCTACCACTGACTCAAATGGTCTCAATGTTTTTGCGCGGTTTTTGATAACAGTAGGCCTTGCGCCAAAATTTGCAATACGCTACGGATGTACATCTCTTACATCCTACTTCCAGGATCAATCATGATTTTTAAACCATCTTCCGCGCTAATGCAACGTTGCAATTCGGTATTTTTGGAGGCCAGAAAATGTAAGAAGTATGTGCAACTAGGATCGCTCATTTTTGTACACCACTGACGTCACGTCAAGCGCCAAAAAGGAAATCAACACAACATTATTTTTCATTGTTTCACGCTATAACTACTCTTTTCTTTCACATGATTACTGCAGTCACAATCACGAGACTCTGAAGATTTTATGCAAAACCTACGGAGCGAGATAAAGCGGTCTTTCTTTTATATATCCTATGTACCTTTGTACAGGGTGTTTTCAAAGTTGAGTCACTTATTTTAACTGCTTGTAGGACTCGTCAAAAGGAGTTGATATACCAAAAATCACCTATATAAAAGTTGCATAATAACAGAAATAGTAACAGACTAAATATTTTAAAAAATACGAATGTTGCTACACAGATTTTTTGATATTCTCGACCACTGTCGTGTAAAATCTTAGCGTTTTTTGTTTACTACTCTTATCGTTTATCTAAGTTTGGTAAACTTTTTGTGTTATTGTATGGTTTTCAGTTCGATTCTTTGGTTCAATCAGTTGTATTAGCCTTTTAATAGTGCGTATATTTTCATTTCTGATTATTTTGTGCAAAAAAATGGCCCATGTTTACGAAAACAATGAACTAGTGGACATAATACTAACATACAGAGAGTGCCAACAAAATGCAACCGCAGCATGCAGGTTATATGGGGAAAGGTTTCCTTCAAGAAATCATCTGGTCCCACGGATGTTTGTAAATTTAGTTATTAGACTTCGTGACACAGGATATTTGGAAGAACAACGAGGAGGTAACGCTGGAAATCTGAAATGTTACAAATTGAGGAAGACATTTTAGGAATGGTCGAAGACGACCTAACAATGAGTCCTAGAGCCTTAGCACATCAAGTTGAAGTGTCTCATAGTAAAGTGTGGAAGACAACAGTATTATCCTTACTATGTTGCATACACTTTCAAAATTTCACAGCGTATCATTGAATTATCTAAAAAAAAAGTAAACAGTTTAAAAACAAATAACAACTGTGCCGAAATGACTACTAAAAACGTGCTGAAAAACTGTTTCGAAATTTTGGGATATCCTGTATTAAATTGGATCAATTGTTCACTGAGAAGCAGTTCTTTCCCTGAAAATTTGAAATGCTCTACAATAACACCAGTTCCCAAAATAAAAAATTATAAAAGATGCAGCGATATGAGACCAGTAAATGTGTTACCAGACATTGAAAAATTATTAGAGTCCATAGTGCATGACCAATTAATGCAGTTTATAGAAGAAAACAAAATTTTAGTGGAGGCGCAAGCAGGCTTACGAAAAAAATATTCCACAGAAACAGCTTTCCAGTTGGTAACTGAGAATTGGAGAAGAGCCATAGACTCAGAAGAAGTTGTCATAGCAGTATTTTTGGATTTGAAGAGGGCATTTGAAACGATTGATAGAGATATTTTGTTAGGTAAATTGAAGGCATATGGTATAACAGGAAGTGTTTTAGATTGGTTTAGAAATTATTTGTCTAAAAGGATGCAAGTTACAAAAGTTAATGACACTATTTCATCAAAAATTGAAAATACGTTGGGTGTTCCACAGGGCAGTATCCTGGGACCACTTCTTTTTATTTTATACATAAATGATTTACCTGCCATAGTCAAAAAATGCAAAATTCAAATTTTCGCCGATGACACTATGATTTATTTAAGTACTAAAAATATTCAGTCTGGTATCTCTTATATAAATGAAGACTTGAAGCTTGTCTCAAAATGGTTAGCATCTAACAGACTAAAATTAAATGCAAGTAAAACGAAAGCCTTGATAATCGGAAAAAAACAATGTACAAATGTTCAACTGAATATTGATGGTGAATATATTGAATTCGTAGAAAATTTTAAATACCTGGGTGTTTTTGTTGACTCTCGATTAATTTTTGATATTCATTATGAAAAAGTTATAAATAAGATTAGTAGTAAAGTGGGATATTTATCGAGAGTTTCTGGATGTCTGAGTTCATATAGCAGAAAAATTATCTATAATACCATCATTCTTCCAAATTTCTTGTACTGTTCGACTATTCTATATTTAGCAAATAATTCCATTTTTGAAAGACTGCAAATTTTACAAAATAAGTGCATGAGAATAATACTAAATAAAGATAAATATACTCCAATTAGGCAAATGCTTAGCAAATTAAAATGGCTCAATGTAAAAAATTTTATGAAATATCTTGTAATGATATTCATTTATAAAGTAAAAAATAATATATTTCCATCAAGTCTAACTAATTTAACATCATCAAATGTCGACCATCATTTACATAATACCAGAAATAAAGATGACTTCCATTTAATGACCAAAAAGTATAACATATGCTACAAATCTGTATTCCATCAAGGGTTGATTGAATATAATAAATTATACTCGGAGATAAAAGACCAGAAAACTTTGACAAAATTTAAAGTAAAATTGAGAAATCACTTGTTAAATCTACAATTATAGGTTGCCCAGCATATACATCATACACCATATGGCGTGAATTTACTAGTTCTAAGTTGTTTACAATTGTTCTGTTTATGTAGCCAAATGTGCTAAATAAATCTTTCTACTACTACTACTACTACTACTACTATTATCAACGGGTACAAGCGTTACAACCTGCAGATCATTCGAAAAGAGTTGCATTTTGCCAAGAGCTTTTAGAACAGTTCCGCAGAAATGAAGATTTTACGAAATTAATTTTGTGTACAGACGAGGCCACATTGACACGAAATGGAGTGCACACTTTTCACAAAAAGCATGTTTGAGCAGTAGAAAATCCGCATGCTGTAAAAACTCATTTTTAATATAGATTTTCATTAAATGTTTGGGCTGGCGTGATGAATGGCATGTTTATTGGATACTTTTTTCCACCTCGAACCTCGACTGATCGATGAAATGTATTTAGGTTTTCTTCGACACAATTATCAGAAGTTGTTCCTGTTAAAATAAATGACTCAACTTTGAAAACATCCATGTCATTCAAACATACACATGCAATCAGCCTCGATGCGCGAACGTTTGCTTGTGTGTCGCCATCAAAAAAATATTCTTGTCAACGTATGAGCCTTCCACATTTATATTTGTCACTGTCTGTATGACAACTTGCATGTCATAGGCGTGTAATTCGTGTTTACCCATGTTGGCTTCGCAACACATAGTAGTAAATGAAGATACAAAATGTCGACTGTCTATATTAGAAGCATTTTCAGAAAGTGAGCGAAAACAACGGTCCTGTATCACCCAATTCATGTGTGTGTGTTCAAGAGCGAGTAGCAGCTACATTAGAAGAGTTAAGCTATGCTACGATTAGTCAATCGCTTTATTTTCGAATGGCATTGTAAGGTAAACGCCAAAAACCGAAAAATTACACAGTTTTGATGAAAGCCCTATTTACTATCAATATGGAGTCGTTGGTAGGAGAGACAGATACGCACCTGTATTACGTAACTTTTTATGACATTATGTAATTTTTTAAGTAATAACCCTGATAATCTGTATCCTGAAATGAGAACGAATGCATATATTCGTAAGAATTGATATTCTGCATCACTGTTTCAGGATAAGAACGATAACGGGTCAAAACCAGTGATGGTATCTCCACCAGTAATGGTCGAGGGAGACTGTAGACAGAAGAAAGTGACATTTACGGAATCCTTGGAAGAAAGGTGAAGATTTCAAACTAACTCAGTACCATACATTTTTGTCACTCATTTGAAATTCAGTATGGAGTAATTTGAGCTTCTGGTTGTCTCAGTTGAAAATAAAAATGTGCACTTTTTTTAGATGTACGAGGGATCGTGACGACCTCTGCGACTTGAAGAGAGAAAAAGAACATTGTCGTTGTACAGACTACGAAAAATAACCTTAATTTATACCTTATTATGTATAAATGCTGTAATAAAAATCATTGAAAACAATCTATTAATCTTTATTTAAATATTATAGAAATATAAATACAATATTACCACAATTGAATAAATTTCACAGAAAAAACTAACATTACATACCTAATTCAACCATAATAGTTGGCAGGAATTATGCGTAATAAAATTATAGATTACAAAAATCAACTAGAACATAAAAGTGCCGAATCAAGCGCCAATTTCTAAAGTTGGTTGATTAGTATTTATCATAGATGTTGAAATATATTCCCTAAACTTGATAAAGCTCATTTGTTTGGACAAAATATAACATTTTCACTGTCACTTTATATGTCGATTTCTTAAATGTATATTCAAGTATAATGAATATAGTTTATTGATCAAAAAATTCAATAGCGCAATGAAACCTATTGTGGACTCAAAAACCGATTTTTCTATCGCTCATGTTTGAAGTGAAAAACGACTAACACTTCCAAATGCTTGCTTTAAATTGTAAATTTCATCCCAAAAACAAAGCAACATTGATATTAAAGATTACAAAATTAGAACTGAAATGAAATTAATAACAAACTATTTTTGGATAAAGTGACAACAATAAATGTAATTTTGTTATCCAAACTGTTATCACCGCTAAGTTTTAGTGATGTTTTTTTTTAATCTATCAGCATCATAAATGTGGAATTTTGATGCTTTACGGTGTTAAAATATGCCCTTCTAGATTTCAATATTTTTCCTACAAGCCATAACTGCTTTTAATTTTTTTCAATAATGTGAATAGTCGAGAAACTTCCTTGCATCTGCTCAAAAAAAATCTGATTCAGAATTTTGTGTAATTATTCAGAAAGAACGAATCTACATGTTGGCAGGACCAAAACTGTCAGTCTAGTCATATTAGCAAATTTTCCCGAAATAATTGTAAAAACCGGTTTTAGTTGTTCAAAGGGGTATTTAAAAATATTCGCATAAAACGAGTACACCAATTTTTGTGGGAAAACTTTGTATTTGACAACAAAGAATGAGAAAACGTATTTTTTTGGGATTCAATCGAAAGTGCCGACAGGAACGAGAAAACTTTTGATATAATAATTTTAGGTTTCTATGAGACCTACAAAATGAGACCACACGTAAAAAGATCCGACTAATAGCAAAAATGTTATGGACGAAAAAAAGAGGCAAAATACAGGTTTCGGCACGTGTTGGTAATGCGACGATAATTTCACGCAACGATTTGATATTCTTCAAATCAGTAGGATTAATACTCCTAAATAACAACAACAAAATTGGATTATATTGGTCGAGCAGTTTTTTGAGAATGTCTAATTGTAAACTAGTGTATTTTGCTATAAAATGCCCTTTGAGCTAACCCTGTATATTGCTCAATAAACTAGTAGTGATGGCCGGTAAATAGGTTTTTTGGGATAAACAATTAGAAATTCTCAAAAACTACTTGATTAATGTAATCAAATTTTGTTGTGGTTATTAATTACGAATCTTACGAATCGTCGCATTACCAACAAGTGCCAAAATCTGCAGTTTGCCTCGGTTTTCGGCCATAACTTTTTTGCTATTAGCCGGATCTTTTTACATGTCGTCTCATTTTGTAGCTCTCATAAATACCTAAAAATCTTATACGAAGAGTTTTTTCGTTCCTGCCAACACTTTCGATTAAATCCCAAAAAAACAGTTTTCCCATTTTATGTGTCCATGTTTTTATCAACTTGACCAGAATTTACAATAATTATTTCGCAAACCAGGGATATTTTCGCCTAATATGATAGGGGCGGCCGCCAGCAGAATAATTTTTGACGAAAATTTGGACATGGCGACATGCAGACTTTTTTTGAATAACATTATGCAAACACCCGAAACAGAATATTTTCATAAGCAGATGCAAAGATAATTCCTGGACCAGAAGGCGGATGAATGTTATCAAATTTTGGATGTAATGAGAATACGTCATTTGCGACTATAAGGAATATGAAACCAGGTGTTCATGCTTCAACAAATGACGTTTCAGATAATGCAAAACCTATCTATAATTTGAAATATGCAAAAAACTGTATTACATGTGGTTTTTCTTACATTTTCAAAAACGTTTGCATCGAAAGCATTGCCTTTTTTGAATGTCTAGCTATTGTAGGAACCAAATAGGTTTTCCAAAAGATACTTAAAAAGTCCACGAATCAACATGGCTTTATAAAAAAACAACTCCGTCACGATCTTCAACTACCTTAAAATGATAAAAACAATAGTTGACAAAATATTATTCACTAGCATAAACAGTGATTAAGATATTTATTAACTCATGCTATAAATAAATGTGTATACTATAAATAAAATATACCATAACACACTTGCCTTCCTTCTTGTCTATCTATAGGAATTGGTAAACGTAACGACGGCAAAATATACTAATAAAAGCGGATAAAAGTCTTTACCCACTATACCATACCAAGATCCTATACAGGGTGTCCCAGGGTAACATCTCAATCTCTCGAAAAAATAATGCCAAAAGTTCCTTTGTTTTTATAGGTACTGGAGGTATGCATATGAGAGATTGACATGCTACCCCGAGACACCCTGTATAGCACCAGATCAACCGCGTTCTATAGCAATATGTAACTGGTATGCTACGCGTATCATACGCGTTTTATTCTAACCTTACAGCCTGTGAGACGCACACGTCCACACGCGTTGTGCCCTTCACCAAATTTACGCTATGCCAATGACATGTTACAGGATAATGGGCATCGCAAAGTATTATCATTTTGTATCTGAAGGAATGAATAGATCATAATATAATATGGTATAGTGGGCACAAACCTTTAAAAGCAGGAATCTTATAGAGGATCCACCTCAAGTTACCTGGACTTCTGCAAATCCCACTGGGACTGGTGACTTTATAACGGAATTTTTAGGATTTGCGAAAATTGCCAAATGACAAAATAGCGTGGAAATAGAGGGAAATTTACCTCATTTTCCTCGATCAATTTTCCAATATTGAAGTAGTTACTTTTTGCAACATGCTATAAACCATATACACCGTCTGCCAAAAAGCAACACATCACATGTATTTCACACACAGTTATACAAAACGTCTTTAACATGTTTTGGAAAAGAACTTGATAGAAGTCCAGCAAATTCTCAACCACGAATTGTAGTCTTTCCTAGATATAACCTAAGCATGTATGAAAATATGAAAGCAACTGTATGTCTAGTCGATTTTTGTCTGTGAATAATTGAAATAGCCGTCGGTGAAAAATGAAAAGAATGACGTAGCATTGTTGATAGGGTGTAGGGGTGTGTGCCTGCGGTAAGGGATGATACAGTTAGTGGCCCTGAATAGGCTTTAGCTCTTTGATTTGCCTGATGAGGTAAGCCTTTTCGTCATTGAACTGCTCATCTTCGGCTCGATCCGTGTGGAAACGCATCAAGAAATCTACCAGTTTTTCCTGGTTGCGTAATAGGATGTCCAGGATCGGCTTCGGCTTATTGGGGTTTGCCACAAACACCTGTAACAAACATGAAGTCAAGTAGATTGACTCAGTATTTACCATGGATAGATCGGTCTCCGAATCAATAACAATAATCTTTATTTGCAAATACAAAAGCTGTAAACCCCGTGTGATAAATAGCGTCAATCAAACAAAAGTAACAATAAAATTTCACTCTTTAGCATATTCAAGACTTGAAACTAATCGATTGACCAATAATTTGTATGGTATTTTTTTATAAGCACTTAGTTTTACATCCTTTTCACAACTGCTGGTAAAAGGTTAAAAAGTTTTAGACAATTGTAAAGAAATAACGCTAGTAGGGTTATTTGTAGGCTCATTAACTGTGAACAGTTGTTTATTTTTAAATATGTAGATACTGTAATGGACAAACGTATATAGACAAATTAATATTGTGCTGTATTTTTTTAACTTGTTTTATTAATACACCAACCTGTATACATAATTCTTTATAGCATAATACTCACTTATACATAAATAAATTCATTAGACTCCCTTCAATAAAAAATTAATTGAAAAAACTGGAACTATGAAGGACAAAAATATAGACAAAGCAAAACAATTATAGAAGAAGAATCAAAGTTCATTGAATTATAGAAAACCAACCATGTTTGTTAATATTTTGTAGCATAACCATTATTATCAATCACCGCCTGGCATCGTCTCGACATAGATTGTAGAAGTTTCTTGATATAAGATTCATCAATCTGCCTCCACTTTTGCTCTAAAGCGGCAAAAAGTTCATCCTTGTTTGAATAATTTTTATCTCGTATTTGCTTATCTAAGTACAGGTATTCCCATACATTTTCAATGGGATTTATATCAGGAGACTGTGAAGGCCATTTGAGAACTGGCATTTTTTTCTTCCAGAAAGAATTTCTTTGCGAGATTTGAAGTGTGCTTCGGGTCATTATCTTGCTGGAAGATTGATCTTAAGGACATATTGTCTTCCATATAGGGTAACATGACATGCTTTAGCATGTATGTGTATACAAACTTATCCATAATGCCATCTATTATATGTAAAGGTCCCATTCCAAACCCCGAAAAGCACCCCCAAATCATAACAGACCTGCCTCCATGTTTGACAGTGGGCAAAGTGTATTTGGTGTTCAATCTTTGTCCACTAGGACGTCTAACGTAATGAACATCTACTGATCCAAACATATTGAATTTGGATTCGTCACTGAAACATACCCTCTTCCAGTCACAGATGCTCCAATCACGATGAAACCGTGCAAAATGTAATCGGTCCTTACGGTGTTTCCTCGAGATTAACGGCTTCTTACTCGGGCGACGTGCAAATAACTTCAAATCATTTAATCTTCTACTTATAGTTTTCGAAGAATCACTGACAATTCCTTTTGTCTCGATTTCGGCTTTTATCTGTCTTGGGGTTTTAAACGGATCTTTGGACGAAATTACTTTTATTAATCTAACTGATCTAACATTTAGTTTTCTAGGGCGACCACTTCTCTTAGACGCTTCCAAGAAACCTTTTTGTTTATATTCGTTCAATATTGCCCAAACTGCTTTACGCTTCAGCTTCAAATTTTTGGCAATGTCGACTTGACGTTGACCATCTTTGTATAACTCAATGATCTCAGTTTTCACATCAAAAGAAATGTCTGGATCACGAGGCATGGTCTTAAAATGACTCAACTTATTCCACAATACATGACGATCAAACTAATCCTCTTCTGACACGAAACTTTACTAAACTAATGTTGAATAGAATTTGTCTACATATTTTTGTCCCTCATAAAAAAGTTCTTATATTCAGACTTGTATTGTGTTCATTGCAGATAATGTAAAAACAAGGAATTTAGTTTTCTACTAATAATGTATTTGTTTATGGAGCAAAGAAGTATGAATTCGTTTACTAAAGGTATTATAATATTAATTTGTCTATATACTTTTGTCCATTGCTGTATATGCAGCACTCTTGAATAAACACTACAAAAACTGCTTGAATTTGCTTCTATTCCACACGATTCATATGACTTCAAATCCAAAGTATTTCTCAAAGTTCTCTTTTGTTTTACAAAAATTTCTTCAAAGTCAGTACATACACAAGTTTCAAAGTTTTTCTATATAAATATTTAGCAATAATTCTCATAGAATAACATACCTTATGAGCATTTTTTAAATAGCTTATATGTTTGTTCCACCTGATGTAACTATCTAATTCAAGACCAAGAAATCTAGTACTGTCAAACACTGGAAATGTACCATTAACACAAATTGAATTTTGAAAATTTGCTCTACTGTTTGTTGTTCGAGAAAACGTAGCACAAGTCTTAGTTTTATTAAGAAACCACAGTTTGTACATTGTCCATATTATAGCATATTTAGCTATTATGAGCCCTGGCATATTTCTGAGAATCCAGAACCAAAAATAATGTTGCTTCTCTAAAGGAGCATAAACAGATAGCTTACAGAGTTAGCTAATGGACTGATAGTCAATAAAAATAAAACAAACATCATAATATTTGACAGGGGATCAAATTTATAGAGAGACCTGGTAATATCAACTTCACAGGTACAATAGTAAATTTGTCAGAAAATATATATCAATGAAACTTTTTACTGGACCTATCACATTGAAAATACAATTGAGAAACAACTCTGTTTGTTATGGAGTTAGAGTAGTAAGAAAATCTTGTGGGAAATTTAGAAGTGCCATAAAGCATAGAGATAGATAGAGAATGGTTCTATCAGATTTCAACTTACCTTAAAGACATGGAAGGCTTCAAACTGAATATTCCTTGACCTTTCTTTTAACATGTTCATCATAAGCTTTAGATTTTCAGGGTTTGAAATATACCTTGTCATTACCTGTAACATTTTATTAATTGTAGACATTTTTCACAAAAATGTTAATTTTTGAAATACTAATATTGCTCATGGGCAAACATCTCTTTTTCATTACTTACAGTAAAATTGTGTCTATCCAATAAAAGTTCTCCAAGCAGTTTCAAACTCTGACGTCTGGTCACATAATTTTCAGAATTCAGTAATCTCTGATAGTGACTAAAAACCTTATCATAGTTAGTTTCTAGGAAATCAGCACAAAGCACCTTGTGCCGAGTCAACAATTCCTACAAGAAAGATAAAATTAACATTTTGAGAAACAGTATTGATATAGAACGATATGGCAACAATCTTGTTTGATAATACATATACTCCTTCACTAAGGAGATTTGTACATTGCCTTAGGTAAGTAAGCAGAGATAGAAAATATCATCTGTGTTAAAAACTGTGACGTGATTTTTTTTTCAGATGGAAGCAGTGGCTAAGTACCAGGGCACCACAGCTGCTATGAGGAGCTTAAAGAAACTTTGTTAATTTGATTTTTGAACTGCATAAGGTTAGTAGAATTGCCTCCTTAGGTAGATTGTTCCACAATGTCGTACCCTAGGGACAAAGGAGCAGTCATATTAGCCGGTTCTGGATTTATGAAGTTTGACATGGTTAGGGTAGAAGGCCAAAGTAAGGTGGGTCTGTCTTACACCAGTAGAATAGAGCTAGATCACCAACAGACCATCGGTGCGAAAGGGTCCTGAGACTGTCCATTAGACAAGAGTCATCAACCAATGATCATGAATTTCAAATAATGTTGAGACTATGGCTATACTGAAATAAGTACCACAATAAAATTGCTAGCAGGCCTTATTAGTCTTAAGGTGGTTAATGCTGTGATCAGATAATGCTCTTTGCCAAGAAGCTCCTAGTTCCCACATTGGCATTCACATCACATTTTTTCACTTTATCTGGTAACAGTCATGATTTAGTAATATCAGTTACTAAATCACGGTTCCAGAAATATTTGCCACCAAAATTACAAGTCTTGCAAAATAAAGCTTTGAATAACAATAAGTACACCAAAATAAAATCTATGTTACAAGAATTTGAATATAAAAAAATTCATATCATATTTGGTTGTTATTTTTATATTTAAAATAAAAAATCATCTTTTGCCAGAACATTTAGAACACTACATAGAATTGAATAATCATTACCACAATTATTATACAAGAGGAAATATAGATTTTCATTTACAAAATTGCAATAGTAATATAACTAGCAAATCAATATTTCAGAAAGGATTACTTGAATTTAATAAACTAAATAATGATATAAAGTCTACTTGTAAAATTCTTACAGATGCAATTTTTTTTTGCTGAATGTCTTTATGTTATGTAATTATTTAGTTTTTTAGAAGAATGTAATTGTAGCAATATTGCTAAATAAATCTTAAACAAACAAGTTGTAACAAATTTAAAACATACCTTAAACGTTGAGAATGCATCAGAGGCTATATCAAAAGTAGAAACTTCAACATATCGAAAAAAATTGTAAAAATCATCAGAATATAACATGATTTTTGCCAAGGCTTCATATCTAGCACATTCTCTCAGCATAGTTCCACAATTTAAAGCTATTTCTTGGTGCTCATAACTGAAAAAAATAATTATAATACAGAACAAATGAATAAATCAGCCTGAGTTTCATAAAAGTATCAGAAAAATTTCAGACCAAATAGCATACTTATATATACAGAACAAGATGTGACAAAATACTTTAGCAGAAACAGTTAATGAAATCACATAAAGGTAACAATTTGACTAAAAAGTCATGCATTTATTATAATGAAACAAAACGTTTTTCGCAAATACCACAAAAACAAATTGATAATAGATTAAATAAGTTGTAATTTTATCAGGTACAATCTTTTGATAACTCCGATATCTGACTGTGTCATTAGAAGTAAATGTAACAAACTTATTGGTTTATTGATTGATACAAGCTTGATAATTACGATATACTTTGAAAATGATTGTTAAAAACTGCTACATAATTGACTTTTATTCTTCCTGAAGAATTGAAATGTTCTATTACATCATAACATGTTGACAAAATCTCTGTTTCTTTATCTATGATATATATTCAATGAAATTTCTTATTTTACTTCCATGTTTCTAAGTTTAAATGGTTGTGAAACTAACCCTGTCATTAATGTAAAAAGAATTTCAGGCTTGGTACAGATATATTCTACAGTAGGAGACCTAGTCCCAATCTGCCTTCTTAGAATATTATTGAAAACTTGGGCCACATCCTTCTTGCCTTCAAAGTCAATTCGGTTTAGGTTCTGTATCAGCAACAGAAGTAGATTGCTATTGTACAATTCTTGAGCTAACTGTGCTACAATTATATCAGCTTGGGGTTCAGCGTCCGAGGTGCCATACAGCATGTTCTTGATAAGGACCAGGTTCTTGGAGACATCTTCCTGGGCCTTCTCAGCTTTCTTGTCGCCTTTTTCAAGCGAGTTGACTGCTTCCTTTAAAGCCTTCACTACTTCAGCAGGTCCTTTGGTCGATTTCCCGAATAAAGGCATCGTTCGCAACACTTTGGGGTACCTTTTGAAGTTTATGACGTTTTTATTGCAGACGATCCTAGGTAGTATCACAAGGGGATACTCTACAGTCGAACCTCATACATACGGTTATCGGGAAACGACGTAAGACTTCTACGAATATCACAATACATTTATTTTGCTTTGTTTGACTAAATTCAACGCAAAAACTACATCAGATGATGCTGCAATCGGCTTTTTTCTGGTTTAAAGACGTAAACCCCGTAAAATCTGATAGAGTTTGGGGTCTTGGGATTTTTTCTTATTTGTGACAGCCAAAATGCCAACACACGATGCATGTGTCATGCTCTAGTAAATAAAAAGAAGGGATTTTCGGGCTATTAATATTAATTTGGTATTAGCGCATGCCATGTTGCCAGATAATTTTGAATTCCTGAAAGTATCGGATAAATCAAATTTCATTTTCATACAATTATGAGCTAGAAGCAGTCATAACTTGTTTTTGATTTTTTTTAATATCTGGCTGTTACATGAAACCACACACAGGCTTAATGCCTAAACCATTCCCGATTCCAGTAGGTGTCGTGAGGCTACAGGCTAATACGGAGGAAAGGGGGGACGTCACACGAACTCTGGGAGGAAAATCTGTGGGTTAAAGCGAAAGCAACGTATTCCACCTTTCTGAGAATATAATTTTATGTGGGGAATGGCTGTGGTTACTGGTTAGTGAATTTGGTTGGGGAAAAACTTTTGTGAAGTATTATATGAAAAATACATTTGGCAACGTAGCATTGCATTTCTTCTCGGTCTGTTCTCATATCCAAAGATGTATGAAATCATCTTTCTCTTTCTTGAGTTTATTAAACATATGCCTATCTTTATCATTATGCACCGTTTTGAAATTGGAACAATGCCGTGCAATGCTCATGCGTTAAATACACCTGAAAGCGACCTCTGGATCAATTTCTTGAATTGTATGTGCCTTGCATTGTCAATTGTCAGTCTGTCTTGTCAGTTTTCAACAAATCGAAGCAATCGAAGCTTGAGGAACCACGTAAGAGCGTCTAAAATTTTTTGAAGAAAAATAAAGAATCTTTAAGGTACGTTGGGACTAACCACCTGGAGCCAAAATGAGTATCGAAGAAGACGTTATGAGAATCCAGAAAAAATTAAGCAAAATGACGTCTGAAGATGGCAGTGTAAGTATTCTTCTCACAATTCATATAAACAAGAGGTCACGCTTTCCGGTTTTTTATTGTGCATCGTGGTGTGCATTTCACTGTATTTTTGAGTTTTAAAGAAACTCTGAAGTTTATTTTTGCGCAGACCGTCAGCACTGAATTAAAAATGTGTCAACACCCGGTGAATATGGCAGATCTTTAGAAGAGTATTTATAACATTCTAGGGACAAGAACAGGCCATGGATTTACTTAAAGAACTGCAAACTTTGAACGTAAACCTGGAAGTTTTGAGGAAAACGCGTATTGGAATGACAGTAAATGCTCTCAGGAAGTCTAGCAAAGATGATGAAGTGATCGGTTTATCAAAAACATTGATAAAGAACTGGAAGAAGTTCTTGCCAGACACTGCAGCATCTGAAAAGTCAAGTAGCAGCTCATCCAAACCCAAGAAAGATAAAGAAGAGAAGCCTGCTAAGGAAGATAAGGACAAAGATAAGGAGAGGAACCTACCTAAACAATTTCCACCAACATCAAACACAACAGATTCTGTAAGGCTAAAGTGTCGAGAGATGTTGGCATCAGCCATGAAGACAGACAATGCTGATGATTTTGATGGTAATTTTTTGCATTTTATCAAAGTGATCTAACAGCTGAGTGGTATTTTGATTATGTCCCTGGGTTTGTCCATTTTCACATCTAAAAGTAAAAATTAATTAAAAAAGCTACAGTTAATTTAAACCAAATTTTACCATTTTTTAGCATGCTAGCATCTGCTAATTGAGTTATTAAATACAGATTGTTTTATACTCATAAGCTAGAGTTTTGTTCTTTACTCTCATTTTCTGCTGTTTGTTCATCAATTTGAAAATGTCTATGGTAATATTCTATATCAGCTTCATTTTAACAAGACATCTACATTGTTTTTAAACTAGGCAAACCGAGCAAAACAAAACATTGAACCATACAAAACAGTATTTGATGTACCACTTGATAATCACTTATTAAGTGAATTTTGTTGGCAGCAATTTTTGTAACATGGATTTGTTACTTTTACTTAAATCCTTGGGATATTAAGAAAACAAAAGTAAAGAATAGACATACAGAGCAAGGTCCAGCCTACCATTTTTTTGAACAGGTAAATTTAGCAGTCTGAAATCTATACATAAATACTATTTACCCCATATCCACATAGTGCTAATTATGTATGGTTTATGAAAAAAATAATTGCGTAAATAGATAAAATTCAGTAATTTTGCATTGTGGGCAAGGTAATAAATGAGTTAATATGTATAAATTAGAATTTATATAGATTTTATCAAGTTTGTGTCTATATAAACACTCATAGATATTTTTTTTATACTGGTATTGTTGTTTCTTATATATTTAAGGGCATATTATGATATAATTTGAAGCCCAAATATATAAATTACCCCAACATTATTTCTTGTTGCTGCAATAGTTATTTTTACTTCTGGTGTAATGTTCATAAATTTTATAGAACATCTATTCTTGAGTAACTATTGTTTGTAATAATATTTGCCTATTCAAAAGTCAATCCTAAATTACTCTTTTTAGCCTAATTCTTTCTCATATATGCAATAGGAAACCAAACTTTTTTTTATTTGTAGGCTGTGCTACAGCAGAAGAATTGGCTGAAGAACTGGAAGAGGCAATTTACCAGGAATTTAAAAATACAGATATGCGGTACAAGAACAGGGTTCGTTCTCGAATAGCCAATCTGAAGGATCCAAAGAATCCTACATTAAGGACAAACTTCAGAATTGGTGCCATTTCTGCTACAAGACTGGCTGTAATGACAGCAGAGGAGATGGCTAATGATGAAGTCAAGTCACTCAGAGAAAGGTGAGATCATAAACAAATTGTTTCAGCATTGAGAAACATATTCTGGCAGCAGATACTCAATTGAAAGCTGTTTGCACAACTGTAATATATCTTGAAAACTATCTTGTCACCATTACCACCTGTCTAATTTCCTTGCTATTACTGACAAATTCTGAGAACATGAAACCTTATGAATAATTATTATAAAGGAAAATTGAGTCTGTTTCCATTACTTTTGGGGGAATGACAGATACCACTTGGTATCAAATACAGCATAGGATAGGGCTGGTTTTACTTTTTTCTTTTTGAATCACTGTTTAATCCTCAATTATTTATGGTCTTTAGAACATCAGACATGGTCAGTATTATCACTGTATTAAAAAACTGAAATTGTGCTACTTCAGCACAGGATCATGGTATGACCTAAAAACAATTTTATATTGAAGTATTCTAATCCACATTGTACTTAGAGGTATTTTTGCGGTTTTAGATTCAAGAAAGAGGCAATCAATGATGCACAGTTGGCGACAGCGCAAGGCACAAAGACAGACATGTTGAAGTGTGGTAAATGCAAGAAACGCAACTGTACTTACAACCAACTGCAGACCAGGTCATCTGATGAACCAATGACAACGTTTGTGCTGTGCAACGAGTGCGGAAACAGATGGAAGTTCTGTTGAAACTCCAAAATAGGTCCAATCTATTTTCTAAGGGGTATCAAGTTTGAGGTAATCTTTACGTTCATGTAATTTTAAACTATAATTTTATTGTATTAGACTAAATCATATAGCAAATAAAGTCTCTGACCAAAAATGCTTTTTAATCTACTCCCCATCATTCATTTTATTGTTCCGAATTAGTTTTTTTCCCAGATCAAAGACAGTGGGTTCCAGTGATACCAAAGAAAAAGAAATGTTTCTAATGGAATATGTAAAAAAATCAAGAAGGTTGGTATTTTCCATATTTTTGATCATTTGGCTAAGACACTTTATAGGTCAAGTAGTGACACCTCAATTTTTATCTTGACCAATTTCATAAATTTTGGAATATTGTTGCCAAAATCTTAATCATTCTACACTTAGCTTTGGATGTATCCCTGTTACCAGAAATATATGCAAAATCCTCAATTGGTTTTTATGATCATTACATATCTGAAAAGGTAATTAATGTGTTTGGGGTACGAAAACTCAAAGGATAATAAATAAATGTATTTGATCAGTTAAATATATAAAAATAGTAACAAAAATCGGAATCATTCTAACATACTACCGTCATTTAGTAGAACTTCTTTATGAACTATTCCTAAATGTACACAAGCCACTAAAGCTGCACCTTGTTCAGCAAACTTTTTATTTTTCTCCCTGAAACAATGATTCTTGAACAGTATGTTACTATTAAAATTATGCAATGCAGACACCCCAGGAAATGTCAAAATTGGCTCAGTGGTGCCAGCCTAATAGTGTATTTATATGTATAAAATAAAGCTTCCGTCTGTTGTTGGGTACTTTGACAAAAGTCGGAAGCTTTATTTTTCAACTAACTGGTCTAAACGACAATGACCACGTCTCAAGTTATATATATATACACACACAATGTGTTTGGTCACGACATACCGATATTTGAGGGGGATATTTTTCAGCTATTTTTATCGACAAATCCACCTCCTACAATGTCATACCTCACCCCCCTTGAAATGGATCCATACCGCTGCGAACGAAATATTGTTTTAAGAACAACAATGTGCATAACCAATAATTCACGATATTTTGAACAGCTTCTGTAACATTAAACATGTCCAAACTCTCTATAAGAAACATTGATTTGTCATTTTTATGTATATGAAGTTTGAAAATAATTTGCATTTTATTACACTCATTTTGACCCATGTTAGATAGCATTTATTGCTTAACGTAGCATACTTCGGATAACAAAAAGCTGTAGAATTAGCACAAAAAAAGTACAACTTCACATACTAGCTATTAAATGGTGTAGAATAAAACTATAATCCTCAATAAACCAAAAATACAAGATCAAGCAGAATGTCATCGAAATTATAAAAAAACAAAATTCATTTTTTGTTAAACAAATCATCGTTATTTGTTATGCATTTTCATGCACAGTACCACTAGCTTTTATGATGATTCACTGATAAAATATTTCGCATTCAAAACATTGCAAAAACGACGAGGTAATTGAGCGGCAATTTATTGTGTTTAGTCAACAAGAATGGAATGTGGATGATGCTATTTGTGCTTGGTTAACATACAGAATAATGTACTGATATAGGAGAGGAAGGACATCCTGGGTTTACCTGATTTTAAGGAACAGACTTTCTACAAGTTTATTCTTTACACTTTACGCCAGCCTTAGAAAACATGAAGAGACATTTTTCAGTTTAGAATTTTGTGCATTTTCAAAGCTAGCTTTTGATGAAAGCGCGTCATTTGAACTAAGCCCAAGGTTGAGTTTCTTTTTTGAAAATGAGTTAATCTATGGCTATACCTAGGCAATATTGAAATTTACGCTTCTTATGGTGTTCGAGTATTGTGATGTTGACATGGGCGCCTGCAAGGTTCTTTCTCAGGGGGCCGATTATTGAAAGGAAAAAGTGTACCTGCCCCAAAAGTTTTTAGACAGCGAGAGGTGCCAAATCCACAAAATTTTACATGCAAATTTTAAGGATTCTCAGGGAGAGGCACGGCGCTTACCCCCTCTCGCCCATGATTAGCAATAACACTGTATGGTTGATAATTAGGAATATTTATATTACCAATAAGTTGAACTATATTTCTTCCCTTCAAGTGTTGCAACTGCCCTGAAAAGTTTGTCTTCGTTAAAAACTTTGTACTTTGGATTGTGCAGTTTGCTTTTCCCACAATAGGCTATTAATTTAGTCTTTGGCAAATCTGCATCTTCTGTATAATTAGATCTAATAAAGGCGCACTTCATAGCAACGTCGACAGGTTCATTGTCAATTTCTGTCTTCTTTCTTTTCTGTTGTGGATCTAGTCGATCTGGCGCCACATCTCGTCTACCCATCATGCCTTTTGACATGTATTCTAGCTGTTTTTTGCGGCAGTATTCACCATAGCCCCATATCGAACTGAAAACATTTTTTCAAAGTTACACTTGTAGTATGTTACCATTAGTATTATGTACATGAAGCATATACAACTAGAGGAAACTTTGTACAATCAAGTAAGTTTTGGCAACTTAAAATTGATCGCATCTATTAAATTTTAGCAGTTAAATATGTTGGAGCATATGTATTTTAAACTTGTTCAATATTTACAATTTTGGCATTTTTATCCAAAACTAGAAATGCATTGCCTAGGGTCCTACATCTGAGAATCCCAATGAAAAACTGATGTCAGATTCGGAATTTACACAACTGATTTAACCAGGAATCTAAAGTTGTCATCCAGACCAAGAATTTAAAATATTTATGTCAATAATTTTAAACTATTAGAGAATAAAGGTAGAAAATACAATATCAAACATGTTACATTGCTCTTACCACCCAATTTTAGTATGACAAATTGTTACAAACCATATTTGTTCTAAAGTTTGACACTCCAAAAACTTCTTCCCCCTTGGTGTCTCCTGCAGCTCTTTCAACATATTTTGCACACAGTACTTTGTATTACTTGGAGGATTATCATAATCAACTGCATTCTTCAAATAATTCACAATAACTTCTTCTAGATCAACTAAGCCTTCTTGTCTAAATATAGAACAGTTCCCTTGAGCAGTTCTAGCAATCATAACACTGCTAGCTCCACAGTCTGCTTTGAATTTGAGGATGTCTTTATAGTTTTCGATTTCCCTAGAACCACCACTGGAAAAAAGTTAGAATTAGAGGAAAATTGTGTGTATGGCTTGGACTTACTTTGCTATTACTGGAATGGTCAAAGCTTCTGCAATTTTTTTAATGGTCTCACATCTGTTGGGATGTTGTGGTCTTTCAGCTTTTGTTCTACCATGGACCTAAACATAATACATAGTTGAACTAAAAGGAAAAGCCTATAAACCTACATGGAGATATATTCCTAAGTTAAGAACAAGCAAACAATAAGGAAAGGCATTCTGCAATGCGAAATATATTTTTATATTAGAGGTACTTTAAACAAAAATAAGCATAACATCTTTGAAGATCAGAGTAAACTGAGGGTCAACAATGTGAGAATTTTTCATGTTATTTTTTCACCTACTTTCAGTGTTGATATTACATTATTAATTTTGACAAATGTTAAGTATTGAAATGTAGGAAGGTAAATTTTATACCGCTATAGCTGAGATTCCTGTAGATTCCAGTTGTTTTGCTAGCTTTACCGTCTCTTCCACATCCTCAAATACTCTTATTTTACATGTTATTGGAATTTTTACATTTTGAACTAATGTGCTCAATATGCTTTTTGCTTTCTCTGGTTGTGTCAATAATGCAGCACCCATTCCACCTTTTAGAGAAAATTCTTTCGGACAACCCATATTGATGTCAATAGCAGCTACATCATTCTCACTAAAAATTAGAAATTGCTAACTCTGAATAAGAAAGAGGAATGAGTCCTTACATCATTTTGGCCACCTTTAAAGCTCTTTTTACATCACTAGTCCCCAACTGTACCACAACCCTATCCTTTTCTTGTTCACATGTCCGAAATACTATGGTTCCGTCTGACTGATCTATGTAATCAATTGTACCTAGGGCATCTGCAATAATCATCTCAATTATTAAACGCATTTTTACACTATTACCATATACCATTGACAACCCTGAATGATCTCAAAAATTTCCAGTCAATCAGTTCTTCAGTATAAACAATATCAGCCCCATATTCCAATGCCAGCAATCTGGTGGGTAACGTTCCGACTCTAACCATTGGTGCTAAAATTACTTTATTTGCAAAATTAATTGTGCTAGCTAAAATTACTTTATCTGCAATATTGATTGTGCATTCTCTAGCGATGTCATTTTGGGAGATAATCGTTTTATTATCAACTATGACCATTTCTGAAAGGTATTTTCTTTATCACTTTGACAGTACCATAACCTACAATTTTAAAAGTCAGTCAGTCAAGTGGTTGGCGAGCACGCACAGGCTGCGATTCTGTAAATTTGAACTACTCCAATTAACAGAGGCGTCGTAGAGATTTTTGATTATTTCATGAACCGTGATTGTTAAAAGCGAAAACTCCAAAAATAGTTATTAATAACATTATTTAGAACAAACAAATTTCTATTCATTCGACCAAGCCCTTTTGAGTTTTGGATACCTTTGATACTTGATTAAAAAATGTGATGTACGTTTTCCACAGAGAATGAACGCATGATTTTCATATATTTAGTTCAGATCACCGCAGACTGGATTTGGCCCGAACATATCTATCAAACGCAATAGCTGCTGGTGAAAAGCTATGCAATCTCTTCAGGGCAAAGAAGTACTTTTTTCCGCATATAACCTCCCCACGCTCTGTACAAGGGCCAGATAAGACCTAGCCTCGAGTATTGCTCACACGTTTGGGGTGCTGCCGCCCCGACTACATTATTTACGCTCGATGCTGTCCAGAGGAGGGCTGTCCGACTGAACAATGACTCTTCTCTGACAGACAGTCTCGGGACGCTTTCGCACCGGCAGGTAGTCGGCAATCTTGCTTTGTTGTACCGCAATGACAACAGTCTGCTTATCTCAGAGTTCTCCTGCATGATGATACCGCGGGTTTAGCCTACCAGACGGACCATGCCAGGGCTATCCCAACTGCACTTTGTACATCGATTGCTGGCCGGTACGATCGCCTTTTTGTTACTAGGCTGTCGAGGTTGTGGAAATCGAAAGCGTAAATTATGAATGAGGGAGGCTCCAAAAAAACCCAAATTCCAATTCAGAATAGCTATTCGCCTACATTTCTTGAGAGTTTTGTAGGCTTATAAGAGCTGAAAACAAAAATTGAAGTTTTGCATGTAAGACAAGCGCATGGATTGTCAAAATGACTTTCTATCATCTAGCATTAAAAAATTAAAAATCATGGTGGACCAATAAATTAGTATTGAACCTTGAATTTATTCTATTTAGTTTTGGTTGATATACACAGAATACGACTCTGCTCATTTGAGGATATGGGGTATTTTGAATGTCATTAAATGTTTAGTTGTCATTTGTGGTGAGGTGATGTTGGTGGTTGTGACAGATGTGACCGGTACATAACCTAATTTTTATTTGTTGTTAAAAACGTAAGGTACACAAATATTACCTTGTTTTTGTTTATGTAGTTTATGTATTAAAAAATGTTGGGAGGGGTGCGTGTAAGTGCCTTCAATGAAAATGGGCTTGGAGAGCCAGAGCAAGATGCAAATTCTGCTTTAACTGAATTAGACAAAGGTAAAAATGTTCCTGCTTTCAACCATTGTAACTTTTAAACCGTCTCATCTACAGGTCTCAGGTCGGGAAAAGTTGGCGAGCAATGTGAAGCCATCGTACGATTTCCAAAATTATTCGAAAAATATCCTTTTCCCATACTTATAAATGCATCTTTGTTAAAACTTGCTGATGTATTCCGTATGGGGTAAGTCATGACTTTTCACTATTATCGTTCAGTTCTGTAATTTCAAATTGGATTTTAGCAACAATTTCCTGCGACTGTGCATCCTCAGAGTGTGCCAGCAAAGTGAAAAGCATCTAGACAAGATCTCAAATGTAGATGAGTTTGTACGCAGAATATACAGTGTCATTCACAGCAATGACCCCATAGCCAGAGCTGTTACTTTAAGAATATTTGGGGCGGTGGCTGCTATAATACCAGAGAGACAGCAGATCCATCATTGCATAAGAAGCAGCTTGGACTCTCATGATGTTGTTGAAGTTGAGGCAGCTATATATGCTGCAATACAGTTTGCTGCCCAGTCAAAGTGAGTTCCTTTGATCAAGTTGGGTACTATTTCTATACCAGATTTTTCTGAATATAAAAAGAAGTTTTGTCAATAAAGTCTGTTCACACATATTTATCTAAACCGACTGATACCTCTTGTAAAACATCTAACAATTTTTTTTAAACACATTTTCTGCTACATTATAACAAATGTTACATAACACACCAATTTTAGCTAACCACCTATGAATTCCTCAACATTGTATGGCTCCCTTCCTTTTAAAGATCTTTGGATTTGCAACAGATTAAATAGAATTGCCTAGTTTGTTATAAAGTTTAATTCCCACATAGTAGGAGCCTTTCTCATATAAAGGTAATCTGTGTTTTGGGAAACATATATTTGTCCAGGTAATTTGAAATGCTGATTTTGCATATGACCATGAAAAAATCATGGAGCAATAGTCAGCAAGAAATGACACTTTTGAGGCTTCCTGTTGATCTCAGTGATGATTTTCTTTCTTTTTTTACAGAACATTTGCAGTGAGCATGTGCAATAAGGTATCAGATATGATACAGGGGCATTCAACACCAGCAAATATGAAACTTCAGTTGATTCCAATTCTTCAATATATGCACCATGATACTAACACAGCAGCTATGGTTAGATCATTATGCATCGATCTTTTGCCAGGTAAGAATTACATATTTGACAAGTGCCATAATATTTTTTTTTTCAAATATTCATAGTGCTCCCTTTATTTTGAAGCCCCATTCATGTTCAAACTAAATTACAGGTTACCCAGCTCAAGAATTTGTCCTAGTTACTCTAAACACCCTTACAAAACTAGCAGCAGCTACTTTAGTCGACATTCCAAGTCAAGTGAACCTACTTCTGAAATACTTGAAAAATGATCCTAGATGGGAAATCAAACTGAAATCTTTAGAACATCTCTATGAACTTGCTAAACCTGGTGCTCATCTTTGGCCTCCTGGGTCTGTTGAAGAGGTCATAGAGTATGTTCTTAGTGCTAAGCAGAAAAGGATTGTAGTTCCAGCACTAAGTAAGTAAAAATTATCAGAGGAACATGTTCATAATACCAAGGTCATTTTTAAACAATACTGTTTCATTTGAATTTGCTCATCATTACAATGCTTTTTCTGTTGTAAACTCAAGATACATGTTTTATAGTATATGTAACTTTATTATTGCTTATTAGTTCCAAGATTTTTTGAGACTACATACGTTTATTGAACTAATTTCTAAATAATTTAATTATGTTTACAGGGGTGTTGAAAGTTCTAGTTGAGTCACCAAGAATGTGTCATGAACACAGAACTTCAGGATCAAAATTAAAAGAGCTTTGCTCTAACCACTGCTATTCACCAGAACCTTTAATTGCAGTGCTAGCAATCCAGATTTTGACTGAAATACTTTGCTATTGGTATGTTTAGTGGCAATATTCCTTTACTATGCATGTATATAATAGGTTTTACTATTGATTAACTTATTCTGCCTGAAGATATTCAATCCAGTTGAAAGCAGTATTTGCAAGAAAATAATCATACATACCGTGGCGCCAACAACCATTGATACTCGCAACTATAAACGTGTCGATTCACCAACTTAAAGCGTCGGTGTTGTAACCTCTCCAATTGTTGTCACAGGTTTTGGGATTTTCTTTTCCGTTGTTGAGAAATAATGAGAATACAAAATTTTAGAAATAATGAGTGATCTTTCCTTGGAAGAATTGAGAAGACAATTGAAATAATTTTATTATTTTTGCGGGAATCACTGTGATCCAACATGGCAGCATGGCTGTAATGATAGAAATTGTATGTATTGTTTGTTTTTGAGGTATTTTGAATTGAACGTGTCATGGCACTGTCGTGGAAGTATTGTAATACCAAGTCACTCATTTTCGATATTCTGTCTGTCTGTCCATTATAACTAACGGGTGATTTTTTAAGAGGTATAGGATTAGATTTTCAAAAAAAAACACAAAAAATTTTAAAAAACGATTAAATCTTTATTTGAGTCGATAGAACAGTCGATATAATTTAATGTTTAAAGATTATTTCATGTAAATGTTGGCCGCGGCTCCGCTTTAGATGGCCCATGCGTAAGGTCCAATTTTGGCACACTCTCTCCAACATATCGGCCGGTATCTCACGAATAGATGCTTCAATATTGGCTTCCAGTGCGTCAATCGTTGCTGGTTTATCCCTGTAGACATTAGCCTTAACATGGACCCACAAGAAATAGTCCAACGGCGTTAAATCACACGATCTAGGCGGCCAATTGACGGGCCCCAAACGTGAGATAAACTGTTCACCGAACTCGCCTCTCAATAGGGCAATTGTTTCGTGTGCGGTGTGGAACCGTCTTTTTGAAACCACATGTTAGCCAAGTCCAGCTCTTCCATTTTGGGCAAAAAAAAGTTTATCATCGCACGGTTGCGCTCGCCATTCACAGTTACGTTCCGGCCATTGTCGTCTTTGAAGAAGTACGGCCCGATGATGCCACCGGCCCATAATCCACAGTGATTTGTTCGGGATGCATTGCTCTTGCAATGCTTCTGGCTGGTCTTCACTCCAGATGCGGCAATTTTGCTTGTTAACGTACCAGAAATGAGCTTCGTCGCTGAACACAATTTTTCGATAAAAATGTGGATCTTCCTCCAACTTTGCCAGCGCCCATTCACCAAATTGGAAACGTTGTGGGAGGTCGTGTGGCTTCATTTCTTGCACCAGCTGTATCTTGATAAGGTTTTACACCCAAATCCTGTCGCAAAATTTTCCACGTAGTGGAGTAACAGAGGGCCAATTGCTGCGAACGGCGGCGAATCGACATTTCACGGTCATCACTAACACTGGCGGATACAGCCGCAATATTTTCTTCAGTCCTCACTCTACGTCTGCGTGTTCGTGGTTTAATGTCCAATAATGTGAACTGGGTTCGAAATTTAGTCACAAGCTTCCGAATAGCTCCCTCAGTAGGCCGACCAAATTGCCCATAAATTGGAAGCAGTGCTCGATGCACTCTCTTAACCGAGCATGAATTTTGATAGTAAAATTCAATAATTTGCAAGCGTTGTTCGTTCGTAAGTCGATTCATGGTTAAATTATAGACCAAACTGAACAAGTTTGACAATGACACAAGACACGATTCACGCGTCATCTGTCAAAAACGGTGTTGCCAAAAAGATACTAACAAAAAAATCACCCATTAGGAAAGTACCGTTTGTACTTCAGTGAAACCTTCACACAAGGTTACTACCATGCCAAGGGCGAAACAACTTTTTGGTTTTCGAAAATCGATCCAGTGGCAGCGGAGCTGGGGGCCAACAAATTTTAAAAATAAAAATCACAAACTTTGTTTTTTTGATGTTTCAAAGGGTCATTTTTGAGAACATGTTTGTGTGTAAAAAGTTTTTCAATTTGAGGTATATTTTAATGTATTTCAGCTTCAAAGAAAACCTGGAAGCAGACGGCGCAAATGAGGTTATCACTGCTCTGGAAACGTTGATTCTACTTTTAACATATACCGACGAAAAAAATACTAGCCAATTGAAGACAGCTCTGAAATGTGCAGTTCGGCTGTGTGAAGCCAGACAAGAGTACTGCAAAACGTTTGTGGAACTTTTAGGAACACAGCTGCATAATATTGACGGAGATTACACAATTACGATCTGCGAGGCGCTTGGTGCTATTGGTAGTTTAAGATCAGAAACTCTTCTGCCACTTATAGATACTATTTTGACCTTATTGACTGCCTTGGCAGATATTCCAAATGCTTCACAGCTGCAAACAAGGTAATACTATACTTGTAGTGTTCATTTATATTCAAAGCGTAAGTTTAAGAAATTGGCTCCAATGCTGCGGAAATGCCAAGCAGAAATATTTGCCTTCATGAACGTGCCATTTACGAGGGATGTCTTTTAAGTTTTGCATATGGAAATAAAACAACCCGGTAGGTAGTTTTAAATGACTTTATTGTTTTTCGAAATATTCTCCACGAAGATTAATACACATCTGCATGCGCTCGAACCAATTATCGAAGCACTTATTTCACTCGTTTTCTGGCAGATCCAAAACGGCATTTTTGAATGCGTCAACTGCTTCTTCTGGTGACTGGAACCTTTGACCACGCAGTCTGTTTTTAATTTTCGGGAAAGTAAAGAAATCGTTAGGACTTAGATCGGGACTATATGGAGGATGGTCCAATAATTCCACGTTTTCTTCCGTTAAATACTGCCTTGTTTTTTGGGCTGTGTGCGAACTTGCATTGTCTTGGTGGAGGATGATTCTTCTTTCGTGTTGATTTTTCGAAGCGCGGTGATGACTTTTGGCAAACAAATGGTAGTATACCAATCTGCAGTAACAGTTCTTTGCTCATTAAGAGGAATTGTTGCAATATGACCCGCTTTTGACACAAATGTCGCGACCATCTTTTTCGAAAAACTTCGAGAACGGATGACTTTTGTTGGCTTTTCTTCACCTTGGAACACCCAAACAGCCGACTGTCGTTTATTTTTTGGTTCATAGCAGTAAATCCACGATTCATCACTACGAACAATGCTGTACACATTTTTTGAGTTTTCGGAATTGAAGCGGTCAAGCGTTTTTTGACACCAATTAACCCTGGCTGCTTCAGTCAACAGTTGGGTTATCCAACGAGAAACTAATTTCTTACTCCTAGTTCTTCATGTAAAATTTTTTGAATTAAGGTCTTCGAGATCTTCAAGGACGCCTCAATCTCGCAATTTGTCACATGTCTATCTTCAATGATGAGTTTGCGCACAGCATCGACGTTTTCCTGGGTGACTGCCGTTTTTGGTGCACCCACCATGGGATCGTCGCTAAGACTCACCCGTCCACGTTTGAATTCTCCATACCAACGGGAAATTGTCGACTGATGTGGCGCTTCGTTGCCGAAAACAGACAGTAACTCGCCAAGGCATTCTTGTTGCGATAATTGTCTCTGAAAGTTGTAATAAATTAAGGCGCGAAAATGTTCTCGGTTGAGTTCCATTTTTCTAATGACTTGGTAACACTTGAAAATCCACTAGGGTGAGAACACTGCACGTATTGTTGTGAAACGTAGAATTTAAGTGTACTAAAGAGTGAGGTTAAGTTTCAGTACTGACGTTCGAGCCGCGCGGCCTACTATGTTTCTATATGCAAAACCTGGCAAAACTTAAAAAACATCCCTCGTAGTGAGGCTTGAACAGTGCACAGAGTAGATGACACCAACTCTAATGCAGAAATGTACAGGGTGGTCCATTAAGTTGAGAGGATTTTAAAAAATCTTAGAAAAAAAACTACAAAGTCTAAGGAAGATAATTTATATTTTCAATAAAGTAGACACATGGGAATTTTATTTTTTAAACATTGAGATGTGAGCCATCGAGATGTATGCGTTCCTCGAATATCGACTTCAAATTCGTGAAAACTCGCCGGGCAATCGTTGTCGGCTTATTAACGTAAACGCACTAACATTTCTTTTACAACTGCTAAAGACTCGTTGGCAGTATGGGATGTCGCGCCATCTTGTTGAAACCAGGTCCTGCTATGGTAGGCTTCAAAATTATGCAGTTGTGGAAAGAAAAAGTTACGTAGCATTGCTGTCTGGTGATTAGGATTGACTGTTACCGTCTGGCCTTGCTCGTTTTCGAAGAAATAGGGTCCGATGATTCCTTCAGCCGCCAAAACTGTAACTTAACGCGAATGCAAAGGTTGTTGGTGTTTTAATTTGGGATTTTTTCAGCCCAATGCCGGTAATTATGCTTGTTGACAAATCCACACAAACGAAAATGAGCTTCATCAGAAAAGAGACTATTGTTCAAACTTGGAAAGCGCTCTAACATTGTTTCGGCAAACGCACGACGTAGCCGCTGGTTCTGCGGTTTCAATTCCTGCACTAGCTTCGTAACTTCGCTTACAGTTTCCTCTGTTCTTCTTGACCTTGGACAGGGTGGCAGGTTTCTGGTTCAGTGTCGAACCGGTAGACTCGAACTTTCTGAATCACGACCTGATCACACTTTCACTAGGACATTGATTTAGATCATGTAAACCAAACTCGGAGCGAAACAGACGCCGCACGATAGTGCACGAATCTTCATTGAAACGCTCCATGGCGACTAAATTGATGCGGTTTTGAAAATCGTACGTCTTTCTGGTCCACCCTGTATTACTGCTCTTCAGAAGTTAGCTGATTTCAGGGACTTGCCTCTTACAATGTGTCTATCCTATTCTAAAGAATGCCGACCTTCTTAAGAGACGCATAAGACCTGAATTATAGCTAAAATTTGTCATTGTTTTACCTGACTACCTAAGAAAAGTAATGTGTGTCCAGAATATTCAATTTCACAGGCTACAGACCAACTGGCTTCATGGATGTTGGCATATGAGGTGACATTGGATTTGTTTTAGCAGTGCGAGTGACTCTGGTTATATTATTTGATAAAAACAAAACGACGGATTTTAATATAAAATTCAGCCTTGAAAATCCTATTTCAATGCCTACACTTTAAATGGCTTATGAGATTCCTCTTGATAGTACGGTTGAATATTCATTCTTTTACTGCAGTATATATATATATATATATATATACATATATATGAGCAGTAGTCATTGCCAACGACCAGTTGGGCAAAAAAATAATTGGGAAATTGGAAAACTTTTTAGGCTTTAGTTAACTTGACGGCAATGTCTAGCTTTCGGCAATTCTCTATGAAGCCTTCATCAGGAGCTGAAAACACAATTATGATGCTATCAACCAATACGGGAAAGATTTACATCGTCAAACAACTTACTCGTCGTTGAGGTTACAGACAAATGGTGTTTCAAAACGAACGCGGGGATGAGAGGACTTGTTACAAATATAAAACCATATATATATATATGTAACAAAAGGTAGGAAAATAATGGGCAAAATCCGCAAAAAGGAGGAAAGTGGATTCGAGCAGAAAATAGGATAGGTAACCCGAGCGATACGTATTTCTGCTGGTTGGCTTCATCAGGCCCGAAATGAATGCACATATGAAACTACAAAACTAAATATGCCCACACATCCGGATACGGGTGTAACCTGAGGAAACGAAGATGGAGAGAGAAAAAAAAAGTCCACAACAAGAGCCAACCTGTTGTGGACTTCGTGTGTCGTTTTTTTTTCTCTCTCCATCTTCGTTTACTCAGGTTACACCCGTATCCGGATGTGTGGGCATGTGTATCTACTTTTGTAGTTTCATATGTGCATTCATTTCGGGCCTGATGAAGCCAACCAGCAGAAATACGTATCGCTCGGGTTACCTATCCTATTTTCTGCTTGAATCCATTTTCCTCCTTTTTGCGGATTTTGCCCATTATTTTCCTACTTTTTGTTATATACCTTTCTCCGCATGATCATTTTCTCTTTATGTATATATATTTATAGTATACTTGATTCAATTATTATTTTGTCGCAGGACCAAAACAATGCTATGTACTTTGATCTTCCAAACCTTATCTGGATACAACTGGAATGAACCTACATACGATACAATCATCAAAGTTGTAGAAAAGAATAACCTGTGGGCCAATTATTGCATATCAAGGGCAGCCGTCAGATACGGCCATCATAAAATCGCTCATCATATCTTCTCGAACCTGACAGAGCAAGTCAGCTTGGAGCATTTTCATTTTTGGTTGATGTGTCTGAAAGAGATGTCCGAGGCTGAAATGCTCTTGTGCGAAAACGGTATGTACTTCTGTAAAATTTCTCTGTGATTGCAACTTTGATCCATCGCGTTTCCTACATTTCTTTATGACCGAACAAGAATTCTACTGAGATTTAACAGTTTTTGTAGCATAGAGAATAATATGGAAATACTCTTGTTTTGATGACTTTTGGATAGCAAAATTTGCTGATAATGCTAAAAGTCTTTTAAACCTCGTGCTGTTTATAAATAAAGTATTTTTTGAATTCTCGACATCCTTGTATAATTATTTTTGTTTGCAATTATACAATCATAAATTAATAAAATTTGTAGTAATGGGAATTAAAAGATCATCAGATGTGTAGATTTTCCGAACTTTTTTAAAGCCTATTTGAAAGTACGCGACTTGGATTTTTTTTATATTTATCTGATAACTATTATGCTATGCCTATGCCCCGTTTCCGGCTTCACATCGACTTCTGGGTCACCGTGTATATAGACGATTTTAGTAAAATCCTCTATACTTTTTAGACGAAACGTTGGTAAACAGGCTGGACAAAGCAATCATACACTATAACAAAGCTGCGGCAGCGTTAAAAGCTGCAAGTACTCCTCAGCATAACTTAACTTTTCAAGCTGAATACATGAAGATTCGCACTGAATTCTTGCAGTGTCTGTTGCAATTGATATACACTTGCAATATACTTTGTATTGTACCGCCACCAGCTATTGCATCGACCATTGTGCAAAATACTAGGGACGAGTATCAAAGACATGGGTAAGTCTAATATAGTAGTAGTAGTAGTAGTAGAAAGATTTATTTAGCACATTTGGCTACATAAACAGAATAATTGTAAACAACTTAGAACTAGTAAATTCAAGCCATATGGTGTATGATGTAAATGCTGGGCAACCTATAATTGTAGATTTAACAAGTAATTTCTCAATTTTACTTTAAATTTTGTCAAAGTTTTCTGGTCTTTTATCTCCGAGTATAATTTATTATATTCAATCAACCCGTGATGGAATACAGATTTGTAGCATATATTATACTTTTTGCTCGTTAAATGGAAGTCATCTTTATTTCTGGTATTATGTAAATGATGGTCGATATTTGATGATGTTAAATTAGTTAGACTTGATGGAAATATATTATTTTTTACTTTATAAATGAATGTCATTACAAGATATTTGATAAATTTTTTTACATTGAGCCATTTTAATTTGCTAAGCATTTGCCTAATTGGAGTATATTTATCTTTATTTAGTATTATTCTCATGCACTTATTTTGTAAAATTTGCAGTCTTTCAAAAATGGAATTATTTGCTAAATATAGAATAGTCGAACAGTACAAGAAATTTGGAAGAATGATGGTATTATAGATAATTTTTCTGCTATATGAACTCAGACATCCAGAAACTCTCGATAAATATCACACTTTACTACTAATCTTATTTATAACTTTTTCATAATGAATATAAAAAATTAATTGAGAGTCTACAAAAACCCCCAGGTATTTAAAATTTTCTACGAATTCAATATCTTCACCATCAATATTCAGTTGAACATTTGTACATTGTTTTTTTCCGATTAACAAGGCTTTCGTTTTGCTTGCATTTAATTTTAGTCTGTTAGATGCTAACCATTTTGAGACAAGCTTCAAGTCTTCATTTATATAAGAGATACCAGACTGAATATTTTTAGTACTTATATAAATCATAGTGTCATCGGCGAAAATCTGAATTTTGCATTTTTTGACTATGGCATTTATGTATAAAATAAAAAGAAGTGGTCCCAGGATACTGCCCTGTAGAACACCCAACGTATTTTCAATTTTTGATGAAATTGTGTCATTAACTTTTGTAACTTGCATCCTTTTAGACAAATAATTTCTAAACCAATCTGAAACACTTCCTGTTATACCATATGCCTTCAATTTACCTAACAAAATATCTCTATCAATCGTTTCAAATGCCCTCTTCAAATCCAAAAATACTGCTATGATAACTTCTTCTGAGTCTATGGCTCTTCTCCAATTCTCAGTTACCAACTGGAAAGCTGTTTCTGTGGAATATTTTTTTCGAAAGCCTGCTTGCGCCTCCACTAAAATTTTGTTTTCTTCTATAAACTGCATTAATTGGTCATGCACTATGGACTCTAATAATTTTTCAATATCTGGTAACACATTTACTGGTCTCATATCGCTGCATCTTTTAGAATTTTTTATTTTGGGAACTGGTGTTATTGTAGAGCATTTCAAATTTTCAAGAAAAGAACTGCTTCTCAGTGAACAATTGATCCAGGATATCCCAAAATTTCGAAACAGTTTTTCAGCACGTTTTTAGTAGTGATTTCGGCACAGTTGTTATTTGATTTTAAACTGTTTACTTTTTTCTTAGATAATTCAATGATACGCTGTGAAATTTTGAAAGTGTATGCTACATTTCCTCCTGGAAACTGATTTTCATATAGTCAGGTGCAGCATTGGCAGTACCCACAATATCAACAATACTTTCCACAAAATATTCATTTAGTTTGTTTGCAATCACCAAAGAATTTGTTTCGGTACCGTTTTCGAATTGAACTTGATTTACACAATCATGCGGCTTCGAATTGATCAGTCTTTTTAAAGTCTTCCACATCTTTACACTGTCGCACTTGTTATTATCGATTTGTTTATCGTAGAATTTCCTTTTTTCTTTTCTAATTACATATACACATTTATTCCTAAGAGTTTTATATACCTTCCAATCATCATTTGATTTTGTGAATATACATTTATTGTATTGTTTGTCTCTCAAATTTTGAGCTGCCTTAATATTCTTGTTATACCAGGGTGTATTTTTTGTCGAGCAAATAACTTTTTTATCAGTTGCAAGATCTAAACAAGTTTTTATATTTCCTATTATGTTGTCATATATTTTTTCCATATTCTCACCAAAATTCCAATAGCAGCAGCAAGTTCTCGTTCAAGTTTTTCGTACTTAATAGTATTTACGATTTTCTTAATTTTTGTATCAGAAAAATGCCCTACCAAGGGCAGCATTGTCCAACTGTGATCGATAACTTTAGGTGTGACTTCGTAAATACTAATAAAGAATGTTTCGTTTATATAAAATAAGCTGTGAAGTAAGATATAATAGGAAAATATGAATTATAGAATTATTTGTTAGGTATATCACAAATCAGTTCAGAAAATGTGCGAAAGAGTTCAAGAATTGCGGCGAGTTGCATTGGAAGTTATACCAGACAGCTTTTGACGCTGATCCAGCTACTTTGGAAAATATGCAAATGTAAGTCAACTTTTTTTGTTGGATTTACAAAATCCATAAAACTGCAATTTTGACCCTTGTGAATAATGTATAAAAATATTGGAGGGTTAGGTAATCAGGAATCAAATTAACCTTGATTTGATACTATCATGTTACATTGATATTTTGTAAATTTAAATGTTTTCAATTTATTGTATTAAATAAAATACAGGGTGAGTTTTTAGTATGGGCTGGTCGATAACTCTGCGCTATTATGCATATCTAAAAAAAGTTGAATACAAAAATTGTAGCTAACAGTATGCTCTTAATTTGAATACTATTTGTATCATTACAGGATGATTTAGAACTACGTGGTGACAGCAACTTTCATTTTCCTAAACAGAAAGCCCTACAACGTATACAGATTTGGCAAGCCCTTTCAAACGACGGCGACGCCGAAAAATTCAGTAATCTAATGACCAATAGCGAGTTACCAAAATTAAGCGTGTTTTTTTTCGATAAATTGTGCAATATTTCAACAATTTGAAAATGAAACTCTGTAGTATGTTATATCAAATTGCTTCATTTGAAAGGACTTATCCAACAAGATGTGAATTTTTTCCACTTTAAAGTATGTATGTTTGAGTATCCGGGTAGTTATGAATCATCCTGTAGATATGAAAATATTTTCAAAGTAAGGAGCATAATGTGCCTAACTAATTTTGTAGATACTTTGTTGCTGCAATAATTTAACTAGCTTTGAATTATACAGGGTGTTCCTTATTGATATGCTAATATTTATGGGTGTGAATCTACGCGAAAAATTAATGTTAGTTTGCTTTATCAACTATGGCCCAAAAATGTTTCCTCACAAAAACTCGGGGTGTTGAAGTCTTAGGAAAAAAATGGAAATTAATTTTTTCAGAACCGCATATTTTTCAATGCAAAAATAATTTTTAGCTTTAACAGTGGCGTGCGTAAGGGTACTGACTTCAATATTTAAAAAAAAATGGTACGCCACTTTTCATTATTCAGTTTTTACAATCCTGTTAATAATGGTGAATTATTCAAATGCAGGAATGGCGGAAATGCATTACGTATATGGCCTTGCCGACGGTAATGGTGAGCAAGCCAGACGGATTTATCACCAGAGATATCCCGATCGTACTTTGCAAGATAGTCAAACCTTTTCTAATATTCATCGTCGTCTTGTTAAAACTGGTTCTGTCCGAAAAGGAACATCTGAAGGTAGACCTCTTAAGTGTGAGAACACCTAAAATTGAGGAAGCAGTGCTGCACGAAGTCAAAGAACATCCTGAAACAAGTGCGAAGAAGATCGCTAGACACTTAAATATTTGCCATCAAATTGTTTGGAGAATTTTAGTGGATTTTTTGTCCTTACCATGTTTTAAGAGTACAGGCATTACTTCCCATTGATTTTCCAAGGCGTGTGACCTTTTGTCAGTGGTATCTTCAAAAAATTACACAAAATCTGCAATTTGAATCAATGATTCTGTTCACTGACGAAGCTAATTTTTCTCGAAATGCCATTCAGAATTTCCACAATAATCATTTGTGGCCAGAAGAAAATTCCTATGCCGTAACCGAAACCCATTTCCAACACCAACTTTCGATTAAAAAGTATGGGCAGGAATTATTGGCAACAACTTTATTTGCCCATTCTTCTTGCCGGGATGACTTGACGGACACACTTACCTCAATTTTCTTCAACAACAGTTGCCTTTGCTGCTTGATGATGTTCCGTTAGTAATAAGAAACAATATGTGGTACATGCATGATGGTGTACCAGCGCATTTCAGTGTAACGGTTCGTAATTATTTACAAACTGTTTATCCAAAACGTTGGATTGGCCGCGGTGGGCCCCAAGAATGGCCACCAAGGTCCCCAGACCTCATTAGCTTAGATTTCTTTTGTGTGACTATCTTAAGACACTAGTGTACACAAGTCCCATTAACACTGTAGAGGAATTAAGAGAAAGAATAGTTGCAGCTTGTGATATAATAAAAAATATTCCAGGGATATTTCAACGAGTGCGCGATTCCATGAGAAGGAGGGCGGAAGCATGCATACTAAGTGAAGGGGTCCATTTTCAACAATTTTTGTAATCATTTCGTTGGTTATGTTTATGATGGCGCATCGAAGGAAAACAATTCAAGAGAGATCATTGGTTTTAAATTGAACGAGAAATTCAAAAATAATTTTTATTTCACAAAAAACTATTGGCGTACCATTTTTTTCTTAAAAAATATCGAAGTCAATATGCAACTGTATTAACTTTCACTACGTACTAAATATCAGTGTAATATCTGAAGCGGTTCTGAAAATATTAATTAATTTCCATTTTTTTCCTAAAACTTCAACACCCCGAGTTTTTGTAAGGAAACATTTTTGGACCATGGTTTACGAAGCAAACTAACATTAATGTTTCATGTAGATTCACACCCTTAAATATTCGCATATCATTCAGGAACACCCTGTATACCAGATATAAATTATTAAAACTGCGTATTCTAAAAAGATAGTTTTAATCAAAAGTTGTAGGGTTTTCAGGTGGCAAAATGAAAAATGATGGTGACCTTGACAATGATCATGTGAATATTTTCACATGGAATTGGAAAGGGGAGGAAATCTTATGTCCGAATATCACCTTGGCCATCCCCTTAATTATGGTAAAATCAAGACAGCAAAAACAATTTACTGTAGCAAAAATGTTTGACAGCACAGTTGCGAGATGTGTGGGGATCACCCAAAGGTGACCTTGATGATAACCTTAACCATGATCTTCAAGGTCCAGTCAAAATTTCCAAAGGAAATGGTAAGGCAGGAAATTTTACGTCAGAAACCTCACAACAATGCCGTGGAACATTTTTGCTCTTAAGTAATTCCTGAATTGACCTTGAAGAAAATAGTCAAGGTCATGGTGAAGATCGCATTCAAACGTGAAATTTCCTCCTCTTTTCAATTCCGATGTAAAAAAGGCGTTTCAATTTGATAATGTTCACTATTGAAAACGAAAATTGATTGTTTAGACATTTTTCAATCGTAATCAGTTTGGTTTTTTTTTTCAGATTGCAACAGATGTGCGTAATGTTGGAACAATACGTAGATAGCATCTGCGTTAGCGGATCGGCTGTAAAAGATGATCCGATCGAATTTGGTTCGAAGAATGTTAGATTAGAACTGCAACAACTAGTCAAGGCGTGTGAACACGCTGTAAAGATTGCGCAGAATTTGAATAACGAGGAACCTGTTAGCACCTGCACAATCACGCATAGGGTAAGATTGTTACTTAACGACAGATCAAAGATCCTTCTTCAGATTTTGTTGAATTTTGGCAGTATTATTTATTAAGACACAATTTATATGCACCCATGTTTTGGGGTTTAGCGGCAGATTAGCACTGTGGTAAACTGACGATTATTATTATTATAAACGAGGAGCATAATATTGACAATCAGTTTAAAAGAATACTCGTATTTGACGAAAACATTTTTTTTTCAGCAAGTGGAGGTTCTGAAAGTTATCGTTGATCTTATCACAAAAGCATCGTTGCCAGTTCCTAGATACTTCTTCCAAGTATTGCAATCAACAAGTGTGAAACTAGCAATATCTCCGCAACCAAGAGTATTAGGAGAATTCATAAGTGTACAAGCAGGATCTCAGTTAGCTGTTAAGGTAACAATAAACTCATTTCGAAAAGACTGAATATCTTGAACACCGTTTGGATTTTCAGGTTGAAGGTGTAGTCCAACACGGTACGCAACCAGGTCTGTTTAGGAAAATTAAAGAAGTTGTTGTCACGGTAACATCTCAACTTCAAAATAGTCAGAAGAACAAAGAGATTTTGGATCCGAAGGTAAGCTAAACAACTACAATTGGCAAGCATTAACCTAAGTTCTTATGGAGCAAAAAGACGATATCTTTCGTGACTCTTGCCTTGAGTGAAGAAATGAAAGTTAACCAGCGACGGTTCACACGATCACGATTCAGTTTATTCCATGAATCCGACCACGAAGGAGCTTCTGATTGATAGTTGTGCTTTTTTGAGTTCAGATTTTAGTGGTATGTTTGCGAGAAGATTGAGAGGTACGCGGACGCTTGAAAAATAAAAGAAAAAGCTTTATTGGACGCAAGCAATTTCTCGAATGCGGGGATCGCGCTTTATCTACAAAATGATTGAAATACCAAATACGTAACTTTCACCCGAATTGAGAAACTAGAGATACTAGAATAAAAAAAACCGACTAGACAATATTGCCATATATGCCATTTTTCCAGAATTGAGACACAGTATATGTTACATTAGAATAAAAAAGACCATACAGGATATTAAGCCAATCGTTACAATTGTTTAAGAACTTTCAAAATAGGCTCCTTCTGCGTCGATGCAGCGCTGCCAGCGCGATTTCCAAGCATTGAACGCGTCACGGAAGGCATTCTCCGGAATAGCCTTGAGAGCTGCGGTGTATGCTGCTTGGATCCCCTCTGTCGTCTCAAAATGCTTGCCTTTCATCGGCCTTTTCAGGCGAGGAAACAAAAAAAAGTCCGGGGGGCCACATCTGGGCTGTAGGGCGGCTGCGGAAGCGTTGGGATGCCGGCCTTGGTCAGGTAGCTATTCACAAGAAAGGCGGTGTGAGCCGGGGCGTTGTCGTGGTGCAACTTCCAGTTCCAGGTTTGTCCAGGAGGAACAAATTCATGGTGGACGATGCCTTTGATGTCAAAAAAGACAATGAGCATCGTTTTCACTTTGGATGTGCTCATTCTTCCCTTTTTTGGGCGAGGAGACGCCGTCATGTGTCACTCGGAAGATTGCCTCTTTGTCTCGGGATCATACTCAAAGATCCACGGCTTGTCACCTGTGATTACGTTATTCAAAAATTGGGGGTCATTTTCACACATGTTCAAATTTTCTTGGCACACTTCCACTCGCCGCAATTTCTGGTCGTCAGTGAGCACTTTTGGGACCATCTTCGCGCACACCTTGCGCATGTTCAAATGCTGCGTCACAATGTCATGAACCACAGATTTTGGTAAATTTAACATCTGGGCGGTCTGAGTTCTCTTCCCGGCCCTCCAAAAAGGCCTGGTGCCACCGAAACACACCACTTCTTGCTAAAGCAACACCTGGGTAAGCCTGCTTGATCATATCAAACGTCTCTGTCGCAGATTTACCGAGTTTCACACAGAATTGAATCGCGTACCTCTGCTCTACTGAACGCTGCATTTTCGGCTTGCACCAGTCACAGAAACACGTCGCGCGAAAATGCCTGTCCTGACTCTCCAAGTGCTCGGAGACAACTGACCAGCCGCTCATTCGTCAGCTAGGAACGCCCTCTACCGAATCCGGTCGGTGCGCGCATGCTCCGAAGTACAGTCATGGCGGAAGAAAATGAGTCCTATTACTTTCCGGACAAATACTGTATTGTGTTGTCGTTAGTATGAGTTGTGTTTTATTACATGCGCACAACGGTCATTCCCTTCTGGGGGTTTTTCATTTATTTGTATGGATATAAATTTCTTGAGTATAATGTATATTTTAACACAAATAAATATCATTATTATACCGTTTCATACTGGGATCGTGCATTTCTATACCAGTATGTAACGCGCGTTCCGACTACAATTTTTGTTTGTTTTTACGGAATATATGAGCTTTGAACATGGTATAGACATACCTTTACTTCGCCACCAGCGAGGAAGTATTGTTATGGTGAAAAATTTCGAAAGTGAGATGCGTTTTTTGGATGTCATATGACATTTACACCACGAAAATTATCATCATTCATTTCTTGCGGTCCTTGGCCCGTCTATAACTTGGAAAGTACTGCTTGGAAATGGACGGAATTTTCTCAAAAGGTTTATAGTTTTTGATAATCTATCCTGTGGCGGCAATGCTAAGGGCAAAAATTTAAAAAAAATAATCGTTCAAACTCCATTATTTGAGAGGCTCCTGATCATAGTCACAAAAAAATTGGAAAGGTTGAGAATTGGGGGTTAAAGGCAAGGTACGTATCAATTTTCTTGGTGAGGTATGGGGGGAGGGGGATGTTGTCAGGTGGACGGCACTATCGGCAGGGTTTGGAAAAGATGTTCGATGGACTAATTATATGGACCTGTTTGACTGACTTGATATGTTTATTTTCTGTTTAACATGTTCGTAGCTAACTTTTTTTTGAGGGTCTAGCTTGTACCGAGCATTATCCTTTATGAACTGATGACAGCTTTTTGTGGGAAGTGCAGACCAACCTACTGGACGTCTTTTTTTTTTGTAAAGCATGAATTTATATATGTATTTACTGAAACATAACATCTAGAATCACATGAATTTGCTAGATGATGAGAAGTCGCAGTAGATGATCTATAACAATGCGAGAGTTCCCGAGTTCCGTAATAAGCACACGTTTTTTTTTCAGCTTTTGGAGCAAGTGTCTGTTCTCTCCCAAACTGTAACTCCTCACAATGACTTCTTCGCAGCACAGTTTCTGTTGGCATTTCCAAGAGGTGGTCAGTACCTGCTTGTGGTGGAAGCGTCAGTGATAGACGAGAATAGCAACGCATGGAAAACGGGACCTAGATCTACGTTGACCGTCAAAGTGCCTGAAGAGACAAAGTTGACGCCTATCGCTGTACCTGGGATGGCAAACAATGCTAATGTGTAAGAACTAGAACTACTTTGCAACATGAGAAGGCTTTTCCCAGTTCTGTTAACCTTAGGCAGTTCAAAAATCGGATTAACAAAGTTTCTTTTGGATCATCATAGTAGTCGCGGTGCCCTGGCATTTAGGCTTCTGCCTGCGCGGCTGCTTTGGTGTAAAAAATGTTCACTCCCTCTAAGAGCTTACTATAAATTTTTGGAACTTTCTTCTAAGACGCCGCCGCGCATTAGATCTGCAAGACAGACCCGTCATGCTTCTGTAGCCCATCCCAACGTCGAGAACTGACCGGTCTGACCGCTCCTTATTCCTAAAGTATTGAGACTCAGAAACAATCTACCCAAGGATGTTTTTCTAATGCTAATAAATTTAGGCAGCTGAAAAATTTGATCTAATTAAAGTTTTCATTTTTATCATCGACCATATTTTTATTTTTTTTTCAGAATTCTTATGCCAGAAGATAGCCTGTTCACAAGAGGTCACCTTAAAAAGGATGTGAATAAAACACAGCATTAGTAGTATGTTTTAATTTTAAAAATAAACGTTTTTTTTCATATATTCTTTTATCATTAAACAAATATAACGGATATTACATATATGCATATAAAAATATATGATGACGTACTGATATCTAATATACAGATAACAACTAACAAAATAACACTAAAATACAACTCATCCCCCAAAAAAAGATTATTATCTATAAAATACTCTTTTTACTTTAGAATTCAATATGAATGCAAATAATAGCTGCAACATTTCTATCACAAATTGAAATCACCTTAAGATATTTCATGACTTTATGATCAATCACTTTACCAAATCACACACCGCACCATATGGGAAGATAGCACCAAGCCACTGTTGGCATTTTTATACTCTATATGATACTCCAGCTGTGTAGTTCTCGTGTTAACATACTGTATATATATATATATATGTACCATTGTTACAACCAAATATATTACTGCACTGACATGGATTATTTCAGATGATAATCATATGTATAAAAGTTACAGATGATAAAAAAAACCTAACTGACACGATGTGAGACAATAAAATAGAGCAAGAGAGTTACCTAATTCTGTTTCTAGTAATCATATAAAAATACGGTTTTAAGTTGATACAAGTCTCGCATCTTTCACGTCTGGATATGTTTATTTTAACTTGCGATTCGACTAAAGCAGCAGACTTTGGTCGAACTGAGAATGGCAACGATATTAGATACGAATATATTCATATAATGACGCCGACTAATCAACAGTTTCGTCGAGCGACCAGCTATAAGGGCCTATGCGCTCTTAAAGTTGGGCACCTATCACCTATCTGTTGCGTCATCATCCCCAACAAAGAGTCCGTCCATAACACTCGAGAAAACGGCCTAGGAAGACACGTCCAGCACGCCCTTTGCGACGCGTGCACACTGTCGTAAAAATGGGGTAAAATTTAAGGAGGACGTAGCTCGTCATCACACACTCGGGGAAAGTGCAGTAGCCTGTATCCACGCAGCGCAATACCCGGCCTACCGGGAGGAAGTGCAGTTGCCAGAATAGACAGCGCTATGTTGTTATATTGGTAGGGGAAGAGAGGCCGAGCTCCCTCCCTCCCTCTAGTCGTAACACTTCTAATGTCACTGAGTATATCTTGCCTTAAAATTCACAGAAAAGTAATTATAGACGGATAACTTGATGTGGGACTTGCGTTTTTATAGAAGTATATGAAATGTTCACAGATTCAAGGCGTCATCGTGGCACAACTTTCTGCATCAGTTTCTGAGAGCGGTGATTGAAAATTGAACAGCGGTAAGTGAGGGGGGGGGCAACGGCTGCATTAGTGCTCTTTTCCCTCATAAAGCATTGATAGCAGTTATTGACCCTCCATTGTTCTAGGAGGTTTAAAAAATTGAAGAATATCCACCGTCTCTTTTTTTAAATACTGTGTGCGAGATTGAAATAATCAAAATAGACTGACGTGAAGTCAACTCAAAAACACAATTTCAATTATCTTATTAGGTCATTTTTTCCGATCATCCTAAGCACTTCAACGACTCTCACATACTGTGTTAGGTATAATTTATTTCCTTTTTGTATAGTTTCAGGTTGGAAATTTAAATAATGTTTTATGGATCCAAATCCCGTACACATTTATTTTATTGTTCAAGTTCCATTTTTAATATGAACCACAACCTTTTTTAGTGGTTTCATTTTGACTAAATTTAATCTCCACAAAACCATGCTTAAAATTTTTAATAAAACGTCTAGTTGCTAAGAATTGACAGGTCCCGAGTCCCGAACAATTACGTGCACTAGGCGGCGTTGTCATCGCAAACACACAAAATCATATACCGAACATTTTTTAGAGTATAACCTGTGACTTTGTAGTTTTAGATTTCTCATACCGGCCCCACAAAAGGCAGCCACTGATTCCTCGTAGGCTTCCTGTTAAAATCTCTGACATGAATCTCTTCAGGCGCATGGTAATCCCCACTCTTCCCCCCGCTCTTGCTCAACAGCTTTACCTCTTTTATTACAATCCCCTTGCTCACAGCCTTACACATATCATAAACTGTCAACGCTGCAGTACTAGCAGCGACTAGTGCTTCCATTTCAACACCGGTCTTGCCGTCACATCTTACACTTGAAGTTATGTGCACCTCGCAGGTCTCTTCCTTGAGTTTCGCTTTGACCTGGACATGCGACAGTGGTATGTTGTGGCATAAAGGTACAATGCTTGATGTGTTTTTTGCGCTCATGATCCCTGCTATCTCTGCTATTGTCAGAACATCACCTTTTTTGATGAGGTTCTCGCGAATGAGAAGCGTTATTTCAGAATTAAGTTGCACGGTAGCGGTGGCGACAGCTATTCGGGTAGTTTCAGGTTTCTCGCCCGTATCTACCATAGCGACTTTGCCTTGGTCATCAGTATGCGTCAGTTTTGTGCAGTACATTCTTTGTGTATATTGGAATGGTTTCTGCGAGTATAGATGGCTCAGAATTGAGTTGTGATAGGTAAGATTTGGCATAAACGGTGTTTTCCTCGTCTCTGAAAGAAAAGAGAAGACTAAATAGCTTTGGTGATGTCAAGCTTGGAATTATCAAGCACTGATTAACATTTTCCAAAAAGATGCAAAAACCTATGCGGTATTGGGACAGAGCTGTACTTGGAATTTCTTTTTGATGAATGGTGAGTACTTTTTCATTCATTTATTTTTACTTTTTCGCTGTTGTTTCACCGCACATTAGCTTTGTTATTACAAACGTAGTTGTTTATGAAAAGGACACGCTGTATAATAGAAACATATCAAAACACCGGATTTACGATTAAAAACCATGTGATTATATACAGTAATGGACAAAAGTATGTAGACAAATATGAATATTTGCCTAAATACCTTTAGAAAACGAATTCATACTACATTGCTCCATAAACAAATGCGTTATTAGTAGAAAAACTAAATTCCTTGTTTTTACATTATCTGCAATGAACGCAATACAAGTCTGAATATAAGCACTTTTTTATGAGGGACAAAAATCTGTAGACAAATTCTATTCAACATTAGTTTAGCACAGTTTCGTGTCAGAAGAGGATTGGTTTGTGTTCATCAAGTATTGTGGAATAAGTTGAGTGATTTTAAGACCATGCCGCGTGGTCCAGAAATTTCTTTCGATGTGAAAACTAGGATCATTGAGTTATACAAAGTTGGTCAATGTCAAGTCCACATTGCCAAAAATTTGAGGCTGAAGCGAGCAGTTTGGGCAATATTGAACAAATATAAACAAAAAGGTATCTTGGAAGCCTCTAAGAGAAGTGGTCGGCCTAGAAAACTAAATGCTAGATCAGTTAGATTAATAAAAGTAATTTGGTCCAAAGATCCGTGTAAAACCCCAAGACAAATAAAAGCCGAAATCGAGACAAAAGGAATTGTCAGTGTTTCTACGAAAACTATAAATAGAAGATTAAATGATTTGAAGTTATTTGCACGTCGCCTGAGTAAGAAGGCGCTAATCTCGAGGAAAAATCGTAAGGACCGATTACAATTTGCACGGTTGCATCTTGATTGGAGCATCTGTGACTGAAAGAAGGTATGTTTCACTGACGAATCCAAGTTCAATATGTTTGGATCAGATGGTAGTGGACAAAGATTGAACCCCAAGTACACTTTGACCACTGTCAAACATGGAGGCGGGTCTGTTATGGTTTGGGGTGCTTTTCGGGGTTTGGGATGGGACCTTTACATAGAATAGATGACATTATGGATAAGTTTGTATACACAGACATATTAAAGCATGGCATGTTACCCTATATGGAAGACAATATGCCCTTAAGATCAATCTTCCAGCAAGATAATAACCCGAGGCACACTTCAAATCTCGCAAAGAAATTCTTTCTGGATGAAAAAATACCAGTTCTCAAATGGCGTTCATGGTCTCCCGATATAAACTCCATTGAAAATCTACGGGAATACTTAGATAAGCAAATACGAGATAAAAATTATTCAAACAAGGATGAAATTTTTGCCGCTTTAGAGCAAAAGTGGAGACAGATTGATGAATTTTATATCAAGAAACTTCTACAATCTATGCCGAGACGATGCCAGGCGGTGATTGATAATAATGGTTATACTACAAAATATTAACACAAAATGGTTGGTTTTATATAATTCAATGAACTTTGCTTCTTTATAAATGTTTTCTTTGTCTATATATTTTTTCCTTCATAGTTCCAGTTTTTTCAGTTAATTTTTTATTGAAGGGAGTCTAATGAATTTATTTATGTATAAGTGAGTATTATGCTATAACGAATTATGTATACAGGTTGGTGTATTAATAAAACAAGTTAAAAAAGAAATACAGCACAATATTAATTTGTCTATATACTTTTGTCCATTACTGTAGATTTCAACAATTTAACAAATAAAAATGAATTATATAAAAATGTGTCTCAGTAGATAACAAACACCCCAGCTATGAAAAACATGTTGTTATCCCTTGGGATGTGTTTTGTATCTCGTGCGGCTTTTATATAGTTTTATACATTTGTTGTTTTTTAAATCCAGTTTTTTATATGTTTCTATACGATGTTCCGTTTTTAATTCTTTGAAATGTTAAAAACTCTAAAATCATACGGTATCTATTTAATATAATAATAAAATAATCCGGCTTTATTTATACAAAGTATAAAAAGGCGAAGTCTCGCAAAAAAGCGTTTTTTCAACATACACTTACACTTCTTCCACATATATCCCAACAAACTGAACAAATCAAACGTACATATCAAGAACTAATTTGTTTTGTATCACAAAACCAGAATATCATAAAATAATAATATAGTTTTACGTACCTATCACGTTGAATTGTTTTGGCAAATTCACGTAATGACATCTGCAATTTTTGTTTTGGGACGACGTGATTCTAGGTGCTCACTTGACTCAAAACCACAATGAAATTAGTGGTAGTGTTGAAGTAGGTGATCAAAAAGGTGTCACGTTATTAAAGTTCAACAGTTTTGATGGGATATTTCATAGTGGAATATGTTAATCAATGCATTAAGTAGATCTAACCGTCAGTGGTTATGAGTGTTGTTCAGAAATTTTCAATCAATTCTAAAATTTTTCGGTCTTATGTGGTCGCAAATAAAGGACTGTCGGATGGAATGGTAATATTCAAATATGCGTTATACACAAAGCTGAACATTAAATGATAACATGTAAAGAGTCAAAACAATACATAAAGCAGAAAGTGTGCTGTATAGCTCTAAAGTGAATAGTTACTCTACCTTTTAAGCAAAATATTTTGATATATTTAGCCCCCTATAAGTATCATTGGTCGATTAGCCATTTGAGAAATATTCAGCATGCCTGAAAAATATTTTATTAAGACACTAAAGCTAACTGTTATTACAAATAGCAAATGCATTAGTCACACGACATTTTTCAAGCTGTGTTAATGGAACAAGGTACGAACAAGTACAAGTAACTGTTGGAGGACATGTTAAAGAAACAGTATGCTATATACATTTAAGATTTTTCATAATATCTATTCAGTCTGTCAATAAGACGTGTGGGAAAACACTATTTTTTTATCATATGAGATTGTCCACAATAAGTACTAAGTACATTTATAGCTTTTTTACTTCAAGTGGTTTCTTCCATATTAGTTGGCAACAAAAAATAATTGGCTGTTCATTCTGTTGTTTTAAAATTTAAAAAAAGCAATCAACTTTCGACTTCTTAAGCACTGTTGCTAACATTCCCAGAAGCAATGTTTTTCAGCAACCGAAAGCCTGAACAAAACGGCCACTACAGCTGCTACTGTTTGTAAGCTGTATAATTCATTTTTACAGATCTTCCGTGCTAATCATTTACGGTTTGGGACGACACTTATGTTAGAAAAACTTAGAACAGTGCTACTCGCCGTCGTTACCAGATAATGCTGGGATTACTTGTGCACTCTTTCTCACATACGTGTTGAATGCTTCTCTCTCTCTCTTATTGAAACCCGGCCGACCTCACCGTAAATGATTCGCACTGTCTGTGATTATTATTCAAAAAATATCTGATTCCTATACACCTCAGACAAATATTTTGCAGGCAATAACATCAGAGGCAAGTAAGCAAACACTCGTGCAAATTAAATAACGCGGCATTTTCTTTATTAAAGAAAAAATCAGAGCACTGTTGTAATGCACTGTTGCCACGTGCTCCGGTTTTCCCTAAAAGGAAATGCCCTGATATATAATTTGTATGTGTGTGTACAAATATTCTCATACCTGCATGCTGTTTTTTCTTTCTCTTGACCGCTGCACTGATCAGAGCTGTTAGATCATCATCTGAGCATTTGCTCCTGATAGCGTCTCTGAGGGATATCTCAGTGTTACCAAACAAGCAAACTTTCAAATTTCCATCAGCTGTGATCCTTACTCTATTGCACGTACCACAAAAGTGCTCACTCATTGATGTAATGAAGCCAACCTGTCCTTTGTAACCTGGTACCTTCCAAGCCTTAAAAATAATAATAATAATTAAAGTTGAATATCCTAATTTAATTTTTACTGGACTGTCATGAGAAGAACAAACCTTTGAAGTATATCCTAATTTAATTTTTACTGGACTGTCATGAGAATAATGAGAAGAACAAACCTTTGAAGTATCATTTGGAGCATTTTTCAAAGGTTGAAAGTCTGGCCATTCTGCTTGTATCATTCCTAGCATACTTTTATATGGAATGAGTTTGTTAACTTCCCATTTATTTCCAGTGAATGGCATATACTCTATGAACCGTACATCAACACTTCTGTCCTTTGTCAGTCTCACAAAATCAACAATTTCATTTTCATTGAAATCTGAAAATTTGTACAGATTTTTGAGAATGATTTTAGCCCCTAACCAGAAATAATCCGGTATAAAAACCTTGTTGAAGCATTTAAAAAACAATATGCCTATCTTGAAAGAAGGCACTATCAAGCAGTGTTCACTTCTAGCTACTTTTTTGTTAGTGATTCACAGGGTATTTGCCCTCAATCATAGATATCATACATACGAGGTTTATACGGAAAATACGTATAAAAAATTCGGGGCGTCGTGTCAAGGCGTTATGGAGTGGCGGCCCGGTGGTTCCCTCTCCCTATGCAATCCCCTCTATGCTCAGTTCGAGACGGAGCGCTCTGCGCGTAAGTAGGATTTACGTGTGCTTGTTGAAAGTAACCCTAGGCAAGAAGGGTCGTGAGATTTTTGAGTGTTTGGAACAAATTTACGGAGACAATTCTCTGAAGAATCCAACCGTCAACAAGTGGTTGAAAAGGTTTCGGGACGCCCGAATGATGTGCTCTTAAAGACCGTCGATTGAGGATAGAATGATAGCTGAGGAATTGTCAATCCGCAAAACAATTGTCCACAACATTCTGAGAGAAAAACTTGAAATGAAAAGATTGTGCGCGAAAATCTTTCCGAAGCTCTAGACTCCAGAACAGAAAGCAGGGAGGGTTGCTTGTTGTGAGGATTGGTTGGAACCAGAGGAAAGGTGGGACTTTCTCAACCGGGTCAGCACTGGACTGAATCTCAAAGCATGGAGTGGAAGCAAGCAGGGGAACCGAGAACAAAAGAGTCGAAAAAAGCAAGGTCCAATTTGAAAACAATGTTGATTGTTTTCTTTTATTCTCGGGACATTGTTCACCAGGAATTTGTCCCTCCCAGCCAGATAGTGAACGGAAATTTCTACATTGAAGGGGGCAGGTGGATCCTTTATCACGACAACGCGCCCGCTCACACTCTCGTTGTGTGTGAGTGTTTGACCAGAAGCTCAATCACCGTGACAAAACACCCGCCTTATTCACCCGATTTAGCCTCTTGCGACTTCTTCCTGTTCCCAAAATGCAAAATGGTGCTTTGGGGGCGGCACTTGGGGGATGTGGAAGCCATCAATGCAGAAACGACACGGTAAATGAAGAGCCGCACAATTGAAGACTTTCAGCGATCGTATCAACAGTGGAAACGGCGTTGGCAGAAGTGCATCTTGTAGCATTGTGAGTACTTTGAAGGAAACCATCTTGAAATACCTGAATAATTGTAAAATAAAGTTATTATTCCACTTTTATACGTATTTTCCGGACAAACCTCGTACAGATGCAACAATGACTGTTGGTCCCTTTGGTATGTTGATGTCACCAATTATTTGACAACTATCCTACCAAATACTATAGACATGCATCAATTCTTGTCATGAGAATCAGTACAAACATCTGAATAAATTCTTTGAAAAGCAAAAAACAGCAGCTCCTACAGATGATAAATGTGGAACATATGAGCCCCACAAACCCTTTGAAAAGGGAAAGAGGTGGCAATTTTTTCCTATGACTACTAAATGTTGAAAAACCAACCAGAAGTATGAAAAATCTGTGCTCTTCCATATTAATTACAATGATATCAACTGATTCCTCATGTTCTCTTGAGAAAAATATATCTGAAAGACGCAACACCTGTTTTTATTGCTTGATATAATCTTTAAATTATTATTATAATGTCTCAGTAACCGAAATCCTACAAATCCAGCATCCTTTTTTTATAGGCTTTTGTCTTCTAATTCTATTCAAACTTATTTTATGGTTTATGCAACACATTACACTGAGCTGTATAGCTGGTTGCCTACCTCAATAAACTAAATTCGGATCTATTTATATTTTGGATGTTGGCCTCCTTTGACTTGGAAAGTGATTACAAATTAGTTAATTAGCATATACCTTTCATAACAACACAGTTAACTTTCACAGGATTATATCCAAGTTGCAAGGCCAAATCTATACCCATCATTACCCTATTCCAGCCTTTTCTTCTTGTAATTTTTTCATACTTCTCAGCAACAAGTGTGTCCAAACTAACATTTACAATGTCCAGACCTGCTTTTTGCAAAGCAACAAGTTGTTTGGTTAATACTAGGCCATTTGTTGTCATTGCCACTGTTTTGAGTCCCTCAATTTGTTTTAAATTATCTAAAAAGATATTATGAATACTTCAAAAAATAGTGTATTTGGTACTTACAAATAATATCTGGTAAATCTTTTCTGACAGTTGGTTCTCCTCCAGTTAGCCTTATTTTGTCAACACCTTCTTTTACAAATAACCTTGCAATTTTAATAACTTCGTCTGTTGTTAAAAGGTGTGGTTTTTCAGTTAACTTAACCCCCTCTTCTGGCATACAATACTGACCTTAAAATTTTTATTAATGAAAATAATATGTATGAATTAATAATAATGTCTTACATCTTAGATTGCACCTTTCAGTTAAAGATATCCTCAAATAATTGTGGTATCTTCCAAATAAATCTGTTAATGTTTCTTTTGTAGACTGAAATGAAGAATAAACATTGAGATAAAATGTATTTGTTAGTCAGTAAACATTTACCAGTACTGGTTTAGGCTGGGTCCCCACAGAAAGGTGTCTCCTGCAGAACTTCCACGCGTTTCTAACCGGCTTATGCATCGTACTAATTACTTAAACTGGTATTATTGATACCAATAAAATGTTAATAGCAATACAAATGAAAATACTTGAACACAATTTATTACATCATATTAATCGCCGGATACGGTCTGTGATAGTGAACAATACGTTTTCACCTCATTACGTCGGTTTACGATGTATGTTTAAAATTAGTTTGACCAGAAATGTGATAAAATCGAGGGTCAAGTTTTTATCTAATTTCTGAATACCAAATTTTAAATTGCAACACTTCACTGAATGAGTTTACTCATCCATGTAATGTTTTATTGTTGAAACTGATAATTTATTATTGTTTCACAAAAGACATGCTACTTGGAATGTCGCTTTCTCTTTAATAAATGCAAAAATTATAAAATTTTCAAAAACATATTAACCAAAAAGGTCAGGTCACGGTCAGGTAACAAATACGCCATCTGTAATCCAGTAGAATAATTAATTTGCAAAGCGATATTGGCAGGTTTTCGTATTTTTCTGTAAATTAAAGAAATTAAATTCTCCCACATACGTCATTGCCAGATTCATAAAATTTTCAGTATAGTTCAGGAAAACAAAATCGTTTGCGATGGTGACAGCACGTCGACTAGTTCGCTATTGGTGTATGAGTGTGACATTTTTATTTTTTGAACGGCAATCGGTTACCAGCGTAATGGATTGTTGTCCTACACTACCGGCGTCTTGTTTAGGTTGCATACTAGCGTATTTACATCGTACTCGTACGTCGTATAACTGTACGCTGGCGCTGTGGACGTGATCGAGGGATATGACCGGCTTTAGTTTGGTTCAGGTTTGATTGAGTTTGCGTAGCCCAATATCTCGGTTCTCTTACGACATATTGGTGTATATGCTATTTTCTCATGATCCACACGTCCGGAAACCCCCAACTTTGCGGACACCCTGTATAATGTCAATAACCAGGTCTACACATTTTTCGGTAAATCTACCGATTTTAGACTTATCCTTCGGAACTACCGATTTTAATGGGAAATCTACCGAAAAATGTCTCAAATTCTTAAGTTTTTTTTTTATACTCCAACTACCACGAAGGCCTAAGGCCTAAGCACCCATTGGGTACCGTGGGGCTATAGGAGGATGCATGGGAAAAGGGGGAACGCCACACGGACTCTGGCGAGGGAACATATGTGCATGCAACATGCACACATTCTGGCTCCGCCTACGAGATCCGCCGTGTGGTACCTCCGCGTTCGACAGTCAGAGACAGTCTACCACCTACGGACAATCACACCATCCATAGCCAAGAGAAGAATTTCTCCTGGGACGGGATTCGAACCCGCACGGCGCACGGCGACTGATCAGGAGACCGAAGAGTCTACTAGTGCGGCCACCGCTGCTGCCTAAATTCTTACAACAAGTAGTAATATTCAAGCTACAAGTTTTTGCTTTTTGGTTTAGCATCTACCCAACAATTTTACAATCTACCGAAACATTTCGTACGAATCTATTGAAAACAGATCGACTGTAACTGGCAACACTGGTTATGAACATATGATTATGACTGATGTCAAAAAAATTTAAAATCCGGCTGATACGGCCTGGATAGATTTTGATGTGATTTTTTAAATACCGTACAATGTGCTTGATCATTTCTTAAAGTGAAATACGGTGAACATTCCTAAACATGATAAACCTAGTTCCAATCAGACAATTATGTTTAAAATTAATACCTACAATTGCTGAAAGGCCACACTTTATGGTCTCTTGTGTTAGGTCTTCACAAAAGAAGACCTTTTCAACCGATTCCAAGAAAGTTGATCTAGAAAAGCGAAGGAAAGAAATTATGTCAAAGGGCCTTCCAAAGCAGAAACCTATTAATGGGGTGAAACAAATAGTTGTGGTTGCTTCAGGCAAAGGTGGTGTAGGGAAAAGCACTACAGCAGGTAATTTTTTACCCAAAAACAGTATTTATTATCACTGCCCCTCTTTCAATCTACAGTAAATTTAGCCACATCTCTAAAACTGAACTATCCAACAAAGAGTATTGGGATACTTGATACTGATGTCTTTGGCCCTACTATACCACTGTTGATGAATCTAGATGACACACCTCTGTTAACAAAGGAAAACCTCATGAAACCCCTCACAAACTATGGCATTCAATGGTAAGCATCACATAATCTGATGTTTCTATGCCTTATTTCTTTATAAAAAGACTTTACAGTATGTCCATGGGGTTTTTGATAGAAAAAGGGTCACCAATTATTTGGAGGGGCCTCATGGTGATGCAGGCTTTGGAGAAACTGATGAGACAAGTAGATTGGGGTGAACTTGATTATCTTATTGTTGATACACCACCTGGTACTGGCGATACTCTATTAAGCATCATACAGAATCTTCCCATAGCAGGTAAATAAAAACATCAAGACTGACTGGCATATACAGGATTGGTCAGAGAATCATTGAGGTACCATATTTAATGTGTATAAGTGAGATATAGAGAGGAAAACATGTAGATTTGACCAAGAGTGTCAATGAAGCATTGGCACATTCTTTGCCGTAGTGTCAAGCATGCTAAAATTGTGTTTATCTCTCTCTATTCCTTTTGTACACATTTAATATTGGAGCTCAATAATCCTCTGTATAAAAATATGTCCTTCGATCATGTTATCTGCAGATTCCTTTTAAGTTACAAGTATATGCAGGCTGTAATGAACTTTTTTTAAGAAAGTTTTCTGCTAAACACGTTTCAACACACTGTATCAGGGAACTGTAGAATAGGAAGGTTCGCCATTTTTTTATTTTCATTCGAATCGAGAGATTTTGTTATTAAAAAACGATAAAAATTGAGCAAAAAAATTGATATTTACGTCTACTAAAAGCATTTCAAAATCAAGGATCGGCGCGAGGCTGGAAGACATACCTGTGCGCGAGACGTCAGTAGCCAGACACACCTCGCTAGCTGGCGCCCCCTGCATTTACCATTCTTACAACAACGCCTCAGTAATCAGTTTGGAGTAGTTAGAGCTGGTACGATAGATTATTGTTCAATTCTGTGAACTTTGACGGTGTTAAATGTCGAACCGAAAGTGGTGTTTTGTACCAAAATGTACAAGTACGTCAAGTACAACACCACAAAAAAAATTTGTGAGTGTTCCAAAAGCTGCCGCACAACGTAAAAAGTGGTTTGTCGCAGCTTGACGGGATGTAAAATCAGTTTCTTCCACGTCGACCATGTACTGCTGCGATCATTTTGACCTGGAAAAATATATGGAAAACTATCTACGAAACGAATGTTCAGCGAAAAAATTGCAAGGCGGAAAGACATCGCCAAATATTTGCAGCCAGCGGTGGCACGCCGGGCGGGACCCTCTACCGAAAAGTCCGAACCTGAAGGCGTGGAAGTTATTTAGGAAGAGCATGATGAACTGCCTGAACCTTTAACAGTAGAAGTTCAGTCACAGATATGTGACAAGGTCTGCCAAACCAAACAGGTACATTTTAGAAGCAAGTCAGTTCAAATCTCGCAAAACCGGAAAATAATGGATGTTTCTGTATCGCCAATAAGAATTCCTGCGCTTGCTAAACAGATTTCAGAGCGGCCAGAAAAACGTTTTCAAGTGGAAAGTGAACGGGCAAATCAAGAAACTCCCGCAATAACAGAAACATCCGAATTTGATTCGTATGAAGCCAGTGGAAGCAGTACTGAAACTAGTGACAGCGAAGCTGACCAGCTTACTGCCGGGATCGTAGTCATTCTAAGCGCAGTATTAGTCAACGTTTAGAACTTGGCTTCATTGCCCATCCCCCGAATGCAGCCCTAAACTTTGTTATTTTCTTAGCTATAAAATTCTATAATGTGACTGCCCCCCCCCCCTAATTTAAGTATTCCCCAATAGACCCTAAAAAAATAAGATTCTCTCTACATCCCTAGAATTTCTCTCATTGAAAACATATTAGGTACCATACTTTACTTCAGAATAGTGTAATAAAGCCTCATTATGCATGCAAAAAGAACCAATTTCGGGGCTCTTAATAGGCGTAACAAGGTGAAAAGGTGTGTATGATAATTTAAATTCCATAATATTTTACCTAGGAAGAAAAAAGCAGAGATAAATATCCTTCAAAATTATTGTCACGAGCAGGCATTATTATGTCTTAATATTATTAGCTTTCAATAGACTAAAGCAAAGCAGGATCAATTTTTGCGGAGAAATACAAAAAAATACTACCCATTGGAGCTAAACAAAAAAAAATTAGCTTCATATAGGTACTTACTGAACTACTTTAACACCGCTGCTCTGAGGTTTATTTAAATTTGCATTATTTGCCAAAAACTCGTACACCATTTCCACATTCACATGCGGTAAATTTCGCGAATCAACTTTCTGATAGGTAACCTTGGAGCATTGTGCTAGCACAAATAAATAAAGTAAACAAACATCGGTCCCAGTTTATATAAATTCGTATTCGTATACTCTTCACTATACAAGACAGTACAAGATACAAGTACTATGAGGGCGACAGCATGTGTCTGGCTACTGACGTCACGCGGTCTACTCTCGCGTACAGATACGTTTTCTAGCCTCGCGTCGATCCTTGATTTTAAAATGCTTTCCGTCGACGTAAATATTGATATTTTGCCCTCAAATTTCTTTGACCGTTTTTTAATAACAAAATTCCTCGATTTTAATAAATTAAGAAAAATACGAAAAATGTTGAACCTTCCTATTCTGCATTGCCCTGTAGATATATATTTATCCAGTAATTTTTTTTGACGTAGGTGTGGTTCTTGTGACAACCCCGCAATCAGCAGCATTGGAGGTAACCAAAAGAGGTGCAGTTATGTTCAAAAAACTCAACGTGCCTTTAATAGGCATTGTGGAAAATATGAAGTATGTCAAATGCACGTCTTGTCAAAGCAACATAAAAGTTTTCGGAGATGGAACATCAAAACTAGCTGAAGAGATTGAGTGTGATATTTTGTCAAGTATACCTTTAGAAGGTTGTATATCTGCAAGTGCAGATGAAGGTATACCAGTAGTAGTAAGTGGAAGAAATAATGATATTGAAGATTGTTATAAAAGGATAGGAGACAGTGTAATTGCATTCTGTGAGAAAAATAAATAAATTGTCAATTTGAGTTTGTTTTTTAACCAATCCATGAATATAAATGTCTGATGCTACTCAAATATTTCATACATCTTTTTTGTATTTTAAGAAAGACCACCAGGGTGGCCAAAATCTTCAACTCTACTTTGTGTAGATATTCATCATAGTAACAATCACAGGATGAGTTGTGATGTTACATTATATCATAATTGTTATTTCTGAACTAAGAGTGCAAAGTACCAGTTTGTCGCTCGAGAATTTGGTTTGATCCACCCAAAGCAAAGCAAGCTGTAGTTTAAGCTCAAGTTGCACACAAGATTTTTTCAATAATTGCAACAATTTACCTTTCCCTATATTATCGATGTGAAATCATAACATTTGGCTATATGAAAGCCCTCCATCGTTGATCTGACCGTCACTAATAGTGAGCGTTTTTGCTACTTTGTCGCGCTAGTTGTCATTTGAGATTAGCCCTTGAAAAACGTTATCTATTCTTGCTTTTTCGGTCGACTGTAGAAAAAAAAAGGTTTTTGTGTAATCTGAAGCTGGACAGCACTGTGGAATGATGTAGAGAACAGTTAATGTTTGTGTAAAAATACGTAATTTATTACAATTTATAACAACCCACTCAACTTAAATCTACAAGATATAAATGGAAGAATTCTTTACAAAATAACAAAGAGCATATTTGAGCCATAAATAAACAATCCAAAAATGTTTACATTGTCCACAATAATAAAAATACAATTTTGACTTTCACAGGTATATATGTATGTATATATGCATTGATAAATGAAATTAAATTACACGTATACTCTTGCACATTAGGCTTACACATAATATATACATTCTTTTGTAAAAAATCATAAATAATATCTCAATATCAGCAGTGTACTTTGTGTAAACAGATGAATATGGTATGGATACCACAACAGAAAAAATATTTTAAGTCTTGGATGTTTAAGTGTATCAAAATGTTTGATCACGATTTGTGAACTAAAATTGGTTACCACCTCTTCTTGTGCTCATCCATGGACACACCTCCAGGACCAAGGTAAACAATCATTAGGAGTCCACCAATCACTGATAATGTCTGAAAATAAAATAGAAAAAAACAGTGGTCATTTGTGATCATGATAGGAAATGTATTTGTTTCATTCTGGATCTCTGGTCAATACTATTTCACAATTAAATTTAGTAATTTTCCTTAATATCCATTAGTCAATTCAGAAAAAAATATATAGGATCGACAGAGAATCATATTTATGATGTTTGAATGATAGGGAGAGAAACATGTATGGTAGCAACAGCTCAAATTGTTCATTTGCACTTGGGCTCTAAAACAGGTTTTTCTATCCTGCTCGTACACATCAAATATGGAGACTAAATGATTCTTTGCCTTTCCTGTATAGTGATTTACCTGGAAGAAATCATATTTCAAGAAATCTCTGTGTGGTTTGTAGTCAGGTATGGTCCACCAACAGTTATGGTGGAGGTTGAGAATAGTCAGAAGAGCTACCAGAAGTAAAGCTGATAGTTTTGTCTTATAACCTACTGTAACTAGCACCATCAATGCTGTTCCCACAATGTCTGACAATAACTGTAACAAAAATAAATTAAAAATGAGATATCCTTACCCAAAATATGTATTTGTAAAAGAATTGAATTAAGGCATAATATTATTATACGCCTCTTTTTTAAATTATTTCAAGCCAGTCAAGGATTTGTCTTGTCCCCTAATACCCATAGATTGTAGTGAGCACAATGTCAATTTTTTGACAGTTATGTCATTAAATCGGTGTTATTTTTAGAAGTGCGAGTGTTTGCAGATCATTGTGGTGCTGGACGAATTCAAGACCTGGTGCTTCTTACATGATTTGCAAAGTGCAGCACAAGCCTGCCACAATGCTGTCACTTTGGTGGGTATTGGTAGACAAATGAGTCAAAAGTATGCATTAAAACTACACAATTTTGGCGACAAACAATTCAATGTAAACATATAGGGTTTGCTCCTACTAATCTGTTTGAATTTGATGATTGAAACCACAATGAGTTGGAAAATGGATGAACGAAGCCTTAAGACAAGTAAACTACTACTACTTTTTACCTGAAGGAAGCTGAACTCGAATCTGATCAATGTGGTGAACATAAAGGCAAGCAAGATCCTCCCAGTTAGCTGAAGGTAGTTTTTAGGTTTGTTATCACCCAAAGAAGGAACTCCAGCAAATAGACTTTTAGCTTCACCCCTACTCTCAGCAAGTACTAATAGCAAAGCTCCTATGAGAGCTAGATTTCTAAACAGAAACTGCATGTCCCAGATTATACCATATGCTATCGTCTGAAAGAAAAAAAACATTCTTGTTATGTCATGATTGAAGTACCAGGCACAAAATATACCACAGGTCAATTTTAATAAAAATTCTTATAGTAATAGTTCATGATCGACATCTTATAGGTGTGTATTTCTAAATTATTTAGAGATATACAGGATGTTGCACAATACCATGGAAGAACAAACATGTTTTTTCTTTTAATGACACACCCTATATTTTATTAGATATTTGGAAAGACCTTTTGATTGTCATTTGTTTGGTTATTTTATCATTTATCTTAAAAACTTTGAAAGCTTTAATTTCCACCATTCTGCATAGTTTTTCATTGAATTTTGGAAATAGGATGAAAAAGTATAACATAAATTCAAATAAACAACAAACCTGGTATCAAATGGAAGCTTAGAAAACAGAAAACAACTCATGGAGGAAAATATACCATTTAAATTTTTTTAGAAAAAGATTTTGCTTGTCTAAACATATCAGCACTTTCCCTAGTTGGATTTAAAATTGGTATGTTAAATTCTTTAAAATTGATGTGATCAAATTCCATATGATTTGTGCCTGGTACATTAGAGAAAATTCTCAGAAGGTGAAATTTTATATTTTTAGAAATTCACAGTTTGACAACCTGAACAAGATATTTAGAAACAGGATAGAAAATAGACATGTTCATAATTCCAAATTTACTGTTTGTACCTTAAAAAACAACTAGTTATTATAGAATAATAACATTTTTTTCTATAAAACATGCTACATTTTTTACAAAGGTTTTGTCTTAAAAACGGGCAAAACTTTTCTCAGTATCTACCCCTTATTACTGGTTTATGTCAAACAATGAATGAGTTATGATAGAGACTTGCTGATACATGATTACATAAGAAAAGATAAGGGACAGAATAAGGGAATGCCTTATTGTAATTTGATTGATCAGGAGACTTTGACATTTATATGTAGGTACTATTTTGCTTATGATAAGAATAGGTATATGAATTAAACTACTTGCAAGATATCATCTATTATTACATACCAGGAAATTCTGAAACATACTTACTTGTAAAATAACAATGAAGAACAATACTCCACAAGCAATGTTTACTTTATACCTCACAATAACCATGACACATCCTCCTAATTGCCCTATAAGATTGAGTATCACAAATAATGTGGCAAGAAATGGCCCACAGCCCCAGGACATGTCCATGTATTCTTTTTGTTCTTTCCATTGAAACCACATTCGAAGGCCATCTTCGAAGAATGTGGAGATTAAGCATAATCTTGATAGGGTGGGTAATATATGTTTTAATTTTCTTATAACCTGAAAGATATATATGAATAGTTAGAGAACATGAAACATAAGGAATAAATCATTTTTTCGATCTCTCGTAGAAGTTTGAAGTTCACATTGGTTTGCCATATGTGTGGATCTTTGGCCTTTATCACAAGTATAACTACTTTGAAATGGAACAATACCAGAATAGGTCGCTATTACACCGTATGAAAAAATAGCATATTTTGAAAATGCTATCTTTCTGAATGCCTATACAACTCAAATTACTGATAAAATCAAAAAAGAGTGACGTGACATTTTGGGTTTTTCAAATACATTTTTTGGTGGACTCAAAACTTAACCTTTACATTTTTATCACATAAAACATATTATTTGTATAATTTGAACAATTCTTACTGTGTCTGCTACGTCTTCCGCTGTGGAAATATATTCCTTTTGGATATTCATTTTCAAATTTTGAAGAATTTTGAGCAAAAGCTCCACGCAATCAACCTCTTTGAAGTATGAGTTGCACGTTGCCAGATGTCAATTTTTCTCGTCGTACCAATTAAATCCACATCATCTTTCTTTTCGAAGACTTTCTCCACAAATTATCAAATTATTATTATCCCATTAGTTTCTTTGAGATGTCTGAAATATGGAAAACACCAATGCATAAACGCAGTCTTTTTCTTATGTTAATAATTTGAAACTGCCAGAAAGACGGAAAATACCATAACATATCTTGCACAGTTTGGCAGCGCTGCATAGGGGATGTGTCAAGTGACAAAGTTCAAAAATGTAGGATTAGTGATGGTTCTAGCAATGATTTTTAAACGATTTGTAACCGTCAAATTCATTTGACCAAACTAATTTTCAAACAAGTTCGCTCAACACTATGAGTCAATCTGAATTGGTTAACTATATCCAACTGCTACAACCGTCAGAAGGTCGTTGTCAGAACCTATTACACACAAAAACATATACCCTATTTCCCAAGTATCTATCTCGGTAGAATGACAGCTGATTATCTAGTAATATCTCAAAATTCCCCATATCTGCACAGGACACGTAATTCTGACGGATCCGTCAACGCCAGGTAGACAGAGCCGTATTTAAGAGTGACATCTTTGTATTAGTCTTTATTATCTCCTAATCAAATTTTCTAAAGAGTTGTTAGAAAGTACAAAATGAACATGTAGCGTACAAATAACCAAAACAATATTGCAAATGAACTTTTCTAAATAAAAGAGCTGTTAGCAAGTACAAAATCAATATGTAGTGGACAAAAAACAAAACACGGCCCTGTCTACCTGGCATTAACGGATCCCTCAGAATTACGTGTCATTTGAGGATATGGGGAATTTTGAATTATTATAATATGGCCAGGCAAGACAACTATTGAAATATACTCTACTACTTGCATTTTTTAAGTGTTGTGTAACGATTTCGGAAAATATTTCACTACGGATAGTCTTCTAGAGTTTAGTAAAATACATTTCAACAGTTTTGCGTGGCCATGTTATCTTTACTCAGACAGGATACTCATGAAAAAGACAATAGTACCGCAGCAATAAAATTGGGTATGTCTTCAATACCCTGTGTTCAATACTGTTAAATTTACCTGAAGGAGAGAAAATGGTGGTTGGGTGTCTAGCATCATTTTTCGTTCTTACCTTAAACAATTCTTTGTTCTGTGATTTTGCCGGGAAAGTGACAGCTGCTAACGATTCTAACCTCAAATTTTACCTCTGTCTTGTGTTCTTTTTTGCCACGGCCGTTACAAAAACTCGTGTAGTCTCCCGACATTTTAAATATACGTATTCTTTAACATAAGCAAAGTATAAATTCTTCTAAATTGTCCAAACAACTACATTCAAAATGTTTTGGGGTACGTAAGTGCGTAGTTTAAATAGTTTTTGAGTTATCCGTTATGTGTATGATACCTTTAGACACGTGTTGTACAACTTTACATGTTCACGTTTTTTTTTATACCTTTAGGTTTGATAATGGAGCCTCAAAGGCGTTACACACAAACAGTAAAGAAAGCCTTCCATATCTCCATGGCTGCATTAGATTATTCCACATCTTCAGAAGAACCAGCCCAAGTCATGTGTGGTTATGAGGGCCGAAACTACCTTCTTTGCACGTTGAGGAAACCAGACGTTATGCAGTGCCCATTGGATTTGAATTTTGAGGTACCATAGTTTTTTCAAATACTGTACTTTATTAATGATAGCCAGCCCAATGCTATATTTGCACATTCAAAAAATTACCCAAGGTAAAATGGGAAACTGTAGCATCATCTATGAGAATTTGTTTGCTGTTTCTGTAATATACAGGGTGTCCGAAAAGTTGGGGTTTTCCTTTACACGACGTGTAGATCTTGAAAACATAAGCAATTTTTCTTAGTACCATATACACCAATGTCTTAAGGGAACCGAGATAAAGGGCTCTGCAACATCAAAAATATCTGAATACCGTCCTGTAGCCGCGACTTGCGACATCCCTGAGTGGTACTAGGACACTAGCTCAACCTGACGACAGAACTGGGTCGGGGTCAGTGTGTCAGGTCAGTATGCAACCTTCAACCGACGGTTACGGTCACGCGTGTAGAGGTAAACGAACCCGTATAATCGATTGCGTTTCAAAAAACAACAAGCACTAGAGACGTGGCTAGAGAAGTGCAAGTATCAAAAACTAAAGTGTGGCAAATGCTGCGTGAAGAGGGCCTGTATCTGTTTCACGTCCAACGTGTACAAGCCCTTCAACCTGACGATTTTCCAGCAAGAGTGCGGTTTTGAGTGGTTGTTGCATCAACATGACAATAATCCGGACTTTTTGAAGTGCATATACATTCACGCGTAATGGGGTGAATAACTTTCGCAACACTCATGTTTGGTCAGTAGAAAATCCGCACGCTGTCCGTCGGGCACATTTTCAACAAACATTTTCGGTGAATGTTTGGGCTGGCATGGTGAACGGTATCCTCATTGGACCATTTATTCTCCCAAATCGATTGGACGGGATGCAATACCTAGACTTTTTACGCAACATTTTGCCTTCCTTGTTAGAAGATGTGCCATTAAGTGTAAGACAATCAATGTGGTTTCTGCACGATGGTCATATTTGTTACCTCTGTTCGTGGTCTGCACCACCGCCGGCATCTGCTCGGTAGCGCATCAGCTGATTTCATTTTCTGCTGGAGCGGTATGATTTCGGGCAGAGACGTACTCAGCCCTTCTCGTCAACTGGAGAGTGAGTACTTTTTCCTTTATTTTTTTTTTACTTGGTCGCCCTCGTTTCACTACACATTACCTTTGTTATTTCAAGGGTAGTTGTTTCTGAAAAGGAAAACCCCAACTTTGCGGATACCCTGTATACTTTGAAAATGTTAGCTTCATGGATGGTGCTGTCTATATGAGCAACTACAAGCATAAAGGTGACTACAGTACCATCTATGAGACACTAACCTGTGACATCCTCATAGATGATGCTACATTATCTCATTTTACCTCAGATAATTTTTTGGTCAGGCATATATAGTATTAGGTTGGCTATCTTCAGGTAGGATATCAATGGTAGTACTTTATACTGAGGTTAGTCAACACTCCAGTTAGCAATTATAGCAGAATTAGAACTATGAAGCTTATTCTTTGAGAAGATGCTGTAAATATGAAACGTTTTAATGGATTTATACCAATTTTGCTGCGACTAAACTACACAAGAGCTTAAAAATTATTGTGAAAAAAATAGAGGAGTTTGTAGTAGTTTATTTTATGTATTTATTAATTGTACACACATGAAATAATCCTAAAGAGTACATTAAAAACAGACACAACTAAATTTAAATATAGAACTAAGGAAAAAAAATAAGTGAAGTGAAGAAGCAAAAATATAAGCTATAAGTATATTTTGTAATGTTTAACATCATTTACATGTTTATAAATATTAGTTGGAAATTGTAATAAAAAGAGTCATTTCTGAAAATATGCCTGATTTGAAAAATAGATGCTAAAACCAGATCACTAGTGAAAATTGTTAATCATCAGTTAAGGTTTTCATGCTAATAATCCTCCATGTTTGTTTATATGTGGTTTGATTCTGCCAGAGAATGACATACTATAAGTTTTGGGGGTTACATTCAACAAGTATTTCTAAAATAGTTAACTGGTGTTGTTTTGAACATTTTAGCCTTTAACTTTGTATTAATTTTGAAGGTTGGGACTGAGGTGTCTTTTGTTTCAAATGGAAAATGTCATGTCCACCTAACTGGGTATTTGACCGATGAACTCCCTGGTGAGTTTGATGTAGATGAGGAGGAAGATGAAGCTGCAGATGAGGAAGAGTTGACAGTTAAAGAAAAAAAGAAAAACAAGAAAAGGTTAAAAAAAGCCAATGAAGATGACAATTCACGTGAGTCCATATTTTAAATTCTCCATTGAGTTGACTTTAACCGGCATAGCACAGGATAGTATACTTGGGCCCATTTTGTTTGTAGTTTTTTAAACGATCTCTATTTTGTTACTAGTGGTGATCAGAGCAAGCATAAAATTATCTGCTATGCTGATGACACAAATTTAGTGTTGGGTGGGACAAGTGTAGAGGACCTAACTGCTAATGGGAATCTCTTATTCAGAAGTGTGAATACATGGTTTTCTGAGAACAAACTAGTGCTGAATAAATTCAAAACTGATGCAACATTATTTAGAACTAAGCAGAGTAAAATCGTTAAGCCACAATGTATCGATATAGATGATCATCAACTGCAGTTGACTGAAAGTGTAAAATTCTTAGGCATCTACAGGGTGTCCGCAAAGTTGGGGTTTTCCTTTACACGACGTGTAGATCTTGAAAACATAAGCAATTTTTCTTAGTACCATATACACCAATATCTTAAGGGAACCGAGATAAAGGGCTCTGCAACATCAAAAATATCTGAATACCGTCCTGTAGCCGCGACATCACCGGCTGGTACAAGGTCACTGGCTTAACCCGATGACAGAACTGGGTCGGGGTCAGTGTGTCAAGTCAGTATGCAACCTTCAACCGACGGTTACGGTCACGCGTGTAGAGGTAATCGCGTAGACGAGAATCCCTCAACAAGCACTAGAGACGTGGCTAGAGAAGTGCAAGTATCAAAAACTAAAGTGTGGCAAACGCTGCGTGAAGAGGGGCTGTATCCGTTTCACGTCCAACGTGTACAAGCCCTTCAACCTGACGATTTTCCAGCAAGAGTGCGGTTTTGTGAGTGGTTGTTGCATTAACATGACAATAATCCGGACTTTTTGAAGTGCATATTGGTGACAGACGAATCTACGTTCACGCGTAATGGGGTGAATAACTTTCGCAACACTCATGTTTGGTCAGTAGAAAATCCGCACGCTGTCCGTCGAGCACATTTTCAACAAACATTTTCGGTGAGTGTTTGGGCTGGCATGGTGAACGGTATGCTCATTGGACCATTTATTCTCCCAAATCGATTGGACGGGATGCAATACCTAGACTTTTTACGCAACATTTTGCCTTCCTTGTTAGAAGATGTGCCATTAAGTGTAAGACAATCAATGTGGTTTCTGCGTCTGCTCGGTAGCGCATCAGCTGATTTCATTTTCTGATTTCGGGCAGAGACGTACTTAGCCCTTCTCGTCAACTGGAGAGTGAGTACTTTTTCCTTTATTTTTTTTTACTTGGTCGCCCTCGTTTCATTACACATTACCTTTGTTATTTCAAGGGTAGTTGTTTCTGAAAAGGAAAACCCCAACTTTGCTTACACCCTGTATATTGATGAATTTTTAGATTGGACAACACATGTATTCGAACTGCTGAAGAGGCTCAATTCCATTAGCTATGGTAATATCAAGATATCTAAATAATACGAGTATGAAAATATTGTACCATGCAAATTTTGAAAGTGTTCTAAAGTATGGGATTATTTTTTGGGGACGCAGTAGGTGTATTAAAA